CGCAGCACCAGCAGCCGGCCCCCCCCCCCCCCCCCGGGGTGCCCCAACACAAACACAAACACAAACACCCTTCCCTTCTGCCTCGAGGTTTCCTGCGCGCGAGCTTTCCTCCAACAGCGCACATCTTCACCTGCTCCGCCTACCTATGTCTCGCGTGCGCGTCTGCGTCCGCCGCATTGTCCCCTCGCACTGCTACTGTTGCTGCTGTGCCTTTCTTCCTCTTCTCCCCCTGCTCCTCGCGTGCTTGGTCGTGCTCGATCACAACCAAAACGAGACGAGCGTGGTAATCACCATCGCGTTTGACAACCGGATCCTCGTGCACGTCTTGTGAGTTGAGGGACTTTGTCAACTGAGAGGGTACTCTTCTGTCTAGCGAGAGAAGGGATGAGCTGCGAGAGACGGGAGGCGACTCGTCGGGTGGTGAGCTGGGCGATGGAGGTGCCGACTCGTGAGGAGCGCGAGGATCCGTTTGCGGGTGATGGCTTCGACGCGCGTCGTGCTTCTGCCATAGCTGCTGCGGTGAGTATACCTTTCCGACGCCTTGACAATTCCTACTCCTTGGACATGTTTGTTGATGCAGAACATAGTCGTCTGCGGATGACAACACCGTCGTGGACGATGACGACAACGGCCAGGACACCACCATCGTCTCCCAAGGCCCAGCCGATCAAGGCGAGCAGGCTGCGGAAGAGGCAGTCGACTATCCCGCCGACCTGCCCCCTCGCCCTCCCGGCCGGCTCAGCTTCGTGCGGCCCGACACGCCGCAGTTCAGCGGCTCCTCCCGGCCCTCGACGGCCCTCTCAGTGCGTGACTTTGACCCCCGCCGCCTCCTGCTGCTGGGCGACCGCGACAGCGCGGCTGGTGGACGCGGTGGCAACAGTGGCAAGCGGCGGCGGCGGTGGCTCTCGGCCAGGTTCATGGGCTTATTCAGTCGCAAGCGAAAGGCATCGGACGCGGACCAGCAGTCTGCCACAGCGGCAGCAGCAGGTCGTGTTGTGACTGTCCACCTGCCGGACCCGATCCTGCTCAAGTTTCTGTTCGTCGGTGGCAAGGGCGTGGGCCAGACTTCGCTGCTTGTGTGAGACAGCCCTGAGCTCCCATCCGTGTCCTGCTCTTCGTCTGTTCTGTTCTGTATGACGCTGACCCTGGCGGTTTTGTGGGATGATTGAAGCAAGGCGTATTACAACTTCTTTCCTGACGTGAGTTGTTTTTCTTTCCTCTCCGCCGCGCACATCCTCTTCTCTTCTGGAGGTTTGGTATGGCATGGCATCACGGCAGACAGTTGAGGCTGACTTGGGACGCATCACGACCAGGCCGTTGGTAACCACCGGCCCAACTATGTGGCTTTTTACCTCCAGCGCCGTTTCCACGACAAGGCCGTGTCCATCGAATGCTAGGATACTTCGGGCACGCCGGACCTCAACACCGTGGAGATGGTGCGGCCGCACTGCTTCGACGCCGTGTTCCTGTGCTTTGACGTGCAGGACCGGCTGTCGATGCGCAACATTGTGACCTGGGTATGCGCTGTGCCAGACAGATGTTGGCGACCCTCTCTCCTCGACGGGGAGAACTTGGAGGGGCGCCATTGAGATATACTGGCTGACGATTTGCCTGCCCCGTCAGTGGACGCATGCTCGAACCCGCGCGTTCACAAAGGAGTCCCCGTTCCAGATGGGCTTCGATCCCCTGCTGCACCTCGTGGGCCTGAAGAAGGACCTGCGCCTGAACATGCCCGCGGGCATGAACGAAGCTCACTTTGTCGACACCACTGACGTGAGTTTTTTTTTTTTTCTTTCTTTCTCCATCTCCTCTCTCTAACTCGGCGACGGCTTTGCAAAAACCGTCGTGGGGTGGTGGTGGTGATGATGAGGATGGTGTGCCAGTGCTGACGGAGGACGTGTCGGTGAAATGATCTGTAGGCCCAAGCCGCCGCGACGAGCATCAACGCGCACCGCTACATCGAATGCTCGGCCAAGACGCACGAGGCCATGGACGCGCTGTTTGACGACGCGGGCCGCGAGGCGACGAGGCGGTACGTTGCGCGCGCGACGAGGGCGGCGCGCGGGGTGGCGGAAGAGGCTGCTCGCGTTCAGGCTCAGGCTCAGGCGCAGGCTCAGGCTCAGGGAGAGCAGCGCGAGGAGGGCGAGTCGTCGCAGAAGCGGCAGAGGTCCGAGTAGAGCAGACTGAGACTGCTTTTCTCGGTGAAGGCAGTCATGGGCCAAGTGGGATCGGATCGTGTGCCATCACGGTGTTTCGCGGTGGAGATGCTGATTTAAAGCTGTGCGTGGTGCTCTGCTCTTTGGTTGACGCTGCTGGTCGGGGGCAACGGCGAGCTTGGCCATTTTGATGGAGACGGCACATGTAGAGTAGAAGAAGCTGGGCGCCAATGAGCACGCACAATGCCAAATGCACCAAACGTGGAAGCAGCTGATGTATATGACTATGTTCGTTGTGAGTGACGCTGAGTGTTGTTGCTAGGCGCGGGTCTTCTGGGTACCTGACAGAAATCTGGACCAGAACTTCTGAACATTGAAGTGACCACGTGCACCACCATGACGACTCAACCTCATCACACAAACACTTCAACGTCGTCCCACCGCCAAACTTCACAGAACACCAACGTCCGTCCAAAATGGGCCGCGAAGCACTCACCCTCTCTGGGCTGTTTGCAATAGCGGCCGCGGGCGCAGCCATCCTCTGGCATCTCGTCCGCGCCATGGACAGTACGACGCTGCTCACGGCCACAGCACTGCTCATCCTCTCCATCATCATCATCACCGTGAGAAGACCACCCCCTCCTCAGGCCTCTTGAATTCTTCAAAGGTTTTCGGGACTAACCATCCGTAGACGCGCCATGCGCAAATCATCCGCCGTCGCCGCGCAACGCAATGGCCCAAGCCGCCCTTTCAGCGGCACGACGACAGCGCCGCCGCCGCCGCCAACCCGCCAGGCGATGACGACTACTTCCTCTTCGTGCTCGGCTCCGGCGGCCACACCAAGGAGATGCTCATGATGATGGACGACGGCTTCTGCCACTTCGCCGGCTCGCACCGCCGCTACCTCATCTCCAGCGGCGACCACATGTCGGCGCACCACCTGCGCGACTACGAGGCCCAGCTCGCGAGCCTCTGCCGCGCGCGCGGCACCACCTCGCCCGGCAGCTTCGACACGCGGACCGTCACGCGCGCCCGCCGCGTCCACCAGCCGCTCTGGAGCACCCCCGCGACGGCCCTGCGTAGCGTCGTCGACATCTTCCCCGCGCTGCTGGCGCCGCCCGAGGCGCGCGCCCGCCACCACCGCCTGCCCACGCGTGTCTTCTCCAACGGGCCCGCCACGGGCTTCTTCGTTGCCCTCGCCGTGCATCTGCTCAAGATGGCGGGCCTTGTGCCCGAGGAGAGCATGCGCTTCGTCTACGTCGAGTCGTGGGCGCGCATCTCCACGCTGAGCCTTACCGGCAAGCTGCTCTACTACACGGGGCTGGCGGATGCGTTTTACGTGCAGCATGCCGATGTGGCTGCTGCGTATGGCCTGGTGAATGCGGGGGAAATGGTCTTCAACGCCAGGAGACCCGATGTGGACGGCACGTGAAAGCGCGCCGTTTCTTGATACATTTGTTTTTTAATTGTACACGGTTATTATATACAGGCCGTACTCCGACGGCGCTTCTATGCAGTGGTTGCTGGTGCAGGCTGCCCTTCGGCCGGCGCGGCCGCGTCGACGGCCGTCTCGGCGTCGTCCTCGAGCCCAAACGTCTCAATCTCCGAGTTTTGCCTCGCCTCGCGGTTGGCCGTCTCCTTGCCGGCCCAGATCTTCCAGTTCTCAAACTCCTGGTCCTCGAGCTGCATGCCCACGTCCAGCCTCGACTTGCCAAAGTAGGCGCCCACGTGGCGGGCCTCCTCGATGGCCACGCGCTTCTCAATCTCCTCGGCCTGCCGCAGCCTGTAGAACTCGTGCCGGGCCGCGTCGTACGCTCTCCGCTTGCTCATCTTTTCGTTTTGCATCAGCCACAGCTGGCGCTGCACGACGCTGCGTTTTCGACACCGTTAGCTCCTCCTTGCGTGTGTGTGTGTGTGTGCGCGCGCGCCGCTTCTTCGGGGTACTCACCACTCGCCCGACAGGGGAACGCCTGGCTGCCGCAGCCCCTTGCTCCAGTCGCAGTGCTGGTGGTCCTTGCCGTCCAGCTCGAGGACGACGCGCGGGCGGGCCAGCTCCCACGGGTGGTCCTTGTAGAAGCCGGTGCGGAGGGCGTCCTCGAGGTAGGCGATGCCCTGCGGGCGGTAGAGCTTCTTGGGCCGCGTGCTCTTGGGGTTGGGCATGCGGTGCCGCGGCGTGACGTTGCGCACGAGCGTCTCGGCGGGCGGCACCGAGTTCATGACCTGGAACCAGGGCGGCTGCGCGACCGAGTGGCCCGGCAGCACCTGGTGGTTGAGTTCCTGGGCGACGGCCTTGAAGACCCCCGCGGGTCGTATTTGTCGGCCGCCCATGGCCGCTGCTGCTGCTGTGGTCGTCGCTGGGACGGCTGTCGGGCCCAGATGCTTGGGTACGGGTCGTCGCACTCGGGCTCGTGCCGCGGTCGGTCTTTTTGGGCGCAATTGACGGCGTGCGATGTGGTGTTTGTGAGCTGGACGGGATTGCTGGTGGTGTGTCGCGATCGCATGCGCTGCGAGTCGCTGGGAAATTTTGGCGGCCCGGCGAATCGTATTGCCGACAAGCCGGGCGGCCTTGTAGCGGTCATGTCGCTGTACGTGTATGTTTACTAGACACTAGAGACGCACACCATTCGCGTGGCATAGCCAGCGGCCGTGGAGAGTAGTTCACTTCCTAAGTAGAGGGAATAGTCTGCCATTGATGAGCTCGGCTTCTTGTATGCACAAAACGATGTTTTTTTAGTTGGATCTCGTGGTCAGGTCGGATCAACCCCAAACGTGTAAGTGTGCAGTGGTGCCGAAATGCGTATTCAAGCCGTCCCAGTGTAACTTGCTTGAAGGCGGCCAAAGCACAGCAAATCGAGTCACGCTTAGCCTATGGAAAATGTCGCGGCAAAATGTCGCTCACATATACTCAGTAGAACCCTTATCTCTCATATTCTCATCAATTCGAATCTAGCTGCACGCTGTAGTAGTGATCCCTCAAGTTGCACGATGCTGGGACGGGGATGCCAGCGGGTTACCCGGGACAAGCGCCCGGCCAATGGACTCGGTGCGCTAGCGGCAGGGACGCATTTTCCATCAACGGCCCCACCTCCAATTCGTCCGGCAGCTTCGCCAAAATCGCAGGAGGCAAACCACCGCGCATCCAGCACTTACCTTAGCATCCTCGACGTCGACCGTCGCCGCGCGAGAAACTTTCTCTGTGACGGCCGAGCCACCATGAGGAACGACCCATGAAAATACGCAGTCGAGTGGACGGGTCCGTCTGCGGCGCGGTCCTCGCAAGCCGCCCGACAGCGACCCTCAGGTCCGTCCAGACGACGACCCGGAGGACCCTCTGCAGCCGGCCGGCGCCTCCCACGACGACCCTTGCGCGACCAACGGCTTGCACGAGGAGCTCAATATGGCTACTCTCTACCTTCATGCCCGTCTCCGATGCTCACCAGCCGCGGGTAATACGTCCTTCTCGGCAGGGCGCGCGGCAGTACAGCGTCGCCACGGCGGTCGCCTCCGGACCGAAGCCCATGGTCCATCGACAGCCGCCGTTGCCGGTGCACAGTACGAAACAACTCTTGTCCTTTGTTGACAGCAGGGACGAGGGCAGCGCAGAAGAGCACTTTGATTTTCACCGCGACCCATACCGGAGGGGCTACGCCTTGCCCGACGGACCAAACCTGCGCGTGTCCGACAAGAAACACGACGTCGAGTATCCCTCCCGCGACGAAACCCTCAAAATCACCAACAATACCCAGCAGCTGCTTGCGCGTCTCTATACGGCCATCGGGCAGAGGATGCGCCACCCGAATCGAGTGTCCCTTGACACCATATACAAGCTCTACGGCGAGCTGCCAGACCCGCGCATGCTGCATTTGACATGGCAATGGCGGAACCGCTTATTGAGAGTGATGGGAACGCCGAAGAAGCGAGACATGGAGTCGATGCTACGATACTTTGCGCTCGTCGCCGACGTCAAGAACGCGGGCCTCACCTTGCGACGCTCACACTGGAACTTCGCCCTGGCCTTCGCCACTAAATACGCTGCCCGAACGACGGCACAAGAGATGGAATCGGCATTGCGACTCTGGAGAGAAATGGAGAAAGAGGCAAACGTGCTGGGTAACGACGTCACGTTCAACGTGCTTTTCGACGTGGCGGCAAAGGCGGGCAACTTTACGCTTGCGGACATGATATACAAGGAAATGGAGAGCCGGGGCATTGAGTTCAACCGCTTTCACCACGTCAGCCTTATCCACTACTTTGGCTTGAAGCTCGACTCCGGGGGGATACGCGCCGCGTACAAGGAGATGGTGGAATCGGGCGAAATGGTCGACACGGTCGTGCTCAATTGCGTCATCTCGGGCCTTTTGCGGTGCGGCGAGGAAGAGGCGGCAGAAGAGACCTACGAGCGGATGAAGAACGGCCACGCCCTCGCCTCCGACATGCCGCAGCGCGATTACATGATGAACAAGGTCATCACGAGGGTCCTCATGATGTTCACCAGGGTCGGCAAGCAGCACCCGGAACTCAAGGAGACGCTGCAGACAAACGTGCGGCTCGCCCCAGACCTGCACACGTACAAGCTGCTTGTGCAGCACTACGCCATCAGAGTGGGCAATCTCAACAAGGTCGCCCAATACCTCGACGAGATGAAGCATCTCAAAGTCCCGATACACCCTACCATCTTCCTCGCACTTTTCAAAGGGTTCTACACGCATGGCGGCTTCTCCGGCTCCGACTGGAGCGAAAAGAGGCTCGAAGGCGTTCTATCAGCACTATACCAGGCACGCGATGAGCACGCCAAAGGATTCCGCATTGACCGTTGGCTCGTCATCTGGGCTCTGAGGGCCGTCAAGAAGTGTTCTTCGACTGAGGCCGTAGTACGGACGTTTGATGCCATGTCGCAGCTGTGGGACATTCGACCGGACCGCCAGCAGTTTATGCATGCCATTTTTGACAACATCATCCAAGGCAAGGACATGAAGTCCCCGTGGGGCAAGTGGGACGGGACATCCCATCGACGAGGAAGACGGGACGGGTCATGGCTATGATCAGGGCCACTGTACATGTACACTTTATCCGCATATAGCAATACCCCAGTCGCATCTGTACCATACAACACTATTTTGGGGCGATGCTGTATTCAAAGCGAGTTTTTGCATGTAGCAGGACGTTTACATCAGACGCGGTTGCAATTGGGCACGGCGCGGGTCGGTCGAATCGATTCGGATTGACAAATGGAACTTTGTTTACAGTGATATCGGTGGCAGCCCAGACGTCTATCGAATGTGCCGGGACAGCCGCTCCAAACAGTATCTTCTTCGCCCTCGACAAGCCATCCAGCTTTCCGCCTGGAGCTTACTGCTCCTTGTAGGTCTGGTAGACTGCACAGCCAGTTAGCAAGCATGTCGGATGGGGCGGCCCGCGAAGGGCAAAAGCGCGCAGACGCACCGGCAATGCCGAAGGGGGCGAGGAAGCCCGTGGCCATGAAGGACCAGAAGCCAAGACCGAAGTACTTGCTGCGCGGGTTGAAGGGGATGTTGGTGTAGGGGCCCTCGGGGTAGTGGTACGGCGAGGACATGCGAGCCCGGGTGGCGTGGAAGCCTCGTCGGGAGACGAGCGAGGTCGTCGTGCGGGCGGCGGCGCGGGAGAGCATCTGCGGGCGGTCAATTAGCTTGGCCGGTGCTTGGGGGCGTGTCGGAGAGGTGCGCGCTCACCTTGGAAGAGCGGAGCGGATTGCGACAGGCGGGTTGAGAGCTTTGCTGCGTACGGCGGTCGTGACGGGATCCGAGGTAAGGATAATCGAATGAGGTTCAAAAGCAAAAGGCTTGGCTCAATTGGGTCACGTGCAGCATCAGCTGTCCCGCCGCGCCGTGAACGTCCGATGGTCGGGTCAAGTTCGGACTGGAGAAACAGGGAAGGACGCAAGGCCATCGAGATGCGCTAGCTCACCGCCTGCGCCCCGGGGCCTGACGATTTTCTTTCTGCCGCTTTGTCCCCCAGCCAGCCCACGTCTTTTTTCGAGCCGGGCTGCCCACTTGCTGAGCATCGCCGATTTTGCAGCTTGCAGCTGCGTGTGCGTTTGCGTTGACAACACCAATTCACTGGCGCATTCGCTACTTTGAACGCCAAAAGACGAACCATCTTGCATAGCGATCCTGCAATTCGGCATCCCATTTCCGAGCGAATCACCTGCGAGGAGCAGCATCAACTGATATACGACGCGACTCCGGCGGACAGCCGACAGTGGCCCAACATGGATGACATGTTCGATGTGTTTGAGGGCAAGCCTGGCCGTCAAAGCGACAGCGAGGAGGAGCAGGTGCCGCAGCGACCCCGGAACCGCGACAAGACCAAGAAGAGAAAGGCGGACGAGGCCATGAATGGCGCAGCGACCCAGGAGAAGCAACCGGCCGAGGATGAGGATATGGACGCCAACGAGACGAAGTCCAAAGACGACGAGTCCGACGAAGACGAATCGGACACACCCAGCCAGCAAGACAAGAAGCGGAGGAAAAAGGAAGACGGCGTAGGACCCGTCTTGACGGATACCTTTCAGACGGCCGAGTCGAGAGAAGTCGCCGGCGCCACGACACTGCTGCCACAGGAATCCTCTCTCGTGCTGTCACATAACATCCAGCATCAAGTCGCGCTGCCTCCGGACCTGGACTACGAGTACGTGCCACTGTCGGAGCACAAGTCCCCGGAAGAGCCGGCGCGCACGTGGAACTTTAAGCTCGACCCTTTCCAGAGCCTGTCAGTGGCGTCGATTGAGCGCGAGGAGAGTGTCCTGGTGTCGGCGCACACGAGTGCCGGCAAGACGGTCGTCGCCGAGTACGCCATCGCCCAGTGTCTCAAGCGAAATCAAAGGGTCATCTACACGAGTCCTATCAAGGCTCTGAGTAACCAAAAGTATCGAGACTTTGACGCCATTTTTGGCGACGTCGGCCTCATGACGGGCGATGTCACCATCAAACCCACGGCCAGCTGCCTGGTCATGACGACGGAGATTCTGCGGTCCATGCTGTACCGCGGTTCCGAGATCATGCGCGAGGTGGGATGGGTCGTGTTCGACGAGATTCACTACATGCGCGACAAGACCCGCGGTGTCGTTTGGGAGGAGACCATCATCATGCTTCCCGACAAGGTCCGCTACGTTTTCCTCTCCGCCACCATTCCCAACGCCTTCCAGTTCGCCGAATGGATCGCCAAGATCCACCACCAAGCGTGCCACGTCGTCTACACGGATTTCCGACCGACGCCGCTGCAAAACTACTTCTACCCCTGCGGCGGAAAGGGCGCGCGGATGGTGGTCGACGAGAAGGGCAACTTCAACGAGAGCAACTTCAACAGCGTCATGCAGGAAGTGGAGGACCGCAAGGGCGCGGAATCAAACGACATCAACGCCAAGCTCAAGGGCAAGGGCAAGAACAAGAAGACGAACAAGGGCGGCGGCCCCGACGAAGGATCGGACATCTACAAGATCATCAAGATGACTATCAAGAAAAAGTTCAACCCCGTCATCGTCTTCAACTTCAGCAAGAGGGAGGTTGAGAACCTTGCGATCAAGGTTGGCAATCTGGACTTCAACGACGACTCGGAGCAGGCCATGGTCGAAAAGGTCTTCAGGAGCGCCATTGACAGCTTGTCAGAAGAGGACCGCGAGCTGCCCCAGATTGTGCACTTGCTACCGCTGCTCAAGCGCGGCGTTGGTGTCCATCATTCCGGCCTGCTGCCCATCTTGAAGGAGACGATCGAGATTCTCTTCCAAGAGTCACTGATCAAGGTGCTCTTCGCCACAGAGACCTTCTCCATCGGCCTGAACATGCCGGCCAAGACGGTCATTTTCACACAGGTCACAAAGTGGGACGGCGTCAAGAGGCGACCCATCACTTCGTCCGAGTACATTCAGATGGCGGGCCGAGCTGGACGACGTGGTCTCGACGCCCGCGGTCTTGTTCTGATGATGATTGACGACAAGCTGGAGCCGGAGGTGGCCAAGGAAATCGTCACGGGACACCAGGACAGACTGAACTCGGCCTTTTACCTGGGCTACAACATGATTCTGAACTTGTTGCGAATCGAGGCCATCTCGCCCGAGTTTATGCTCGAGCGCTGCTTCCACCAGTTCCAGAACGCAGCGAGCGTTCCGTCTCTGGAAAAGGATCTCATGGCCTTGCAACAAGAGCGGGACTCCCTGGCGATCCCAGACGAGGCCACCATCAAAGACTACTATCAGATTCGTCAACAGCTCAACACATACACGGCAGACATGCGGGCCGTCATTCAACACCCTCAGTACAGCCTCGAGTATTTGCAGCCCGGTCGGCTGGTGCAAATCTACAACCCCAAGGTGTCGCCCGATAACGTGGCCGGCGGTCAGGACTTTGGCTGGGGCGTGGTGGTCAAGCACGAGCCCCGCAAGGCGCCTAAGCTCGGTGAGCCGGAACATGCGCCGCAGGAGTCTGTCATTGTGAATGTCTTGCTGCCTCTTGCGGCGTCCAGCTCCTCGGTGTATCCGGGCCAGCCTTCGGCAGAGATGCAAGCCGGCCTGGTGCCGGCCAACGGGGACGAAGAGGTCATTTACGAGACGGTGCCGTGCCTGCTGAGCTGCGTCAAGGCCATCAGCCAGATTCGCATCTTTCTGCCCAAGGACGGCCTGAGGACTGATCAGGACAAGGAAACTGCCTTCAAGTCTCTATCCGAAGTCAAGCGCAGGTTCCCTGATGGCGTGCCGATCCTCGACCCGCTGGAGAACATGGACATTACGGACGAATCCTTCAAGAAGCTTCTGCGCAAGATCGAGGTGCTCGAGTCTCGGCTGTTGGCCAACCCGCTGCACCTGTCGCCGCTGCTGCCTTCGCTCTGGGACCAGTACCACGCCAAGATGCAAGTGTCCGAGAAGGTCAAGGAGAAGAAGAAGGCCATCGCCAAGGCGCACAGCATCGCGCAGATGGACGAGCTCAAGTCGCGCAAGCGTGTCCTGCGTCGTCTCGGATTCATCAACGACGCCGAGGTCGTGCAGCTCAAGGCGCGCGTCGCGTGCGAGATCTCTTCGACCGAAGGCCACGAGCTGCTCTTGTCGGAGCTACTGTTCGACCGCTTCTTCAACGAGCTGACGCCGGAAATGATTGCCTCCATCCTGAGCTGCTTCATCTTTGATGAAAAGGTGGAGACGCAGGCCCTCAAGGAGGAGCTGCAGAAGCCTTACCGCGAGGTCCTGGCCAAGGCACGCATCGTGGCCAAGGTCAGCCAGGAATGCAAGCTGGACGTGAACGAGGAGGAGTACGTGCAGAGCCTGAAGTGGCAGTTGATGGAGACGGTCTACGCATGGGCTAACGGCCGACCGTTCTCCGAGATCTGGTAAGTTTTGCATCTTGTACGTCGAATTTGCAACGACAATTGCTAACATGTGGCAGCAAAATGACAAACACGTACGAGGGCTCGCTTATCCGCCTGTTCCGCCGTTTGGAGGAGCTCCTGCGGCAGATGGCCCAGGCCGCCAAGGTTATGGGCAACGACGACCTCACCAAGAAGTTTGAGGAGAGTCTGCAGAAGGTGCGCAGGGACATCGTGGCCGCGCAGAGTCTGTACCTGTAGGCGACTGTGGCAAGACAGTGCGAGCGTACGCGGGCGGGGAAGATGGCATTGGGTATTTATCTTATCTGGCGTCAAACATCATGGGCGGCGCACGGCTACGTTGGCATGATCCACGGCGAGGGAGTCTGGGCTCTGTAATGGCATGCTCATGTCACGTTTACTGTACATATGATTGTTGAAGCGATGGAGATAATTGCAATAGAGACGAGCGGCGAGCGCTGGACTCTGATTCGGCGTTGAGAACCCCCTCTCTCCTATAGTATATTCTCACTGGCATGACATACTTATAACAAATCTCGCACGCTACCTGTACATACAATGCAGTCTTCAAATCTGCTTCGCTAAAATTCGCAAAGGATATTGGACGACTCAGCGTCTTCTAGTCATCGTGCAAAAGCTCAGACTTGTTATCCAAGCCCGCCCACTTTTGCTTTCCATCCAGAATGTCCTTTACGCGTCGTGAATAGAAAATATGTTGCCTGGCATCGAATCAGCCGCCTCACATCACTCTACAGCCCCCCCCCAACACGGGAACGACACTCACCTGACGTCAAAGTTCTCACGAAGCCGCTCCGTATCCAGCGTCAGTAATGACGGCGACACAAGGACCATGTTGCGCCCCTCGTCGAGGATAAACGACCCGCACGTCCCGCACGAGACCTTGCACGGCAGGTCGTGCTCCGCGGCCTTGCTGTCCGTCTTGTAAAAGTGCAAGCCCTCGACGCCCCGCTCAAAGGCCATGTCGGCCTTCTCGAAGATGGCGGCCAGCTGCAGCGGCGCGCCGTGGATGACCTGGCAGTCGTGGCAGTGGCAGTACTTTACGTTGAGGGGGTTGTCGCTGGAGAGCCAGTAGACGACGCGGCCGCAGTGGCACGCGCCGCGGAGTTTCTTGGTGAAGGATTTGCGCGCTGGTGAGGTTTCGGTTGGGCCTTGGTAGGGCGGGCGGTGTTGCCAGGTGGGTGAGGTCATGGCTGGAGTGTGAATGTGAATGTCTAGTGCTGGGTATTGATGCTTATGGTGGTGTATTGCTGGGGGAGCTTGCCCAGCGAGGGATACACATTTCATTTATACGAGAATTCGATAGCTCAAGGGACACGAAGAAGCAATTCATTTTTGCTTAGAAGCAAGAAAGCTGATGGCGATCGAGGTGGTTGTGAGGAACGAGGTGAGCGAACTTGCCCGACCTGAGGAGTGAGTCGTGACGTAGCCCGAGAGCATCCGCACCTGAGTCAACGTGATGTCAAGACTTTTGTGTTTCTGGCGCCGCCCCCATGGCATGTAAGCGTAATTAACATCCGAAGCAGATCTCGCCGTTAACTCATCGGTCGCGATCGTGCTATTCGCATGCTGCAGGCTAGGGTACTGGGATACGCAGCTTTCGACTGCGGCCATGACCCTGCAACACGCCTACTCTCTACCACCCCTCTGGCGGGCCTCCCCAGTTCTCAATACTTGCATGGGCACGCCGCACCTTGATGCTAGTAATTACTGCTTTTATTCCGCCTGAGGCTCCGAATCTATCTAGACAGCTTGATGCGACGATTGACAGGGCTCTCTGAACCCACAAATATGAACCCATCATATACGATTCCCCCAAGAAGCGCCCCTGCCAAGTTGGCAGCCCAAGGTCCAATCACCCACCACGCGTCCCCGAAGACGACAGAGCGACCGTATCCGACGCCGAGCATAACGAGCCTGGGGCCAAAGTCTGCGGCCGGGTTCAAAGCCGACCCGGTGTTGTGGCCCAGCGTGAGCTTCAGCGTCGTTACAAGAAGGCCGAGGATCTGAACCATGCTGTCAGCGGAGGTGGTCTCGGACACATGAAGCAATGGCAAACGGCCCTGACAAAGAGACGTATGGAATCGCCATGTTCCCGGGGGCCGCGATGGAAGGATAGAGGACAGAACTCACAAAGGCATGCATGCCCGCTCCAGGCGGGTCATTCTGATCGTCCCCCAGCGCAAACACCATGATCATCATAACAGCACTCTGCACCACCTGACTCAACGCCGCGCCCCCCGTGCTCATCCACTCCCTGCGCGTCGCGCAAAACGCCGTCCACGCCGTCTCGCGCGCCGGGCCATCGGCATTACGGATGGCGTCGCGGAAGACGGCGTAGGCGAGCGACCCCGCGGCCGCGGCGGCGAGCAGCTGGACGAGGACGTAGGCGGCGCACTGCCGCCAGGGGAAGCGGCGGAAGACGCTGAGCGACGCCGACACGGCGGGGTTCATGTGCGCGCCCGACACGCCGCCGCCGATGTATATGCCCAGCATCCAGGCGAAGCCCGAGGACCAGGCTGCTTCGAAGGTGCCGTAGATGGTGGACGGGTCTGCGGAGAGGTTGACGGTGAGGGTGCCGGCGACGCCGAGGAAGATGGATACGGTGGTCTATGGTCACGGTGAGCCTCTGTGAATAATTGGTCAAGGGGATATGAGAAGGGTTGAGGAGACGTACAGCGAGAAACTCGGCCAGGAGTTCCGGATGACGGGCCCGAAAGGAAGCCCACCAGTTGCGAAGCTCATCGGGATCCCGGAAACCCTCCTCGACCTCTTCCCGTTCCCTATGTCCGATAGGCTCTGCGTCGAGCGCGAACCTGCTCGTATCTTGGAATAGATGCGGCACTGCCTGGTCATCCTGCTGGGACGGCCCCAAAGTGGTCGCTGTCTCAGCAGCCTCAACATCTGGGTCTCCTGCTTTTCCGATCGTGTGCTTCTCGGTGTGCCGTCGCCGAGCTGTGTGAGGCAAAGGCTGGCCAAGGCTGAAGACAGGCTTTTGCCTAGCCACGCCGTACCAAGGGTTCTCGTCGAGGTACTCCTTGTCGACCCAGTCACGCTGCGTCGGCCCGCGGTTGAGTGTCAGGGGCCGCTGCGACGTGGTGCTGCGTATCGCGGAGGGGATCCGAGACGGGAGTCTGGAGGGGAGTCGAGACGGCGGCACTCGGGATGTCGGTTGGCGGGTTGTCCTCGCCGTCTGGCGCGGACGGACGGGGGTGAAGTACGACGGGCGACTCTGTTGGGATAATTGCAGCCCGGGAGAGGGGAGGGGAGCTGTATCGACCGTTGGCGTGTTAGACAGTGGTGCTCCATTCGTCGTCTTCTCCTCACATCGGGGTAGCTCACTGGCTGTTGCGGATGATGATGTCGAGCGAGACGACGACGATGAGTGCCGCGCCGACGGCACCTGGGCGTCGCCATCTTGTCGCCCATTTGCTCTTTTCGAAGATGAGCCTTCTGCCATGTTGAATCTGCTGCTGCTGCTGCTGCTGCTGTGTGAGCATGGCCAGGGCCACCAGCTGTGTGTGCCGAGAGGAGCTGCTTATTATACGGCACATTTCAAGAAACATATTGGTAGGAAGGATATATAAAAGAGCTTCGAATCCGCCTTCTTGCATCACGGATGGATATCTTGTAGACGCCGATTGCAACTACACATGTAGAAGGACCAATTGCTCCGATCTGGGGGCACGGGCCATACCGCGTTCTAGCCTGCTCTGTCGGTGGTACATCTTGACAGCAGCCAGCGGGCAGTGAGCGCGGAAGGTAAAGAATCGATGCTTGCCCTGGGGCGCATGAGTGTCCCGAGTCCTGACGGTATTCGTCTCTGTATGTCACCCCGTGGCGGACGGCTCCCGTGCGGCACTCCACTCGGACGTCACGCCCTGCAGGGCCACGGACGTACCTCCGGCTCTCCTTTGACCACCCGTAACAGGCTCCCAGCCAGGCACATCTCGCAGGGTACTGACTGTGTCAGACCTGGAAGACTTCGAATCAGTGGACCTGACTGGACGCTGGATCGCCCGCTTCGGTGACGAAAATCAATGCTCATTGCCCGGGTCGACCCACAGCACCCGATTTTAATAAGGGTCTGACCGAGCCCGATGCTGATGATCGCGGGCGCTTTGTTGGAGCCGTGTGTGTCGGAGGCGTGGTGCCGGATCAGCGCCTGGTCGACAGAGGACACTGAGCACAGGCACCGGAGCAGAGCCTCCGTGCTTGTCTGCAGGGCGTATTTTACCCACTGTTCAAGTACGCAAGGTATGAGATTCAATAATGGCTTGCATCGTATCGTCAGTCAATATCGTGAGCCTCGAGGTCCGGGCCAGAACGGCGAGAGCTCAGCCAACCAGTGAACCGCCATGTGCTCACTTTCGTCTCCAGTGAAGCCCGACGCCAACAGTGGCAAGAGACCCAGGACACGGTAAATCAGCCATCCAACAACATCACTCGCGTGTTCCGCCGCCGACTGCATCTCCGGATTTTCTCCCTTCCCACCAAGCCGCAACCGACGTCATGGGGATACTCCGCGCCGTCCGGGAGTTGATGACCCCGGCTGCAAGTCCACGCGTGCAGATCCTCTCCGACCTCCACCTCGAAGTCGGACAGCAGTACTCATCCTACACCTTCCCCGCCACGGCGCCCTTCCTGCTTCTAGGCGGCGACATCGGCCGGCTCATCGACTACGACGCCTACCTCCAATTCCTCGGCGCGCAGGTCTCGCGCTACAAGAAAGTCTTCCTCGTGCTAGGCAACCACGAGTTCTACGGGCTAGACTAGGACGTTGGGATCGAGGAGGCGCGGCGTCTCGCGGCCGAGCCCAGCCTCGCCAGCAGCTTGATCCTCCTCCATAGGGCTCACTGGGACGACCCTGACTCTGGCCTGACGGTCGTCGGATGCACCCTCTGGTCGGCCATCCCCGAGGACGTCTACGAGGTCGTGCGCGCCAAGGTCAGCGACTTCAAGAAGATACCGGGCTGGACGCCTCAAAGGCATAATCAGGTCCACGCCGAGGAGGTGGCGTGGCTTCGCGAGCGAGTCGCGAGCATCGCGGCCGCGGATGATGGCCGAGGACGGCGGCTTTTGGTAGCGACACATCATGCACCCTGCGTAGAAGGCAGCTCGTCGCCGGCGCATGCCAGCAACCCGTGGACCCCTGCCTTTGCGACCGACATCATCCAGGAAGGAGAGTGGGAGGGCGTCAAGGCGTGGGCCTTCGGTCACACGCACTACTCGACGACTTTCATGCGGAACGGGATCAAGCTGATAGCGAACCAGAGAGGCTACGTCCTGCCTGGCAGCGCTGCACAAAAGGACGGAGACAAGAAAAGGAAGGGCGCCCACGAATTTGACGCCCATAGGTTCATTACTGTATAGAGGCCATGGCGGTTCTGCAGGCCAGCCACGAGTTGCTACTCTTCCATCGCCTTGCCTGCGGCCCTTCCAGTAGTTGTAGGGGTCAGGCAGACCCTTTGTATGGTCCTTGCGGACCGCCCTCCTCGGGTCCTCCGCGCCACTTGTAGGTGCGGCTGTCATTTCCAAACGCCCTCGCTCAGACCCAATTGCCTCCCATATCGTACACGTGCAACATGAACGGATGCTGCTCTTCATCGTTCGTCACCGCTCGCCCGAGATACCCATGACGATGCCCACAGTCAGACTCAAGACGACGCCCGAGCCGACAAATATCTGCCACTTTTCGCTCCAGACGCCCTGTCTCAGCAGCCACGTCAAGCTCCCGAGCGGGAAAAAGAAGCCAATCATCATGCCTCGGATCAATATGTCTAGCACGGTCGACATGCTGCTCAGCTCGTCCTCGATGGTGGCGCCGCCCGCGGCTCCCGCGGCCAGCGACGGCACCTCGCCGGCGTTGGAGTCGATCCACGCGTCTTCCAGTCCACGGAGAGTGTCGGGTGAGGGCATCGCGTCCGGGGCGAAGCGCTCCGAGTTTATGGACGCAAACTGCGTGCGCAGCGTCGATATTTCCGACGATGTGAAGCCGGCCTGCAGGAGGCGATCGAAGCCGCGCGGGCGCGGACGCGTGCGCCAAGAGGATAGTCCGGCCCCTGCGTCATTCCCGGACGCGGCGGCAGCGCCGTTGGACGAAGATATGCCGGCTTGTGCCTTGGAGCCATCGCCGGGGGACGGGTCCGAGGGTGGGTTGTGCGCGGCAGTGGCCTCGGCGGCGAGGTCCGCAGCGGAGAGCTCATCGCCAATGGAGCAGTTCACGTAGATGCGTAGCGGAGGCGGGGCGGCGCCCTCCACGGCCTTGCCCTTGCCCTTGCCAGCGCCGCCGTGGTCCTCGTCGCGATGGGCAGCGGCCGATCGTTTCGCAGACGCAGACGAAGCAGCCGGTGGTGGCGGCGGCAGCGGCTTGAGGACTGCGGAGAGGGCAGAGGCGTCGGGTAGGATGCGGCCCTGGTGGATGAGGCGCAAGCGGTTCGGGGTGGACAGGCGAGTGCGGAGGAGGTGTTTGAGCGAGAGGACGGTGGTGAGGTGCGGCGAGGGGATGTCGAGCTCGAGGTCTGGGATGGAGGTTGAGAAGCGGATCGTGAGGTGGAGGGGCGCGGACGTCATGGCGGCATGGTGAGGGAGGGTGGGCGTGCGGTGAGAGCGATGCGAATGCGGACGTGGGCGTGTGTTTGCTCTGGTCCGTGCGGGTGGTGTCGCGTCGATGAACGTGCGCGGCTGCGATTCTGTGCCGTCGTGATGTGAGGTTTGACAAGCGATGCGGATCAGGTTGGTGTCTCGGAATGGCAGTGAGGGAGGTGGACGACAGCTGCCGTCCACTGGCACATGAGGTGACGACAGCTGAGGTGGAGCGATGGAGACGGTTGGGTGGCAGCTGCTGCCGTGCAGGCGGGGTCCACAGTGGGCTAGGGACCCGCCAGAGCTTCCCTGCAACGGGACCGAATCCCGCCTGACACGCTGCCGTTCGAGCGGCGCTCTGGCAGGGGAGAATTGAGGCTTTCGGTTCATGCCGCCACCTCCAACTGCCTGCACTCAATTACCTGCAACATCTCCCCACCGCCTTGGGCAGAATCGCCATCCTCCTCTTCCCCAACTTTCGCCGGTGTCAACACACTCTCCTTCCACCAGCATAGCACGTTGGCTTGCTCGGGACACGCATCGAGATGGCGCGGTTCAGGGGCGCCCGGTACCTGAGCTGCTTTTACTGCGGAAAGCGGTCCGGGCTCAAGTACGACGGCGTGACCCGCGACTTTCTGTGTCTCTACTGCGATGCCACCAACTACCTCGACGAAGTAATCGCCCGCCTTCAATCCCCCCCACGGCCCGCCAGGGGATCCCGAGCGCTGATGAGAACAGAATGGAGAGATTATGGATCCTCCCGTCGCAACGGATCGCGAAGCGACGACGACGCAGTACGCGGTGCCTCGGCCGGCCTCGCCTTCGGCTACCGGGAGCAGCGACATCTTCTGCCCGACGTGCCTGAAGAACCAACACCTCTTCACCAAGTCGCTGGCTCAATACTTTCCCGACGATCCTTCCGACCCAGAATATGAGCGACTCGAGCGCAACTACTACCGCTATCGTCGCGGCTTGGAAGTGCGGTATCCGCAAGTCTGCGACGAGTGCGCCGCCCGCGTCGAGCACCGCATCCGCCAGGCAGGGTACACAGCCAAGACGGACCATCTGCGTCGCATGATGGACTTGAGCCGCGGCCGGAAACCTACCCGGACGCGGACGCCGCTGGACTGGGCGAGCGCGCTCGGCGGCGCCGTCTGGAGGGCTGGCTTCGTGCTGCAGCTGCTGTGGCACGTGGTCATGGTGACGCAGGTGCTGCAGGCCGGCGACCCGGCTGGCATGCGCGATCCGGATGGAGGCGATGCCCTGCTGGAGCGAATCGTCCCGTGGCTGAGACGGATAGCTGGCATCTTGCCGGCACAGGATGTACTCATGCGATGGAGCATCGCCGCGGCGTGTGCTTCGGCGTGGTGGAACCCCCACTTCGTGCAAGTGAACCGCGGGTTCACGAGACACTTGCTGGGACTCACTCAGTGGTATTCCTTCCAGGGCCTCATAATATTCTTCCGACTGGTCTTCCGGAGGGTGCAGGACATCGAGGGCGGGCAGAGCCAGTCGGTTCAGGCACAGCTCAGCATACACGCGGTCATGGCGGTTGTCATGGGGCTGGTGGGTGCCACTGATGGAGTTGAAGATAGACGGAAGCACTGACAGGATGATCAGATGTATGTTTTGGCCGGCAGGTCAATCCGAGTCGATACCTCGCCGCTGTTCGGGATAGACGAAAAGCCCGTTCTGCCCAAGCCCACGACGCCGGCCAAGCGGAAGCAGGAGGATTCCAAGACGTTTTCGGAGCTTTTCAACGACGCGTTGGAGTCGGTTGACCGACCGTCGCGGGCTCGGCCAGCCAGTTTAACCCCTCCTTCTCAACGGGCGACTGTCCAACAGCCGGTGGGAAAGCCCGGGCTGTCGTTTGGCGGCCTGGATCTGTCCGAGACTCCCACGCGACGGCGCCCGCAACCAGTCCAGTACGCCGAGGAGATGGACTGGTCACCCATTGCGCCTCATCAGCATCGAGCATTTGTTGGCCAGGCGTCGCCAAGCAGAGGGACTAGCAAGTTTGCGCGGCGGGAGCCCGAGGCCAGCAATCCCTTCCGCCACAAAGTTCCCGCAGCGCCGTCGAACCCAGCGCGGAGACTACTGAACCGGCCTCGCGAGTCGGAGCAAACCCCAGAGCCCGTGGACAATAGCCAAAGTCTGTTTGGCCAACGCCGCTCTGGGAGCGACCGCAATAATGCCGCGGAGACCAGTCAGAGCGTGGAGTTTAGACACCCCAAGTTCTTCGCCCCAGAGAGAGACGATGCGAGCTCCTTGGCAGACTTGCTGAGCCAGAGTTTTAGTTTGAGTCAGGAGCAGGATGTCGACGCCGGGAGCGCGGACGGGATGGCCACCAACGGAAAGCCGACTCGGGTCGCGGCAACGCGATCCGACAAACCGAGGCACAGAATTCCCACGTCCTCTGACGCCATCGTGTTCTACACTGTTGCTGCCTTGGTATTAGCCTGGTTGACAACAATGGCCATTGCCGTTCCTCGCCAGTTAGAGGTACGGTCGGTCATACTTCTCGTCGCCGGGGTCATTGCCCTCCGCGGCAACGACGCGACGAGCCAGGAGATTCAGACTTCGCCGACTCCAGGTGGGGTCGCGTACGTGCTCTCAGCGGTTGGCATTGCCGAGCTCGCGGCCGTGTGCTGGCTCGCGACCAAGGTTTGGGAGGGGGACGTTGCGGAGGTCAAAGTTGGCAAATACGGGCTGATCCTGCTTGGGATGATGTCGGCACGTCTGATGCTTAGAAGAGCGGGCATTGTATAGAGAACCATGTGTGTATTTCGTTTGCATGAAGCGGGTTGGGTATGGCTGCATTTACATCGGGGCGCTTCAGGTTAGAGCCCCGCCGCCTCGAGCGGCCTTGACTGGCGGACGGATAGCAAGGCGCGGCGAACAGTGCCCGCAGATGTAAAGGAATATGATTTGGCATGACAGAAGGCGACGAAACTGAAGTGGCGAGTGGAGTGACGCCATGAAGCAAACAAGAGTTGAACGACGCTACGGGGGCACGAGCCGCTCTAGCAGCGGAACAATCAATTCAATTCAGCCCGGAGAAGGCTCTCTTGTTCTCATGAGTGAAAACAAGCGTCTCGAGCCGCGGATCTGGCGAGTCCCTTGTTCCGTCTCGTCCGCCTCCTTTTCAAGGCCACCCTCGCCCCTGAGCACCTGCGCATCCCTCCTCGCCAGCACCACCCGCAGCACGACCGAAAACACAGTCGTCAGCAGGATGCCCATGGCAGCAAACAACTGCACGCCGAGATACCCGCCCGTGGCGTCGAGCATAGCCCCCGACAAGGGCGGCCCCAGCAGCGAGCCCACGCCTTTGAGCACCGACACCATGCCGAGCCTCGTCCCCAGGCGGCTCAGGTCGGGCGTGATGTTCGTCACCACCACCGTCGCGAGCGAGACGACGCCCCCGGAGAAGAAGCCGTACAGCACCGCAAACGCGACGTTGCCGGCGGGCGTGCTGACGCTGACCCAGTACAGAAGGCTGAGGGAGGTGCACGCCAGCACGGCAATGTACGTGTCGAGCGCGCCGACGCGGTCCGCCACAAAGGACGGGGCGATGCGTCCGGGGATGGTGCACGCGTTGAGGATCGCGACGAGGTAGTGCGCCAGCCCGGAGGCGGCCATGCCGTGCGCGAGCGCGTACGACTGCAGGTAGTACGGCGCGTTGAAGAAGACGAGGTTGTTGAAGAAGATGGCCGCGCAGTAGAGCTGGAACGGCCGCTCCTTGAACGCGCCCGTGTCGACGAACCACGCAAGCGAGAGGCCGCCTGCACGTCCACGACGCCCCTGCTGCAGCATCCAGGCCGGGCGCTCCCTCAATGTACGGGGACGCATCACCGCCAGGGCAAACAAGCACAGCACGACGGCCACAAGGCCCATAGCGCGGACCGCCCAAGCAAACCCGACAGACCGCTGGAGGCTCTCGAAAAGAAGAGGGTACGTCGTCGCGCCGAGCCCACTCCCCACCGTCGCCGCCGCCATGGCACGCGCCCTGCGCCGGCGAAAGTACAGCGGCACAAGGGCAATGGACGGCACGCTGATGCAGCACGCACCTAGGCCCATGCACAGCCCCTGCGCGAGGAGGACGTGCCAGTAGCGGGTCGCGAAGGAGGTGGCGAGGAAGCCGATGGTGAGGAGGGTCGTGCCGGCGACGACGAGGGCGCGCGCGTGGCCGCGGTCGTAGAGCGGGCCGATGACGGCGCTGAGCGCCATGAGGCAGAATATCTGCACGGAGCCGATCCACGATACGGCCGAGGGGGAGCTGCCGGAGAGGAGGTGCGCCGTGTAGTACGACTGGAAGACGCCAAAGGAGTTGACGAGGCCGCTGCCATGTTTCATTCCAAATCAGCGTGCGGTCTTTCAAGTTCTCTCCAATGACTCGCGATACTTTCTGGGACGGTTTGGTGCAACGTGGGGATACGAGGTTCCCGCGACGCAAACAGCAAACAACAAGATATCAAGGGGGAGAGAACAGGGAGGAGTCATGGCGGCGGTGGTGGTGTTTGTCGGGCAGGAAAACGGGGCAAAAGGGGGCTGGGAGAGGGGGACGAAGGAGGGTCGTACAGGTGATTAAAGTACAAGGCAAACGAGGCCGCGACCTGCAGCCAGGCCTTGAGACCGCCATCGACTCGCTCGTCGTCAAAGTTGCGCGCCTGATCCAGCACCATCACGGGCGGCGTTGTGGATGGCGGTGACTGCGGCGCCTGCATCTGCATCTGCGCCTCGAGATGAAGGGCATCGTCGACGCCGCCGCCGCCTTCGCCGCGCATCTGCGCCCGAGCCGCCGCCGTTTTGTCACCTGCAGGCGCCACAGCTGCAGGTCCAGGTCCAACAGCTGCAGCCGGCGCCGCCGCCACGACGCTGATGTCGTCGGCGTCGTCGTCCTGTCGCCGCGCCGAGCTGTCATCTGCCGGCTGTGCCATGTTTGCTGCTGCGTGCCGCGCGGGCGGTGGCTTGCATGATTTGGGGGCCCCCCGGGGGTAATGTCGCAGCTGCGTCTGATGAGGGGGCCGTTGTTTGTGAATCGTGATATGTGACCGGCCAAAATGCTGCGGATGCAGGAGGAAATGGGGAAGGAAGGCGATGGGAAAGAGAGCGGGCGGCTTGTTTTACAGACGGGAACAGGCTGGGATGTGGCAGGGCAGGGCAAGAAGGGCGGCAACGGGACGTGGACGACGAGGTTGGCCGATTGTCTCGTCGGATGCCGGGAGCTAGAGACGGCAGATCGGCGTGGCGGGGCGGGGTTGGCGGGCCCCGAAACGCGGGGGTGAATAAACGGCTTATGCCCATCGGCTTGCCGGCATCGGGCAGTGCGAAGCATGACGAGATGCCATCATGACCACATCGGTCGACAGAGGATGTGTCCCTGTCAGCCTTGGACAGCACAAAGCGGCAAACTCGGCAGTGTCTGCCTGCCTTACGGGCAGAAAGCACCGAGATTGGAGTCATCCATCTGCATGTTGGCCTCCATCAAAGTCGAGCCATTCTCCTTGCCATGATCCTTCAATTTCAAGAAGAGCCGAAGTGGCGTCTTGTCGGCGAGCGTAGATGGCAGATTTGGACACCGACGGTCTCGCGAATCGTACGCGCGCCTCAGATAGTCGACAAGTCGAGGCGCCTGACACGGCAGCATTTCATTTCCCTCAACATCAACCTATCAAACTGTTGGTCAGCTGCTGACTCGCTCGCTAACGAGACCGTTACACGAGGCGAAGTTGAGTCCAGGATCACACAAACGGGCCATGACTTCATTTCCACTGGCTGCACCCAAGCAGCCTCGCTGCAAGGGAGGTGCCCCTGCAGCCTTCTGTGCCGTCTTCTAGACTCAATAGATTGTCGGTCTGACCCTCGCCAGTTTGGCTCCTCGTCATATCCCTGACAAGTGAACCGCGCGGGTGAGGCTGCTCTCTCCTGTAGTGGCTGTCGGGCAGACATCGCCTGCTTCCGCTTTTGGCCCCGTCAAGCCTCTTTGTGCTTCGCTCTCGACGCCAATGTAACCCACCGTTGTTGACCTGGCCCCAATGACTTCCACAGGACCTCGATGTATCCTCGGCACCGATAACATGGCAGATTTCGTCTCTCTCGCGGATGACCTTGCATGACGGCCGAGAGATATATGAACCGCTTCCATATGCATTGAACAGATGCTCCTTGCTGAAAATGCAAAAACTTCCTTCCCAACCCAATCCAGAATTCCCACGCCCTCCAAGCTTGCTCTTGAAACCCTCCATGAAAGCGTGACCCGATGGCAAGCCCCCTTACTTCTGAGTCAGGAGATCATCCTTCGCAAGATACGCCAACGCCCGGCGCACCTTTCGATGTACATGAGAGCGATATGGAGGATACGCAGCGACCTCTCACAACACTTCACCGCTCGGTGCTTGCACTTGTTCTCGTTGGCGTGTACGCTAGCGCTGCCACTCTCACCTGGGTCCTGACATGCGTTGCCAACACGGAGCCAAAGAAACTTCACTCAACACTCTACGGCTACTACAACTCAATTGTCACACTGAGCGAGGACAACTCAGCTGACCCAGGGAATCTCGTCAATGTTTTGCGGAGCACCGAGGTCTATTACTTTGTAAAGTTCCTTCAGTCCGTTGTCACCGCCCTCACGATACCTGTCATTTCGGTACTTTGCTCTCATGCCGCTGTTGTGTATCTTCAACGACAGGCAAACGAGAAAGGGGACGGGCCAAGCCTTCGTCAAGCCGCGGCACTTGCAGATAGATCATGGGTTAGCCCCCTGATTATACTGAAAATTGTCTTTGTGAGCAGGGAAAGGAAGCGCTATGGCTCCCGTTTCTTGTGGTTGGCTATTGGGCTGACCATGTTCGGTAAATGTAAAAGAAGTCTGTTGGGTGTTCGTCACTAATGAAGTTGGTGGCAGGTCTCGCCATAAACCCGCTACAAAGCTTAGTGAAGACATATAAGATCATCACTATCCCATATCACCTTCAGGATATTCGAAATGCGACCGAGGGAAGGGGCCTCCTGGATATTGCGCATCGGTTTCAGCCCGAAATCATGAACTCAAGTTTCGGTGATCTTGTGGCTCGCACCCGGACCAAACTCTCGTGGACCAATACCAGCGACTTACAGACTCGACTGTGGTCTCACAACATGACTCTCGAAAATTGTCAGGATGAGGGCATCAAGTGCTGGTTACAAAGCACTTTGATGCTCTCAAACATGACCCATCTCGATGATTTCTTCTGGAGCCAAATATATCCAGGTTTCGGGACAGGCCTTGTCAAGCAGTTTGTTCCTCAAGTTAACTGGACTGTAAAAGCGTTATACAGCTCTGATACCAATTTCCCGCAAACTTGCGCGGGAACCGGAAACACCAACAAGCTTCCACTTCGTTATAGCCTTCAGGGACCCGAAGGTAGTTTGAATCTGGAGTTCTGCATGCCTGGCAACAGCCCGAAGACGACGTGGAGGGCACAAAGGCACAGACAACATCTCCACGAGGAACTCTTCGTCAGGTTAGATCTTGCCGAGGACCCAAGCGGTTTGTCACCTGCCGTGGGGAAATATATGTATCAAGTCATACTCGATACTACCGCAGGTTATTTCGAGCTCCCGAACTTCATGAACGGCGGTTTCGTCAGCACATTGCTGAACGCTGACCCTGTCAAAATTTGCTCCTATGCTTGGGACTGCCTGTTTCAACATTCCAATTCATGGAATTCCACGCATCAAATACCGCCGAACACGACCCGTATGAACGACACCAGCACGATAGAGAATCGAGGCCCACTTCTGACGATTGCACTGGCACTCTTTGGGCCAGGATCCTTCCTAAACGCGTCGGATGTGCAGCGACAATATGACCCAGACGGTAGAGAGCAACAATGCGGTCTCCGCTTGCCGATGGCAGGTTTACTTCAGTCTCTTGATTCTGGTTCTAGCCCTCTTGACAAGATCGACCTTTGTTACAAGGCGAATGACGCCGCCTTGCAGACTGCTCAGGCACAGTTTGTCACAGCCCTCTTTCCTGACCCTATCGATGGCCTTACCGCTGCTCAAAAAAACATTGAGAATGCTTTCAACATGGCAGCGTTCCTGGCCAATGATGTTATCATGACATACAGCCCATCTGCAAGCGACTGGAATCTACGATTCGACTACGGCATCGACGTTATTACCCCAGTGATGCGACAATCATATATGGTTCTCATGTCAGTCCTCCTTGGATTCTACTTGATCTATCTCGTGACTATGGCAACATATAGCGCCAGGACACGTCGATGGACACAACAGATGGATGCCTTCGCTCTGATGCGGATTGGTGCCTCAAGGCCGCACGACTTTCCGCTGGATGTTGCGCGGAAGCCGGATGACGTTCCAGCCCTTGATGCTCTCCCCGGTTGGATTGGAGAAAGAAGAAGGGCAGCTGAGGTTGGCAGCGGTTGTGTCCAACATAATGCAGATGGAACGGCCCATGGGAGGATTGGCACACTAGAGTTGGGTGGACCGCGCCCCTTGCAATCAGGTACCTTATACCCCTGCTATCGGGCAACTTGTGTCGGGAACCATGATCTGAAAGGCGGAGAAAGCGAAGGGATTCCTCTTGTGCGGCTTGAAGGAAGGAGGTAGCAGGGATATCATGGGCCAAGAGTTGATCATCGGATGGAACGCATTTTCAGCTATTTCATCAAACCCACATTATGTCTCTCAGCCGCGTCCCAAGGAACCCATGACATTTCAACAGGAATTGTAGACTGGAGATAGGGGCATCCGAGTTGCTTCTCAGTGTGTAAAAGTGCCAGTGTCGGTAAACGTCAAGTGGCAAACCGGCATCGTCCATGCCTCAGTAGAGACGGCGCGCTTCCCAATAGTTATCGGTTGACTTCATGCCGTTAAGCAGCCAGATTTGTTCGTGCACTGCCGGAGATTTCGATGGCCGAGTGAGACGTTTAACTAGGTGAAGCAGTGCACGAAACAGCGCTCAGCTATGATCACTGAGCGAGTAATACATTAGAAAGAGCTGCCGCTTATATGAAGTTTCGTAAGGCATCATTGAGCGTATCGGACTCTCTCAGGGCGATCGCGCTTCCCTTCCTTTCCAGCCCAGCTTTGTTATGCCACACAACCTTCATGCCGACAGCTGTGGCACCTTCAACGTCTCCAGCACTGCCAGCAACAAACAGCGCCTCCGTGGCCTTCACACCCAGCGCCTCTAGGATAGCCTCGTACGCTTTCCCGACGGGCTTGTAGAAACCGCTCTCCTCAGCTGTCACGACGGCTTTGAAGGCCTGCCCTGCCACTGGATCAACCTGCTTGGCGACGTTGGAGGCTGCCAAGTTGCCCATTTGCTTCGAGCAATTGGTGACCACGCCAAGTTCGTAGCCATTCTCTTTCAGCTGCCTCAGGGTCTCGCCAGCCTCAGGCCACGGCTGCAGATTGGCCCAGTCCCGGAGCAGGGCTTCAGGAGCTGAATCGGGCAAGCCAACATCTCTTGCTGCTTGTCTGACAAAGTCCTCGTATGGAGAGTAGCTGCCCGCCTCGAAGGTGAGCTTGAGGTAGCGTGCGCGCCAAGGCCGTCCTTCTGCTGCGGTTCCTGACGGGGTGGAGGCGTCCCACAGGCTCCACGAGTCCAGCAGACCTGTGAGGAGGTCGAACACGATGGCCTTGGGCCGCCAGTCAGGGTCGCGGGCGGCAGAAGACTCTGGCATCCTGACCACTTGAAGCAACAGCGACAAGAATCTGGATGCAGGCGCGCAGCAAGAGGCGAAGTGACTTCGATGGTACAGGACGTGGTCGATGAAGCACAACGCCGAATGCGCAGTGATGGGTCGACTTTTCCGTTTGATGAGTTGTCAATGAAGCCAACTTAACCTTGGCTTTCGCCCAGCTGTGCACAACATGCCAAATAGGATTAGTCTTGTCACGGGGTAGAGTCACTGACTCTGAAGGGATCGGAACCAGGGTCCGGTCGCGACCCCGCCCTGCGAAGTTCGGTGTCTGCTCCTGGGTGACTCGGTGGTGCGGATTTGGCTCCGGTGGGGTCGCGCGAGCTAACTGAGCAATATGTGGATGCCCTGGGCGAGCCGCCCGACTGTCGCGCGACCGAGACGATTTATCTAGTAACTAACGTTAATATCCGCATTCAAGCTACTAAGAAATAGGGAATTTACTAGTATATCGTCGATAGCAATCGCATCTAAAAGAGGGGGAGATATATTTAAAGGTACACCCCCTCTCCATGTCCTTCGCGTGTCGTCCCGATATCTCGATATTGAAGCCATGCTAGTGGATGCAACACATGGCTTGGAATATCAGTTGTCCGATTCCTTGTCGCCGCAAAGCAACAGTTCCGGTCGGGGATAGGCAGCGGCGCATTTTCCCACGTCGCGAACAACGGGTGATGTGCTAGACTGCATTGCGTGTGCAATGGCAGCGTCTGCAGCGATGACAAGGACAGGAGGCTACAGCAGCAACGGCTGTTCAAGTCATCGCGGCTGGTCAGGTTGAAGTGGTGCTTCGTAAAGCACTTCGGGTTGGCGTCTGGTCTTACTCTCCCTGAGCCATGGCCCCGGCAGTTCATGTTCTTGGAGCCAGGATAAGCAGGGGGATCCCCCCAGACAACCCTACCTGGCTGCTTTGGAGGGACTTTTTAGGACACGGTTATCCCTGATCCCGGGTGTCGTGAGTGCTAACCGCGGGGAACAAATCACACACCTCTTTCAAGCGCCCCCCACCCCCTTCTTTTTTTCAGGGTTCTGTCATGCAACGGGGACAGCAAGGTTGCACAAGACACACCAGGTTCGGCGCTTGCGACTCGGTGGAGCGCCTCAGAAGTTCAATCATCGAAAATACGCACGGAGGATTGGGAACGCCCTATAGATCTGCTGATTTCGCAGTCTGGCTTCATCGATCCTCTCCAGAATGGGGGGCTGCTCGAAGAAATACCTCCAGTCTCCTCCGTTCCAAAAGAATCGCGGGATGACACCTAATAATTAATTAAACCACTGTCTCCGGACCCGTACAAAAAGCCATGGAATCAATAATTGTTGCGTACTCTCAACCATGCGTATATGGGGTGGCGCTGTGCTCGCAGGGGACTCCTTCCTGTTCATGAGGTCCATGTCTCCCACTACGAGGCAGTTCGTAGGATATGATTGAACGTTGCAGACGAATTGAACTGACCCAACTCGTGCGATTGTGGTTGGCAGAGCCGACCGAAGGGAGGGTGCGCCGTGAAACTCTCGAGCATGCAACAACGAGCTACGGTCTGCCATGCCCTCCAAGTCTGGTGGCGCACGTAGTGTCAGGGAAATGTGACGGCCGGATGGTTCATTTGTCGTATATGAGTCATTTGCGAGATCCATCCGCGACGGATAGCAGACTCCAGTACTGTACCCCCTCTCCCGATATACTGCACTTTGTCAAAGCAACAAATGGGCCAGTACCTGCCCCCAGCCTTCCTGCCCCGGCCGCAACACGTATCGTCAGTCCTGGCGCATGGCGGTATAGGACATGCTGGCCAAGCGGCAGCAGGAAGGTTGCGAAATGATGATTAAATTATACATCGTTTGTTGCGATTGCATTGAGTCTTCTCGACAGGTACATGGCCGTGCAGGAGGCCCGCCACAAATCCTCCTAACGAGTGCTCTAGCTGAATAGTGAAAGGTCAAATGTACATGATCTACAGTCTGCTACCTTGAGATGTAACGATGAATTGGAGGGGGCTTTGTTGCAAGGGCTACCCTGTCGTGATGGGACGTGACAGCTCGTGTGGCGGCCTGGTACGTGTAGGTGGGATTCTTCCACGACGCGTTCAAAAGTATGAATATGCCCTCATTTAAGCAGTCGGGAGACCACCGAGAACGCCCTTCCAGTCACAAGAACGCCCTTCCAGTCACACATCAAATTCTCTGCTGCTGAAGTCTATTCCTGGTCTACAGACGCCAATCGCCGCGCTGAATTGCACACAATGAGGGCTTCACTAGCTGCGGCCTGGATGACAGCATCGTGCGTTTTCTTCGGTATAAAACCAGTTCTGACTTGACATACCCAGCAATAAAATAGCTGACTCAATTATAAGCATGTGCAAGAACCCAGCTCATAGGAATACCCACGACTCCATACAACCAGTCTGGAAATAGCACCGTCGCTCTTCATCACCTAAAGCATATTGTCGTTGACAAGCGGTTTGCGCAACATCGAGATGGTTCCGGCCTAAGTCTGATTCCACCAACACTACGTGAATTTGCCACCACGTTTGCAGAGGATCTCGAAAATATCCTCGGAATCCGTACGGTTGTGCTGGAGGATGCCAAGAGCAAACCCAATGGCATCTTCCTCACCCTTGGCGACGCAGATACCTATCTTGACGCTGCGGGGCGGCCAACATCGGAAGGCTACACCCTCAGAGTTGATGAGTTGGGCATTACCATCACGGGGGCAAGCCCTTTAGGAGCCTGGTGGGGAACCCGGACCGTTCTTCAACAAGCCGCTATCCATGAGGGTGCACTGCCGATGGGCACTGGTATCGATGCCCCGGGCTGGTCAACGCGAGGCATGATGCTCGACTGTGGGCGACACTTCTATCCGAAAGAGTTTCTGATCGAGATGTGTTCATACATGTCCTACTTCAAACAAAACACCTTCCACCTACATCTCATGGATGATGTCGGCGGAGTTAAGAAAACGGACAACCTCCAGGGCATCTATGCAAGACTCCGCCTCTGGTCAAACGGTGATGCGGTCAAGGGACTTAACAACCACCCCAACGAGTCATATACACGCAGAGATTTTGACGAAATTCAGGACAAGTGTGCCGCACGTGGAGTGGCCATCTTGCCCGAACTGGAATCGCCCGCACATGCAATGCCCATAGTTCAGTGGCGCCCCCAGATCGCATACCAAGGCGACGTGAGTCAGCTGAATATCTCACACCCCGATACGGTTCCTACAGTACAGACAATCTGGAAGGAGTTTCTGCCGTGGTTTCACTCTAAAGTTGTGTCTATCGGCGCGGACGAGTATCGAGGACCGAAGGACGACTATAAGAAATTCGTCAACATCATGGATAGATTCATCAGGGAGGAGTCGGGCAAGTCCATTCGAATATGGGGCACATTTCCTCCGCAAAAAGGCAAGCCGTCGAACAACGAAATCTCTCCGAACGTCTCGATCCAGCACTGGGCTTACAGCTTTGATAACCCGCTGAACGATTACATAAAGAACAACTACTCGGTCGTCAACTCGGATGAGATGTTCTATATTGTGCTCAAGACTCGCTACTATAGCCGCACCGTTAACACTTCTATAACTTTCCAAGGGGATCCGAGCACTCATGGGCCATGGTATCCGTATATCTTCAGCTTGAAGAACGCAACAAACAACCCCCCGCGCGACGAACCTCTTGTTCAAGGTGCTATTGCGCCGTTGTGGAATGACCGCGGTCCGAGTGCTAGCGTGTACTCGGAGGCCTACTATGCTTGGCGTGATGGCATACCGGCCTTGGCTGACAAGCAGTGGGGAGGCAGTCTAACGAAAGGTCAATTTGTGGATGTTTTCCCGAAACTCCATCAACACATTCCGGGACAGAATCTGGAGCGATTTATTCCTTCAAATGGCACTACAATCTTCAGATACGCCTTCAACAAGAGGAGAGGCAATATCGTTCAAGATGTCTCTTCTAATGGCTTCAACGCCAAGACAACCTGCAAATCAACAAACTCGTCTATGATCGTCACCCCTAATTGCACTCTCACAACTCCCTGGGCATCCAAAGGGAGGAATTACACTCTATCATTGTCCCTTAAAGTTGACGAGCTTGCCAATCCCACCAGTACTACACTCATTGAAGGTTCGGATTCGACCCTTATGTTAACGCCCAACATCACTCTATTCGCGGCTGGAAACTACTTGCGACTAAATACCACGATCCCTTTGAAAGAATGGATAACTCTGAAGATTATTGGCCGTGGGCAGCGAACATTTGCTTCGCTGACTTCGAGGTTGGCAAACTCGTCTGGAGAGGAACAAGAATTTCTCTCATGGATGCAGCGTGACAACCGCTGGGTACCGATGGCAATTGAAGCTCCCATCAAAGAAGTCAAGGGGTGGACTGGGGAAATGAATGGGCTTAGCTTGACCAACGAGGCTTAAAATCCTTCATAACAGCCAGGCAATGATGTTGGTTAGGTAGCTTGGTCCTCGTACGTACTTGGTCATCGGTCGCCAGGGTAGTTTTTCTAGGAATCTATTCCTTTTCTCCCCTCAACCCGACACGAGATGTGCAGCCCAGATGTGCAGTATGGAATCTCGTATCACGTCCGGCGTACCTACCGTGGCTGCAGCTGCCCTGATAGCTGCTCCCTGGACAGGTGAGGCGTCACTAGTGTACGTTGGTTGGTTGGGATCCCTGCAGTTGCTTCGGGCTTGTGCCATTCAGTATCATGGGTTCAACAGTGCGAACGGTGATACCGAAAATACACAGTGGCTTCGTTCTGACTGTAGCCGATTCGCCGTGGTGTGTCTGTGCCGGTGCACGACTCGGACGAATTTCACAGGTATCGGATCGACCGGGGTTGTCCCCAAACCCAGACCTCCTATTCCCGTACTTCGGCTGGATCCTGCTGGCCCATTCTCCGCGGCGCTGCCATGTGGTAGGTGGTTACATCGCTTACAGCTTGCCCAACCAAGATTGCATGACCGAGTGGGGCTGACCAATAAGTGCCGGAGATATTGACATGAACCGCACAAAGATCTGTCCACTCCGTCTTAGTAGGTTGTTCATCCACAGCAATCCGTCAATCTGAGTTGTTCTGTGGCGAAAGCTCAGCTGATGATGCTGAGATGAAGTCGTGCCGACTTGATGTTAAATATTACCTAATTTCATCTTCAAACCCCGGTGGCCATAGGCGTGTCACTATCGAATTGGTGTGCCAAGGCTTCGTACTCACCATCACTGAAAGGAGATAGAAGCACGCCAATCCTACGATGTGAGGGAGGGCAGCATGTCCATACGAAGGAGCCTATAGACTGTTTCATGTAAGATCGAAACCCACGGAGAGGACATGGAGGCAAATTGGGGCTTGCCCCGCACCAGGCGTATTTCCTGCCACAGCACGAGGTACCCGGGTGTGTGCTACCAATTCGGCACTTCGCATGCACTTCTGACGTCGCTCCTGCTCAGTGCTTCTCCCAACGCGGAGACTGAGAGTTACTTCGCTTAAAGAAGGCAAGCTGCCCATACGAAGGAGCCCATGGGCTGTGTTACATCGGATCGAAGGCCGCAGCGGAAAGAGACAGTTAGCAGACCACGGCTGTCTCTGCGCCCAGCATCGTTCTGTCCCCTGAAAGCACCAGAATATGACGACATGAAACCTCGCAATTGGCTGTGTAAGTGATTTGCTTTGGCTTATGGGCCGCTCTTCTCACGACATGAATCTCCAATTGCCGAGAAATAGAGGCATCCACCTCGTCGTATCTTCTGCTTGCTGGCCCAGAGGCAATTGACACTGATATTAGACCAACTTCGCACTCATGGTGGCCTCGGTGCGAGGACTGGCGATCATTCCCTACAACTCTACCGCTGCCCAAACAATGTGTATGACCGGTTGGTGCTAGTAGATCAAGTCGTATGCATGATTTTCTGGTGGCTTGAGTGCACGGCATAACCGAGCGATTGAATCATCAACCCCATGGCCTCTCGGCCCGCGCTTCCCCGAGACTGTCCCTACGTGTATGCAGGCTAATTGCAAAACACGGCATCTTATGGCAAATGGGTGGTTATGTGCCTTCCCAGCGAGATGGCCAGATACAAATACGGGACAACATTCCTGGGAACGAACATCTCCAAAGTGCTCCTCACTCTAGTCTCACGCAGTGCTTCACACAATGCAGCTCCGTATTATCCTCATATTTGCCGTGGCACTTGCCACCAGCCCTACCGTTGCAGCGGACACGATGGTCTATATTCACATGCTGTCGAACTGGGGAACCTGGGATGGCTGGGGTACATCGCTGGCTTGGTGGGCAAAGCGGTTTGGCGACCGGGATGACCTGGCCGATGTCTTCTTCACGCTCAACTCCACTCAGTTCAGCAGCGAGACACTCCCGGGCATGGGGATGACCATTGCGCGCTACAATGCGGGCGCATGCAGCCGGAACAAGATCAGCGGCCGCAGCATGGTAGAATCGCCTAACATAGTGCACTCTCGGCAGATGGAAGGGTTTTGGCTGGACGGCAACGATTCGGATTCGAGCACAGCAAGTTGGGACTGGAGCGTTGACGCGAACCAGCGGGCCATGCTGCAGAAAGCACGAGCCCGCGGGGCCGACCGTTTCGAACTATTCAGCAACTCGCCCATGTGGTGGATGTGTCAGAATGATAATCCCTCGGGTTCCAACTGCCTCAACGTGCCGATTCAACACTGCAACGACGAGAATCTGCAGCCTAGCTACCGGCAGGAGCACGCCGTGTATTTGGCCACAATCGCGAAGTACGCCCGAGACAACTGGGGTGTGGCGTTTGAGTCCGTGTCGCTGTTCAACGAGCCTTCATCGCACACGTGGATCGGCTATCTGAACGACTTTGAAGCCTGGGTGGCCGCGAAGGCCGGATATGGCAATTGGGGCACCCAGGAAGGGTGTCACATCAACTGGGACACAATGCCGGTGTTGATCAAGGCCCTGCGAAGGGAGCTCAATAGCCGTGGCCTAACTGGGGCCTTGATAGCGGCGGCAGACGAGAACTCGTATCGACAAGCCATCGACACGTGGCATGTCCTCGACGACGCGGCGGTGCTTGGGGAAGTTCAACGGGTGAATGTCCATAGCTATTGGGATGGGCAGCGCGACGTCCTGCGCGACTTGGTCCTGGGCCACGGCCAGAAACTGTGGATGAGCGAGTACGGCGACGGGGATGACACGGGTCACGAACTGGCCAAGACGTTGCTGCTCGACTTCCGCTGGCTGCGCCCGACGGCATGGGTGTACTGGCAAGTGCTTGACAAGGGAGGTTGGGGCCTCATCGACGCTGAAAACGACAACGGTAGGCTCGGGGAGGCAACGCAGAAGTATTTCGTGCTCTTGCAGTTCACGCGCCACATCCGGCCTGGGATGCGCATTCTCGACGGCGGTGCCGAGAACGTCGTGGCGGCGTACGACTCGGCGGCGAAGAGGCTGGTGGTTGTTGTCGCCAACTGGGGCTCCCGCCAGGATTTCAAGTTTGACCTGCAGCGCTTCGCAACGTCCTCGGCCCATGGGCCCCCCCTGAGGCGCTGGAGCACCAAGATGGGCCGCGGTGGAGATCGTTATGCGTACTCTGAGTTCCACGAGGATCCGGTTTTCGGTGACACGGTGTTTGTTCAGAATATCGACGCGAATACAGTGGCGACGTTCGAATTCGATGGCATCACCACGAGCGACTTCTACTCGATAAAGGTCAACGCCACGTGGGCCCCGGATGGTGTCCTGAAGCAGTCCGACTTCTACGGGGGCACCAACCCTCGTGCTGCCGTCAGCTTCGTGCCAAGCCTGGTAGCTCTGAGCGGGCCGGTGAAGATTGAGAAGATGTGGTTCCGGTCCGGTGATCGACTGGACTATATCAGACTGGACATCTCGGACGGCGGCGAAACAAAGCCGGCCCACATCTATCATGGATCGGATGGGGGTGGCCACGGGGTGGACATGACATTGGGCTCCGGCGAGTACTGGACCGAGGCGGAACTGTGTCAGGGAGATCGCCCAAACGGCTGGGGCACTGGTATATACTATATCAAGGCCATGACTAGCGAGGGCCGCTCCCTGGAGGCCGGCCATAAAACCAGAGACTGCCATACCTTCAAAGCACCCATGAGGTGGCAGATCGTGGGGACCGTTGCCTGGGAGGGCAGGGAGATAGATGGGTTATCTTTTGTCTACGGACCTCGGTGATAATTGAGCAAGGTGGTGGTTGTGGCGGGCGGCTTGTCTTCTTTGAAATTATGCCCGCTTAAGAAATCGCCTCGTTAAAAGTCCGATTCTGTTCATGCTAACAGGGCGTGCCGAGCAGGGCCATTTTCATCCACGTATAGCTGAGTTTAGCTCGCGCGACCCTACCAGAGCTAAGTCCGTAAGTGCCGCCGAGTCATCGGGGACTCCACATTTCCGAGGATCGAGCTTGCCGAACGGGCTGTGCCAGGCGGGCGACGGAAGGATCGTGCCCGTTGGATCGTGGCTTTCCGCAAATGGACCACTGATTGGAGTCATCATGAGCAGTTTGCTCGAATGTCCAGGACATGAGTAACGACCTCCCCACGCCAAGGACCCTGCGAGGCCCCGACTGCTGCGTATCTTCAAAAGAGGAAGATGCAGCGAACGAACTTGGCAATTGACACCGTGCTGCCCTCGGTCCGCACGCCGCAGTTGTATCCGTTGGTCAATTGCCAGCTCTTGGTCAATCCCTCGACTGTCCTCCTCGGAGAGCCCGGAGCTCCAACATGACATGAAAATTGCGGGCATGTTCAAATGCCATCTTTTTAATATCCGTCAAACTTCCGGGAGCCGTCTCAGCCCTACGCTCCGCCCGTGGCTGTCAGTGTCAACCCCTCAGCGGGCGGACGCTTTGAGATTGGCCGACTCCGAGCCGAGGCTGGACTCTACCGGAGCTAGTAGCCGGCACGTTGAGCATCACGATGCCCTTATGAGAAGCTGTCTCAGCCGCAGCAAACATTGAAGATTGTTCGCAGCACAGCATCCCCACTCTTCATAACTGCAAAATGCCTGCAGACCCGAAACTCAACCTGGACGACCGCGTGCCGTGGAGCGAGCCGGCATGGTATCGCAGCCTCTCGTCGCCGTATTATAACGAGTCGCACCGGCGGCTGCGCGACCGCGTGCGCAAGTACGTCGACGAGAAGATCCTGCCCGAGGCGCTGGATTGGGAGGAGGCCGGCGACGTGCCTCGCGATGTGGCGCTCCAGTTCTGCCGGTCTGGCATCCCCTTCGAGGATGTGCCCGTCAAGTACCGCCCATCAGACATCCCTGTGCTGGCGGGCGTACCGCACGACCGGCTTGATGCCTTCCACATGCTCATCGTTTCGGATGAGATGGCGCGTGTAGAAGGCGGCGTGGGCATCGCCTTGGCGGGCGCCTCGTCGATTGGCGCCCCGCCCATCATCCATTACGGCACAGAGGCGCAGAAGGCGAAGTGGCTGCCGGGGCTGTTCGACCGCACGACGAGCTTCAGCCTGGGCATCACGGAGCCCGGCGGCGGATCAGATGTCGCGCGGCTTAAGACGACGGCGGAGAAGACGCCCGACGGCAAGTTCTACATCGTCAACGGAGCCAAGAAGTGGATTACCGGCACGCCCTGGGCCTCGCACATGACGACGGCAGTGCGCACAGGAGGTGATGGCATGAAGGGCATCTCCGTGCTCGTCATCCCCATGGACAGCCCTGGTGTGCATCACGAGAAGATTCGCAACAGCGGGCAAAATGCCGGCGGCGCATCGTTTGTCGACCTTGAGAACGTCAAGGTCCCGGTCGAGAACCTCATCGGCGAGGAAAACAGGGGCTTCCCCGTCATCATGAAGAACTTCAACCGCGAGCGCTTCCTGCTGGCCGTGGGCTGCAACCGCAAGAGCCGCACGTGTTTGGCCATGTCGTTCCAGTACGCGATGCAGCGAGAGACGTTTGGCCGGCCGCTCATGCACAACCAAGTCATCCGGCGCAAGCTTGTCGAGCTGGCGCATCGCGTCGAGGCGCACTGGGCCTGGCTCGAGCAGATTGCCTACCACGTCGGGCAGTCGCCGCTGGGCTGGCAGAGCCCGGATATTGCGAGCCGCATTGCCCTGGTTAAGATCCAGGGCGGGCAGATGGTCGAGCTCGCGGCAAGAGAGGCACAGCAGATCTTTGGCGGCGCCGGATACCAGAGGGCCGGGCCGGGCGCGACGGTCGAGCAGATCAGCCGGGACCTGCGAATGCTGGTGAGTTTTTTTGAACGTGTCGATGCTGAAGAAAGGCATCGCGAGGCTAACGTTGACCTAGGTCGTTGGGGGCGGCAGCGAGGAGATCATTTCGGATCTCGCGATCCGACAGGAGCTTTCCGTGGCGGCAGGCAAGGCGAAGATGTAAGATGTACGAATTGCCACGGAGGAAGGATCCTGGGCGGAACCTAGAAACATAAGGTTGCCATCTTGGTTGTTGCACGACATGCGGCGGCACCACGTGCAGCCAGGAGAGAGGCGGCAAACTGTGTAACATGGGCATGCATCTGATAGCAATAGCATTCGGTTGGTGTTGTCACGTGCGTCGAATGCGTTGCCAAATTGACGCCGACGCAAAGCGGTCCGGCAATTGACGCGGAATACCTGAAGATCATTGCGGACTTCGATGCGGATCAACAACCACATCTGGCCCCTAGGCAGTGTAGGCACGCGGCGCAGCAATTCGTATCAATTACTTGCAGGCTTGTCCCAGCATTATGTATCTGGCGACCCAGCGGTGATGGAATCAGCATTGTGGAATCAACAGCCAGCTCTTGGTCCAGCCACTGATTCGCTCTCGGCAGACCGAGTTCTCCGAATGAGTTTAGACGTGCGCAGCCCCAAACGGCGTCCACAAAGTCCACTTACACGGCCACGCGTTTGGCGGCCAATGGCAGCCCCGCCGCGCGCGCCCAGCACCTGGACGAATTTCGTCCGAGATATGCGAGGGTCCTCCCCTCGCACTCTCTCGTTGTGCCGACCCTGCCCTGCGATATCCACCACGTACACCTTTACGGCGTCATGCGCGCGACCCCGCGGACAGAAAGAAGAGTCCGGGCGGAACCTCAATGAGGCAGTACAAGCTTTCGCATTGTGCAGCGGACGTGTGGAGAGAAGTGGTGGCAGGATGAGTGAGGCGTAAGCTGACGGCCCTCGATTGCCGACTGGTCAGGCCGGAGGCTGACGCCTGCTGAGAACAACTATAAAGACAAACAGCCCTCCGCAAAGTCGAAAGAATCGGTAAATAGAGTTGAACAACAACAAGATCCAACGTCATCATCATGGGTTCTACACTATCGGGAACTGACAGCCTAGCCTGTCCCTTCGTCATCCCATCCCCCGACAAGCCCCTCAGCGACATCCTTCCCCGGTGGACCGAGTCGAACCTATCTCATCCAGCCATTCTCTTTACTCCAAAGAATGAGGACCACATCGTCGCCGCCATCCGCGTCGCCAAGCAGAATGGCCTGAACGTGGTGCCTGCCGGTGGTCGCCACGGCGCCTTCGTTGCCATTGACTCCAAGACTGCGTTGGTGGAGTTGAGGGAGTTCAAGGCCATCGACTTGGACAAGGCCAACGGCACCGTCCGCGTGGGAGCGGGTGTTCTTACCGGGGAGCTGCTCAAGCTTCTCATTGAGGAGGGCTACTACACGACGCTCCCCAACTCCAATGCCGTGAGTATCATCGGCGGTATTCTTGGAGGCGGCAACACGGCGCAAAACGGCCTGCACGGCTTCATGGTCGACAATGTTGTCTCATTTCGAGTCATTACGGCGGGTGGACAGACCGTCGAGGTTTCGGCCTCATCCTCCGGCGATGAGCTTGCGTTGTTCAACGCCTTGTGCGGCGTGGGCCATGGGCTCGGCGTCGTCACTGCTGCCACGATGAAAGTCTACCCCGTCTCCTCACTGCGCCTCACAGACAACAAAGTATGGTCGCGACTCTTGATGTTCCCTCCCCCCGCTCTCGACGCTGCCGTGGACGCATTCTTGTCTTTCGATCAAGTCGCCGGCCCACTCACGCTCACAATTATGTTCGTGCGCAGTCCGCCTGGCACCCCAGCCGCGGGCTCGCCAATTATCCTCATCGCGGCGACATACTACGGCCCTGCAGAGGAAGCTGAAAAAGCTGCTGCTAAGCTCTTTGACGAAGCAGTTGTGAGCAAGGCCTTCAAGGCAGACACGATCATGGTGCCGCTTCCTGGAATTAACAACGGCATGGAGCCCAACAACGCGCTCGGTGGCTTCAAGGCTATGAATTCGGCGCGCCTCAAGCAATTGACGCCCGAGGCCATCAAACAGAGCTTCGCCAAGTGGGTGGAGGTCACCACCGATGCCCCCGACGCTGCCCGCACGGCAGTCTTGTTCATCAAGTTCAGCCCAGACAAGATGATTGCGAATGGAAACCTGCCGGAGCACAAGGGCAAGTACTTCGAGGGACGCGATCGAGGCGCGACGGCCATAGCACTGCCGTGGTGCGCTACGCCCGCATCGAAGGACAAGCTGGACACCTTCGTGGACGAGTTCCTCGATCGCGTGCGCAAGGTAGACACTGCTCCGCCGAGGACGTTTGCCAACACTATGAGGTTCGGCGCGACCTTGGATGAGCTGGTGTCGAAAGAAAGAGTGGCAGAGGTCAAGAAGATCAAGGCCTCTTGGGACCCAGAGGAGGTGTTCTGGAACCCGTACTCGCAGCGCGCAAAGAGTTCTCTGTAGGTTGAAGCTAGACACTCTCATGGTACCTTGAGGCCTCCCCCGTGTGGACTACATTGTGACCGCTGTGTCAGCTCTTCCTCCCGCTTGCTGATGGACATTGTTTGCTACTCGGCCGGGAGAGACAGAACAAAGGGATCATACCACGGTGCGAGTCAAACACCGGGGCTTCTACAAACATCCCGCACTTTCGAATAAATTTCATATAAGCGGGACAAACGTGATCGTTGGATCATCACAAGTACTTTTCCGTCTCGTGCTGCCCTTTGAACCCGCAAAGGCTCCCTCGCAAAGATCACGTCACAAGTCAGTGCAGATCCTGTCCACGTATCACTCCGACATAAAGCGACACGATGTCTCGGCCGCAGTTGCCTTTCGTCTTCGGGGCTGCCCAAATTATGTCCACGATGGAGTCGGTCATGGCCCGGTTTGAGCAAATGCACGAGACGATGATCCGAACTGTGACTCCGTCAAACGCCTTCTTCGCCAACACATTCGAGCCATGGGCCCGTGTTTCCAACGAGACCGAGGCTGACACGGGTATGATCCAGCTGCTGGGCTATGTGGCTGCCGACAAGGAGACAAGAGACGCCGCGGATAAGGCGCAGAGATTGCTCGGCTTCGCCCACGCGGCGTGGATGGCGAGGTCAGATCTCTTTGTTTTGCTGAAGGCGGCGGCCGAGAGAGATGAGATGCTTGATCCAGAGTCCAGGCATTGGATGGAAGCTAAGCTGCGAGACTTTACTACATGTGGACATGGTTCACTTGACGAATCAACCATGCATGCATATATCAGACAGCTCTCCGACATCGAGGACCTGAAGTACAGATACAACAGAAATCTGATGGAAGAGAACGGGGGCTTGTGGATGGATCGACAAGATTTGGACGGAGTCCCAGAGAATGAGCTGCAGAAATTGAAGCGAGATGGAGGCGTCAACGAAGGAAAGTACTTCGTGCCGTTTGCAAATGGTGGCGCCAAGATCGTCCTGAGCTACGCCTGCAAAGAGAGCGCCCGCAGAAAGATTTTCCTTGCGGAAGAGGCCAAGGTACCTGAGAATATGAAACTGCTTCAAGAGATAACATGTCTCCGCGACGCGCAGGCCAAGTTACTCGGATACAAGAGCCATGGAGAATTTCGCATTCAAGGTCGGGCTATCAAGTCGGTTTACTCCGTTGAGAAGCTCCTCGCAGAGCTCCGAGAATCACTCGTACCGCTCGGAAGACTGGAGCTAGCAGAGCTACAACGACTGCGCGTGGAAAGTCTCAAGAGACACGAGCCCTTCGAGTGCAGTGAGAATGACCGGCTTCCTCCGTGGGACTTGGCTTACTACAAGCGTCTCAGAAGCCTGGCAGCGAGCGTGGATGAGGAAGCAACATCGGAGTATTTCCCGCTGGGGCCAACCGTCACCGGCATGTTGGCAATATTCGAACCGATCTTGATGCTGCGCTTCGTAAAAATTCCTCAGAACGAACTTGATCGCGACTCCACATGGCATGAGTCTGTGGAGGTGTGGGAAGCATGGGATACTGAGGGTAACGACTTCCTCGGGTTTCTTTACTTTGACCTTCTTTGGCGCGAAGACAAATACAAAGGCTCGCAGAACGCCAACATTCACTGCGTGAGTTTGACTGAGGCGGGAGCCTTGAAAGTTCTGACTGACACATCGCGACAGGGTTTTCTTAAGCAAGACGGGACGCGAAAGGCTCCGGCTACCGCACTGATGTGCTGTTTCCCTCAACCTACTGAATCCACCTGTGCGCTTCTCAAACACAGTGAGGTTGTTATCCTCTTCCATGGTAGGTCTCCTTGGGTCTGGACCCCCTTTCCGACATGCTGACTTGCTATAGAGCTGGGGCACGCCATCCATGACCTCGTGTCTAAGACGAAGTTTGCGCGTTTCCATGGAACAGGCCTCCCAGTGGACTTTGGTGAAATGCCTAGCATCCTGCTCGAAAACTGGTGCTGGATGGAGGAAACCCTGAGCAAACTAAGCTGCCACTACACTACGCTGGATCCTCGATATTTGGATGAATGGCGTGCTTATCATGTTGGAGCCCCTGATCCGCCTGCCAAGATCCCGAGTGACTTGTCGAAGCGGCTCATCAACACCACGTATCTAAACCACGGCCTCTACTATCTTCACCAGTTGTACGTACAGCATATCGCGGATACCGCTCCCCGTGGGCTGACAGATCTGCAATAGGTCGGTATCCATATTCGACATGAAAATACACAACCCAGCAGGCCCTGGCGATATCGCATCCCTCGAGCTTACAAAGCTCTGGTACGACATAAGAGAAGATATCGAGGGAATGGACTTCACAGAGTCCCGCAAGAATGGGCATGGGCACGTCACCTTTGGCCATCTTGTGAGCGGATACGACATGGGATATTATGGCTATCTCAGGTGAGTCACTCATTTCCAGTTGATGAACTCGAAAAGCGCCTAAGCCATACTTAGCTGCACTGCTCTTGCTCAAGATGTTTATCACACTGTCTTCGCGGACGATCCGTGGAACCCCGATGCATGGAGGCGATTTCGTATCGGTATTTTGCAGTTTGGTGGCAGCCAACCGGATCAGATGGCAATGCTCGAACGCTTCCTCGGTCGCCAGCCTGCTTTCGATGCTCTCGCCAAAAGTCTTGCTCTTTGAGGCATGCCCCATGGTTCCAGTCCTCGCGCAATCCTTACAGCCTGGCCTATCCATGAACGGCAATCAACGACCATGGCAGTAAACAATTATTATCGGCCGCTCTTATAGGTCAAATGTCAAGCGTGTAGTATAAGTGCACTTGGCCATGACTTGACAGGTGAGGAAGTTTCGGCTCATCCCAGGCAACATTGCCGTCCAGCACTGCTACAATTACAGCGGGCGACTGCCTGCTAGACGCACTGCCGGCTCAATTGCAGGCTGTGCAGCGGGCTAGGATGACCCAGGGCTATTGATCCACCAGCCAACACAGCAGTGAACACAACATTATGCTAATTTTTACCCACTGTAACCGCCACCTTGTTAGTAAGTTACATTCGACGATGATACTCATCGGCCCTGCTGGTTGCCAGATGCCCGCTAGAAGCTACGGATGGCTGGCCGAGGTTGGTCCGGCAAAGTGCTCCCGACCACTGCCAAACGGTTTTCGGGTCAAGTGTAAGCCAGGCCTTCCTCGCAAGGGTGGTGGACATGCCGGCGGACGATTTTCGGGGGATTTCCACAGTCCAACAGGGCACCTGCAGCGTCGCACATGCTCGCAATGATGCTCAGCCCGGCAACGTGGGCTCACATCAGTGATGTCAGATCTTGGGCTGAACCTTGAAATCAGGCTGAAGATAAGATCGCAGGTGACCACTAATTGCGAAAATAAATATCACGTGTGTTCTGGACGGCTTTGCCATCCACTGCGTTGTTTCTCAACGTCCGGCAATATCTCCATCTGCATCTCTGAGCAGATTACAGGCGGTACAATTCCTATAGCGGAGCCGGACAGATCTGATCCAACTTGCGACCATGATGACACAGACCACAGTGCCTGTGAGCGGGCAACTCGATCAGGTTCACGACACCAGCTTTTACGGGTGCGGCGGGAGGGCTGGCGCTCCAACTTCTACGATGGATATGGAAACACCAAGCATGCCCGCTCTGACTGGCGTGAGCCCCGATGGCGAAGTTGACACCGAGTTCTTGATCATCGGCTGCGGGCCAGCAGGGGCCTCGCTTGCATGTTTTCTGGCCTCATACGGTGCCTGGACCTGTTCGCTAGACAGATAAGTACATACCGAGGCTAACTGGAAATAGGATTGACGGGCGTTATGGTCAGCGCGGCCGCCGGTACGGCTAGCACTCCTCGAGCGCATATAACAAACATGGCCGCTATTGGTAAGAGCTGTGAATAAAACAACAGAGCTTGGAATTATAGTTGATTCCCGGTACAGAATGTCTCGCAGACATTGGCCTTGAGCAGGAAGTCCGCGCAGTAGCTTCTCACGGTCATGCCATGATCCACACGAGATGGTGCCACAGTATGGCTGGTGAGGAGTATGCACGACTGTACTCTTGGGGCAACGATCCTCGACGGAAGGTGAGATCAAGTGTCCTTGGGCTCCGGCTTGGCATGAGCCGTGCAGCGTTGCGTGATCAATGTATACCAACAGAAGTAGGGCGACTATGAGCTGGCAAGTCCGTGCGAACCAGTCGACATACCGCAGACATTACTGGAGCCGATACTCATCCGCTATGCAACGACGCACGGCTTCAAAGCTCGCTTTAGTACCCGATTATCGTCATTTTCGGAAGACAGTGCAACAAACGTGATTACAGCTCTCCTGCGTGACGACATATCGAAACTTGAGTTCAAGATTCGCACACGGTATCTCTTCGGTGCCGATGGCGCTCAGAGCTGCGTGGTCAAGCAACTCAACTTGCCCCTGGATCACAAACCTGGACAGGGCCTCGCGATCAATGTGCTTGTGAAAGCAGACTTGTCCCACCTCGTTGACTCTCGCAAGGGCAACTTGCACTGGGTCATGCAACCGGACCGTGAACACCCCGAATTTGGCTGGATGGGCCTCGTGCGGATGGTGAAGCCCTGGCATGAGTGGATGTTTATCCTGCTTCCGAACAGAGACGCCGATGTGGGCTTGAAGCCTGCCTCTCATGAGTACCTGAAACGAGTAAAAGACTTCATCGGAGACGATACCCCAGCCGAGATACTCAACGTGTCTAAATGGTTCATCAACGAGACCGTCGCAGAACAATATTCCAAGGGCAACGTGTGAGTGACTAGACTGTTTACGCCGATCATCCTCTTTAGCTGTTCGCTCAAGCACTTCACGCGTACTTACGATGCCTTCTAACAGCTTTTGCCTTGGAGATGCTGTGCATCGCCATCCACCGTTCAACGGTCTTGGAAGCAACACTTGCATCCAAGATGCTTATAATCTCGCGTGGAAGATTGCCTTCGTTCATCGAGGCCTCGCGTCACCAGAACTTCTCAAGACCTATAGCCAGGAGCGCCAGCCAGTAGGCAAGTCAGTCATCACGAGGGCTAATCAGGCATTTCGCGAGCATCATCACGTATGGGAAGCTCTTGGTGCATTGCCCAAAGAGCTAGACGAGAGAAAACGCATTTTGGAGGAACTCTCAGAGCCTACGCCGCAGGGGAAGATTCGCCGCGAGGAATTCCAGAGAGCAATCCAGGGTACGGCGACTGAGTTCCATGGTCTTGGTATCGAGATGGGCCAGCATTACACTGGGCCCGGGGTATACAATTTCGATGAGGCTACACCTTTTCAACTGACTGGTCAAGCCGCAGAGAACCCTGTGCTCTACCATTTGCCAAATACGTATCCTGGCTCACGGCTACCTCATGTCTGGCTGAACAAGGCTGTGCCAATCACACCTATCTCGACCGTTGATCTCGCCGGACACGGTCGTTTCGTCCTGCTCACTGGCATTGGCGGAGGCTCATGGAAAGGTGCAGCAACAAAAGTTGCGGCGGAATATGGCGTGCCACTTGAGGTACATTCCATAGGCTTCCGCCAGGACTGGGAGGATTACTATTTCGAGTGGTCGAGATTGCGTGGCGTCGACGAGTCAGGCGCTGTGCTTGTCCGCCCAGATCGGTTCGTGGCGTGGAGAGCCCAGGAAGTCCTCGGCAGCGAGGAAGAATGCGCGGCCAAACTGGGTGAGGTGTTCAAAGCAATCCTAGGCAACGCCTAGAACGAATAATAAGCCGTTGCGCATATGAGGCCCATGAAGTGTCCGATATGCGTAGTCATTGTTTTCACATTATATAGCCCTGTGCTCGTTTCGTCTCTATCGCTTCTCTGGCCTACGAGTTCCTCCATTGCGCCGGCGCAGTCCATTTTTATAGAGGAGTGCTATCCGTAGAGCCAACTTTTACTAGTTGTAGAGCCGTCCTACATTTTTTTCTCGACCGCGACCTTGCCCCATGTTGCTACGCCCGCGATTTTTAGTGGCATGGGACGACAGCGGCGCTCTGCCTACTGCTAGTAATTTGCTACTATTCCTACTGTTACTAGCATTGCTATCGTTGCTCTCGTTGCTCTCGTTGCTGTCGTTGCTGTCGTTGCTGTCGTTGCTGTCGTTGCTGTCGTTGCTGTCGTTGCTGTCGTTGCTGTCGTTGCTGTCGTTGCTGTCGTTGCTGCTATGGGCTCTACAACTAGCAAGAGCTGGCTCTACAAATGGCACCCCTCTTTTTATAGGAAGAACCGCTGCAACCTGGCATTCGACACTGGCTAATGAGCTAAAATATTTGGAATCTGGCCCGCTATGACAATATGTGTATTTTAGTCGGCGGACACTCCAACGAGGAGGTCTCTTAAATCGACGGGAAAGTCAAGAAGCCACCATTCGAGATTATCCTGCTGGACAACCCCCATAGTCGTTTGGGCTCCGGCTTCCAAGACTGGAGGATTCACGGAGGGAACATGGGGCATCGCCACGGATTCAGCAAGCGTCTCACGTGCGACACTGCTCCCTTCGTTCGCATTGTGAGTTGTTGCTGGGGATGGTGGGAGTAGAAGTCCATAATTTGGCGGACAGACTGGGGACTCGGATGTGAATTGTTGTTGATGCACCGAAGGGAAGCCCATCGATGGTCCGTCGGGACAGACAGCTGCAGTCGCATTACCAGTGTAATTAGTAGTGCTGCTGCCGCATTGCACGAAGATTGTCGTTTCACTTGGGGTTCCTAAGATGTCGGACGATTCTGTGATGAGTTAGTGGGTTGCACCCATGGTCTTGGTAGGCTGTAAGGGCGACGTCTCACCTTCATCAGGCACGCCCGCTGTCCGCCGGAGGTCGTTTCGGCCCCGGTGGTCAGGACTCTCAGAAGATGGTCGGGCCCGGACCCACGAAGAACCCGCCGTATGTTCCTCCACTGAAGGTTCGTTTGGGCTGTCATAGCATGTTCGCGGTCGCCCGCCTTGACCTTCTTGAAAGTGGCTTTCCAGCTGCGCCTCGATAGACTCTAGATTTTCCTGCAGTGAAGTCTTCGCGTCCCAGAAACTTGCACATCTCTTATACGTTAGGTACAGCACATCGAATCGCGACTTGATAAGTCCCTGGTTTACCCCCCGTGAGCCGAGAAACCTGCGCACCAGTTGAACCGCACACGCAAGCCAAATCGTGCTGAGAAGGAAGGGGTTAATGTACTTGACATGTTCCTCAAAGCTCCGATTCACGATGGTGACGATGTTATCTGCAGCTTCAAAATACTGCTGTACAGAAGGGTCATCCGAAATGTGACGGGTAACGTGAAGCGAGGACGAGCCCTGAGGTTTGCCAGCTTGGTCGTCTCTCCCCGTGCAGACAGGGTGGTATAGCAGATAATGCCGATAAATCATGAGTTGAGCCAGCTGCGTCATGACAAAAATGTTGTAAATCCCGCAGTGTAGTTGATGTCGAGGTTCTGTTTGAGCCGAATGTGGCGGGTCGAAGCTAAGATACTGGTTTCTGTAGCGCAGATGCTGCGGGAGCGCCAATGTAAAACACTTGACTGCATTTGCCAGCATTTCTAACCGCTGCCGAGCGTCTTCGACGGGACTTAAGCGCTCGTCGATCGGTGTCTGACTGGCCGTCCCTGCTCTTTCCATAAAATCTGAGTCGGACCGTACGCCACGAGGGTCAGAGATTTTCTGCGCGTCTTTCATGAGAGAGTTGACGACCATGAACCACGCTTTAGGCGACTGGTTTCCGGAGCCTTGAAGTGTCTTCCAACGCTGAATGGGGTTGCTATCCATGAAGGCGCTTGGGGCAGGTCGGTCGTTGAACCAGTCTGCGTCATCCACGGGCAGTAACGTTTCCATGTGTCTCCAGTCCATAGCCGTAGGTGTTCGCCGAATGGTGCTAGCGAAGACGTCCATCTCCCAAATAGCCCACCAAGCACGGCGCTTCTCTTCGCCATCCCGCCATTTGACCGGTTCGCTCGCGTCGCTGCGGTGGCTATTGCCTCGTGCATCAATCAGATGTAGATTGAGCTCGTACGCCAGGCGCACGCACATGCCTAGTGATCTCCACGCCCTGCCGTGTACTCCACGTGTCAGTTGGCAGTGCGTTGCAATTACGAGTGCCTGAAGAATACAGAGGGTCGGTGGCTCGTCGCCACACTCTTTGAGGGATTCGTCGATTAGTTTAAGCGCTATGTCCAGAAAGTGGTCCGGCGGCGGGCAAATCGTCCGTACGGCCGGATATGTGTTCGTTTGACTAAGCCCTCCCTCTGCGGGATGGAATCTGGCTGCATAACTCATCATGGACGCCAGAAGCGCGCGAGCCTGGACGCGGGAAGAGATCTTTTCCAGCTTGTCCCGAAAGGACGGCTCATGGAAAAGGTTGATGGCCACCATGTTCGTGAAATAAAGCCGGATCCTATGCCCATGTTAGACCAGCCCAAGCGCGACGACAATTCTGCATGTTCAAGCAACTTGCATCTCATCCACAAACTCATGGCACAGGCCGAGATCGTTGCAAGCTTGGGTCAAAAAATGCTGCTGGGCTTCTCCTCCGGACTTCCCCTCAAGCTGGTCTTTCTCTGGGGTTGAAGCGTCGTGGGATGGATGCAGTATAAAGGAGAGGTCGTTCGGTTTTATCCCGGACTCTCTTGCATGTCGCGACCATGGGCTCCATTGTTCCGTCGTGTTAGATGGTGGAGAGCTCTGTTCTGCGCCCCTTTCAGCGCATCCCTGTTCCCCCTCAGCGCGGCCGCCATCTCCAGAGACGAGGCCTGGGGAATGCAGATTCTCGCGACGAGTCTGCGCAGATGCGTCAGCTTGGTCATCCCGCCGTTTCCTCTTGCGGCGCTGAAGGGTCCCTGATTTTGTGGTTAGTATATCGGCTACGCCATAAACCTCTTGATACCCAGGCAACTTGCCGATTTTCGGACCAGGCTTCATGGGCCCCAATGGGTATTCGCAGTCCTGGTTTGTCTGCTCGCAAGCTTGGCATCGTGGGCGTTCGCGGTCGCTAGGACGAGGCTTTGTTAATTGTGCACGGCGAGGCTTACCAGGCGGCTTATCACGCTCACCATCTCACTTTGCGCCTACGAGACGAAATACAGTCAATTTGACGACGTGCTCAGCGTAAGCTCTGTAGGATATACCTTCGGCAAGAGTGGCACGAGATGTCGGGCTTGCGCCGTGCAGCTTGTCGTACTTCAACTTCCTGGGGCTGCATTGCGCCTGTGGAATCGTTTTACCGTGCTCGCGACAAGTTGTGTGCAGTGAGGGGCGATCGACCTCACCGGCATGAGGATCCGGGGGTGTGTGGCTAGGATCCGGGGCTGGGAGCCGCCGGCTCGTGCGACCCGGGTTTGACGCCCTCTGTTGAATCGGGCGGAACTTGAGCGCCAGCATCAATAGCAGCAGGGGCGGGGTTGGGACTTTGAGAAGTTGACATAGACGTGGGCCTCCAAAGAGGAGAGTTCGAAGAAAGTGTCAGTCACCATGTTTGGCCTCGTGCCTGAAAGCATTGACCACCTCTAAGCAGTATCCACTGGTTGTGCAATGCTTGCATGCCCTCGCACTAGACATCGGCCAGTACTTCGTACTGTATTGGCCCTCTGTGCACAGCATTTTGTACGGACGAGCAAATCGATCAAGTAACCGCTGGTTTTGGACGGGGGCGGAGCCAACCGACCAGGGCTCCAATCCAGTTGGTGTGAACAGCCCACAGTATGGAACACACCGTCCAATGCACCCAAACATCGCCTAGCCGATGCCGCAGTTCGAATGTCCAATTTTGCAGCGGCAACACCCGAATTCTATATGCAAGTAGCTACGGATGATAGATGGAAAATCGTTGTAGCTTTAAATAGTCCTTGATCATTTGGGTCGAGTTGGAAATTTACTTCGATTTGGAATGCATTGTCTGGTGTTGTCGAATCCCATGTTGATAGCTTTCTTCATCATATCCCACAATCAAGTGTCCAACCAACCATCTTGCAGCACTGCCCGGGGTCTTGACCAACAGTTTACCAGTTGGTCCGTCCAGGCGGACTGAATTGCTGGGGTTACCAGTCCTGTGCTTGAGAATGTCTTCCAGCAGTCCGCTTCAGCAGTCGCAATGCCCCGCATGGCCCTGTACTCCAGGCCCCCTCTGTCGGCCCGCCGACATGTGCTGGGTTACGGTGAGGGTCAGTCGCCCAATTCCCAGCGGTTCCCTCGCGGCATCGGCCCTGAGCCAAAGGGGGTCGGGACCGGGGTTTGCGTAGATGTGTGTTACAGCCGTCCGAGCCCTGAAGGGGTCACGCGACATCTTCGGGGGAATTGCCAACCACAACAGGCGCACCGAAAACCCCCCGACTGCTACTCGGCCAAGCTGCCACAGTAACCCTGTTGACGAGCTGCCAGGGGTGCCCCCCGAAGACCCCCCGACGGGTGCTCAGGAAAGCGAGCCAAGACAACGTTTTATTAAGCAGCCGTGGCCACCAATTACTGTTGCCTCACGGTTTAAATCGTTTAATATGGAGGTTGTGGCCCATCAGGATGTGATGAAGTTCGTTGCGACTAAGCCCAGCACCGGGACCGGAGTCCCAACCGGCTGTGTTCCGCTCAAGCATGCGTAATTGACGAAATATCAAGTGACCGCCTGCGTTGAACTACGTCCCCATCTTTCTTCTATAGCCCCTGGTCATTCCTTGCCCGCAGCCACAATTATGCACCAGAGCATCTGAGGTCCCGCGCCAAGCTGTTGACATTAATCACACGTATATACTACATTCGCAACCCTGATACTTCACGCGTTATGGACCTCAAACCGACGACGAGTCAGATGACCCTCGACAATGAAGACAAGCCAGTACCTCATAGTCCGCACGACTATAGTCCCGACCCCGAAAGCGTGCTACCTGAGCTTCAACACAATGCCCTTGCCAAAGATGGGCATACCATTCTTATCCCAACGCCAAGCGATGATCCGGCAGACCCCCTGAACTGGTCCTCGACCAAGAAACATTTTGTCCTTCTGGTCATATCCTGGACTGCCCTCCTGCCAGACTACGGCTCTGCTACGGGCGCAGTAACTCTTCTCCCACAATCAGAAATCTGGAAGCTGAGCCCAGATACCGTGAACCATTCCCAAGTTGGAAATGTCTTCATGCTGGGGGCCGGCGGTGTCGTCGTTGTTGCCTTGTCCGCATACTTTGGTCGTCTTCCGGTCCTCTTCTGGTTCCTGGTCATTTCCACCGCCACTGCCGCTTGGTGCGCGTCTGCAGACACCTTCGATAGCTTCATGGCTGCGCGAATACTCAACGGATTCTTCTCTACAGTAAAGTAGCCTTGGAAAGTTTTTGCAGGCCGAATTATTGGCTAATGCCTGACAGGTGGCCCAAGGCGGAGGGTTAATGTTCATCAACGACATGTTCTTTTTCCATGAACGAGCTCGGAAGATCAATATTTGGGCCGGGTTTATCATTACGAGTAGGCCAATGTCAATCACCCCGTATCGTTTCATCTTTACTGACACCGTTCATCCACAAGGTCCATATTTTGGGCCTCTATTTACAGCATTCATCATCTCGACTCAGAAATGGAATGTGGCATTTTGGCTGCTCTTCACCATGACCAGTCTGGCTCTGGTTCTTTCAGTCTTCATTCCTGAGACTTACTACAACCGACAGGCCCATCGAGCTCCTTCAAACGGGTCATGGATTAGCACTCTTATCGGTGTGCATCAGCGTCGCGTAGATCTGCTAAGGCCGAACACCTTTGTCGACGCTATGCTTCGACCTGTACAAGCCTTGTGCAAAATACCAGTGTTACTAATCACGATCTACTACTTTTTGACATTCGCATGGGTGGTTGGCATTAATAGTACGTCTGTTCAGAGTCCATAAACTTTACATCAAGTAGCTAACAGCTCAGCGACCTTATCGATCTTCTTGACGCCTCTATATGGCTTTGGACCAAAGCAGATAGGGTAAGTTTCTGTGCCCCTTACCCTTTCTAGGCTTCCCAGCTCTAGTTGTCGTATAGCGATAACGCATGCACCGAGCATGTTCCTCGCTCTTGTTCAGGAAACACCAGTCATTAAGCAATGCGCCAGGTTCTTCTACGTCACGCCTGTGGTTGCTGCCCTTCTCGGTGAGCTATCCGGTCACTGGTGTCACGATCTCATCGCACGATACTACACCCGCAAGCACCACGGCCACTTCGAACCAGAGGCCCGGCTCCGAGCAATCTTCATCTCAACGCCTTTTATGGTTGCCGGCGTTGTGCTTTTAGGATTTGCCCTCGAGAACGCATATCATTACATGATTGCGTCTTTGGGATGGGGCCTGTATGTATTCGGTATCATGATCACTACGGTCTCCATTACTGCGTACGGGCTCGACAGCTATCCCAATGGAAGCGGCGAGATTGCTGCTTGGATTAACATGGCGAGAACAGCCGGCGGCTTTATTGTCAGTTATTTCCAAATAAAGTGGGCGGATGCGATGGGACCGAAGGGCAGTTTCGGTGTGCAGGCTGGAGTCATCGCTGGTGCTTCTATCATACCTGTGTGTCTGATGATCTGGGGCAAGACGCTGAGGGACAGGAGCGGAGCCTTGGGGTTCAAAACCGCCTGATGTCATTGATAGTAATCTAGAGTCTTTGTCCCGTGAAATAAGTAGCCTGTTGTACTGCCGCTCCTGCCGTGCGTCTTGTGCCTCTCGTGGCTGCAATCCTAGCCCCCAATTGTCTTCATGGGGACACATTAGGGAGACAGATTGGCAACAGCGCAGCCTCGAGTGGAAGCCATTTCGCTCACAGGTTCCAGGTACATGTTGTCCACATGTTTATCCTGGCCAGCAACATTCCTCTCGGCTTTTGAGTGAAAGCGTCAAAACACTAACGACTTTATACACATCCCCATTTAACCATACTGCACTTCTTCTCATATTATACCATTGGTGTATCTCCGCGACCTCTCCTCAATCATCTCACGCTTGACGCAAGGAGTCATGCATCACGAGCCACTGACGGATACCCATCACTCTGTGAGACTGCAGAGCGAAGTACAGAGAGTACTCGTCAGGAGTGGAATTGCCTCTCAAGAAGTTTTCCGTGGAGAGTGCATATGTGCAGCATCGTATGCCCAATCGCTGGAACGTTGGAGGGCTGAGTGATGCCCGAAGTAAGAGCCATCCTAGCACCTTGACCGTTTCAACCAAGGTTCTTCCGTCCAGAAAGCTGAACGAGTCGATCGGCAAGTGGAAGCTTGGTGTATGTCGTCTCGTACAGATACCAACACAGCATCGGCTTGTTCTTGAGCGGAGAGGAAGCGCGCACTTGACCGTGGAGAAGGCTCGACACATTGAAGTTTGCCCTATAGAGGTGTCGATGCAGCATCGACGCAGTCTCGTATGGTGGGTAGGTTTGCGCTCGGCCGCGAACAGCCCTCGGTTCATTTCTCGGAGCGCTGTGCCCAGGTGAGGTTAGAAGGAGTCAGTGGAGGGGACCCGTGAATGATCGCGTTCCGGGCTGCCATACCTAGAACAAGCCACAAGTTGAACTGCGGTAGAAGAGCTGTGGTCATCTGACGACCCTATCATTGTACCTGAAGGACTTTCACCGGAGTGAATGATCGTCTCGGATGGTCGTTTGGCGGCCATTGAGCTGTCGAAGGAGCTGGATAGGAACATGCAGTGAAAGGTCTGGTGTGTCTGACGGTCGTGTTTGGTCAGTGCTTAAACCAGCAGTCATCCATAGAAGCCGGAGGTCTTTATATTTGGCCCTGGCCTGGAAGACAAGCGAGTCGTGACTTTCAAGTCCATGTTCAATGTCTTTCAGCCCACGTCATCCTCTGTAGAGGCGCGAGGCAAATGACTGTTTTATTTTTGTTCAGGATCGCAAGGCGGCAGTCCTGCGTTGAGGACTGTAATTGGAGCTTCACATGCAGTGCCATGGTCTCTTACTTGTTACTTGACGTGCAAGAGGCATTCATTGCTTCTGCGATGCACACGAGCAATTACCCGGGCGGTGCACAGCTGTCTGCGGTACACCGAACTTCAGTGGCTGCGCACCCTTCAGACATTTATTTCCGGTCTCATCGTGCAGCATCCAATAGACACCCTTCCCCCTTGACAAATGCGGACAAACAGGACGAAAGCCAAACAGATGTATGTAGTCGACTGATTGACGCAGTCTGCATTCATCCGGATTGGGAATCAACGTGCCAAGAATAGCCCCTTCCTTCCTTGTAGGTCTCATCTTCCGTGAAGAGGCACAGGGGCCGAGTCTTTTCAGCTTTCGACGTGCTCGTTGCACAGGTGACACAGCTGCGGCTTGCTTCGTCTCGTACTGACGGTCAGTCATGTCCCTGCCTCAAATCGCCGTTTCTCAAGCCGGTTTGGCCAAGGACTTGGTCGTAAAGCAGTTCATACCGGCACTGTCTGTGCCACTCGGGGACTGCTGTTGATCAGTCACCCAGTGTGTGACGTTGCCGGGGTCGGCGGAAGTGCCTCGTACTTGGTGCGAACCACCATCGCGCAGCACTTCGATCGTTTTCACGCAAGCACGAGTCAATCCCACGTGGGTGCGTGCCCGGAGGTGCTCTCACCCCGCATGTCCATGGGATCATGGATGTTGGGGCCGGTCATGCTCGGCCGAGACCACCCTGAGCCCTGCTTGTCAAGCCCAACCGTGCGACACAACCTTGCACGGGTGCCTGTGAAGAATCGCAGCCCCGGTCGTGCGGCTGCATGTGCAAAGGAACTCGTACCTTGCTCAATTCGTACTTTATTTCACTGCCTCCATGGCGCTGCAATTTGAGGAGCGGCCTGCTTGACTGGCTCAGGGCGACGACAAGGCTCGACCCGGGACGAAGCAATTGCGAGGATTGCGATGCAGTCCAAATCTGCGGTTGGCGAGAATGAGCCAGAGGCATGCTCGCACACAGCCAGCAAGCCGCCAGACCGGCCGATTCTGCGACCGCGGCCTAGACTGCATGCTCAATCTCGCGATCGACACGGGCCATTGCCCAGCAATGTTCCAGACTGCTGGCCATCAGGCAGTGTTACGTCCTTTATCCAATATCCGCCGCCTTTCGCTGCCTTGTCTCTGCCTGCTGGTCCATCGTGACACCTACTCGCTCACCATGTTGGCCTCCTGGAGCTGGCAGACCTGCACAGCTGCACCCCTGTCGATCCGCGGGGCGCCTACACGCCATTCTGGCATCGCTGGGATTGCTCCCTGCAAAGCTGACACTCGCCTCGGGAGTCACAACATGCCTCAGCCACGGTCGCCCGCGAGATTGTTCATATGCGCTTTCATGCCGCGTAACGAGCTGCTTCCCGTCCCCTGCGCGCTCCTCTCATCTGGCGTTGTCGGAGCTCCATTCACGATCCCCTGATTCCCTGCCTGGCGAAGCAATTGCCAGTGACAGCCGCGTCTCACCGCCATGAGGCTCCTCAACACCACCACCCTCGCCCTCGAGTCGTTCCCCTCCCGGCCGCCTCCCTACGCCATCCTCTCGCACACATGGCTCACCGAGGAGGGCGCCGAGCCCACGCTCCGGGACGTCCTGGCGGGGACGCACACCGACAAGCCCGGCTGGGCCAAGATCGTGGACTTTTGCCGCGCCGTAGCCTCGACCGGCCTCATCTACGCGTGGGCCGACACGGTCTGCATCGACAAGACTAGCAGCGCGGAGCTGTCCGAGGCCATCAACGCCATGTTTCGCTGGTACCGCCGCGCCGATTGCTGCTTTGCCTACCTCGCCGACGTACCAGACGTTGACCGTTACGCTGAAGCCTCAGAACCAGGCCAAGGCACCGTGAACGAGCCCGGCCCGGCGTTCGAGCGCTCCCGATGGTTCACCCGCGGCTGGACCCTGCAGGAGCTCCTCGCCCCTCGGCGCGTTACCTTCTTCTCGCAGTCGTGGCGCCGCATCGGCACACGCGCGTCCCTCGCACAGCGCATCTCCACGCGCACGCGCATCCCCGTGCCCGTCCTACTCACGGGCTCGTGGCGCCGCGATGCCAGCGCCCACGCCGCCGCGCGCATGTCCTGGGCCGCCGGCCGCGCCACCACCCGCCCCGAGGACGCCGCCTACTGCCTGCTCGGCCTCTTCGGCATCCACATGCCCCTTCTGTACGGCGAGGGCGGGCCGCGCGCCTTCGTCCGCCTGCAGGAGGAGGTGCTGCGCCGGGGCGAGGACTGCTCGCTGCTGGTGTGGGACGCCTCGGCGCTGGAGGACGGTGACTTTGCGGATGACGACGATGATGACGGGTACGTTGACGACTACGAAGGCGGCGAGCGGCGGAGAATGGTCGTCGGCGCGTTGGCTCCGAGGGCGGACTGCTTCGCCGACAGCGGCAACATCGCGTGCCACCCCGCCTCCCCCGATGCCCCTGACAGCGTCATCACGTCGACGAGCCGCGGCCTGAGCGTCCAGATGTGCGTCATGACGCGCGAGGACGGCCCGCCAGACGAACGGCTAGGTGTGCTACCGTGCCACGTTCGCGGTGACATGGCCACGGTGATAGCCCTGCCGCTGGTGCCCCTGGACACTGCGGGGAGCGTCGGCAGCATCGCCGTGGGCATGCCGACGCAGACGTACGCGCGCGCGCGCGCCGCGCCCGTAGTTCTCCCCATGGTGCTCCCCGCGCTCGCGTCGCAGGCCGTTCTCCTTCCCAGGCAGTCTAGCTGGGGACCGGGACCAACAGAGGGACGCGTCGTGGCGCGGAGTGACACGACCTGGTGGCTCAAGTACTTTTCGGGCAACAGCTGCGACTTGCTCGGTTCGTGGACGGCGCCTTGGCCAGACGCTGCGTCGTCGTCGGAACCCTTCCCCCCTTCGCCGTGGCAGAGTGACCCGTCGCCACCCCCTAGCCCCTGTCTCGCATCACCGTCTTCCCCATTATCATGGACACGTAACGACCCAACACAGACCATGACGCTTCTCATTCCACAGACAATCATGACTGCCCGCGGCAAATCGCTCCCCTTGCCAGGCCCCGTGTCGTCGGTCGCGGCGTTCCGGGTCCGAGGTCGAGAGGAATACTTCGCCGTACGCATGGAGCTGGGTCCAGGCGACGGCACGGCCAGGGTTGAGCTGAGCGCTCTCAACGGCGCGCCGCACCAAGACGAAGACATGCTACAGCTGGTTAAGGGCGGCGGCGCGGGATTAACCGTGCTCGAGCTTCCCAGTGCTACTATCTCGGTGCGCTTTAGCATCGACGACGTCAGGGGCACGCTGACCAACGTCGTCAACGTCATCTGCATGAGGCCCTTAGGGCGCAGTTGATTCACCCACAATATGTGCACCCGCACGAACAAACGATTTACACCAAAGTGTTATTAGTGCTGGGCTTGGTGCTGTTGTCCACGGCCATCGCTATGTGAAGACAACCCACTCATTCCCGGCGTACAAAATAACAAAAGAAAACAATGGGCGAGCCGGCATGAAGCACGGCACCGCGCGACCGAATCGACGCGACAAGAAACACGGCCTTGTAATGATGCCCCTCGCCCGATAACAAACGCGCAAAAGTAATGAAACGCCACTCAAGATGGTCTCAGCGCTTGATGTCCCAATCTCGAGTTCCTCACCCAAACGTGTGTCGAATGCGGTATGCCTGATGCCTGTCTTTCCGCGGCCCAATGAACCAAAACGCAGCTTTCCGGTCCGCCCAAGCCAGTTGGGCCAGTTCTACCGCCAAAATGCATCGGTCTGGTGTTTTGAACTCCCCGCTCCAGGGCTCTAAGTCTTCATGATATCCGCGTCAAACCCGACGAGTGCCGTAATGCAGTCGGTCTCCGTGTGCGTAAGTTGTAAGGCGTGATACAAAGCCGCCATGATGCCCAGGGCATGCGAGCGGCTACGAGTCGCCCGCAGAGGCCAGTCGCGCGCTTGAAACGAGCCAGAGGCCCAAGACCAAGGTCGAAAAGACCAGGGCGCGGAAAAAGGTTCGCAGGCGAACCGGGTTGGTCCTCGCGACGTCAGACCTGAGGGGAAGCGACGAGGCCTGAAACGAGCTGATGTACTCAACATCACAGTCGCGAACCTTGGGCTCGGCGTAGGACTTGTACTCGGCCAAGGCAGTATCGGTGCGCCAGCCCGACAACTTGCGAATCACGGCAACGACGCAGCCGGTACGATGCTTGCCGTGGTTGCAATGGATGAGAAGAGGCTGGTTTCTGCGATCCAATACAAGCTCTAGGATGGCCTTCATTGTGGGCAGGGGGATGGCCTCCTTCTTGGTGCCCTTCATGTCGAAGACGACCTGCCGAACGCCATTTCTGGTGGCGAACGCATTGAGATCATAGTCCAACTCGTCCTTCTTTACCAGCGTGCTGTCAATGGTCAGCTGGGTTTGGCCAATGGATGCCTTGGGAGAGGGAGCATCTTACACGACCGTCTTGAGCTTGAGACCCTCCAAGAATTCGTAGTCGCTCGGTTTGGGGTAGCTGCTGCGGTAGACGCCCGGGATCACCATGCCAAAGTTGACAGGGCGGCCGCTGGCGGGGGCAAGTGCAGAGTCATGGGGGCGAGTGACAGCCACAGCGCTGGGGACCGCTACATCGCGTCAGTGGTGTCGCGTCTCTGTGAATACGCCGGCGGGCGCGGCCTAGTGTGAACTTACTCATCGGCTCGCCATGCTGCCTTGCAGGGCCAGCATTGCTCGGCTCCCATGTTACGCTATTGATGCTTTGGGATCGGGACGTCGAAAAAATGGACGACGCAGAGGATGCGGACGAGGAAGAGCTCTCGCTTGTTGTCGTGCTGCCACGCGGGAGTTCCTCAAAGGCTTGGGCAAACTGTTGCTGAATGTCGTCCTCCTTGACTGATGCGCGGGAGTCGCGGCGAGGTCGAGACATGATTGTCTTTTGACCTTCCTCGTGGTGCTTTGTCTCGTCGACGTATATGCGTGAGTTTCTCTTGGAGGCCATATCTCGGCACGATGGTGTCGCTGATGGTAGTCGGTTTGTGCGAGGGGGAAGGCGAGAGTCGTGGTGATCTGTATGGAGGGAATGGAACAGTAGTGGTACCAACGGTGGTGTCGGATGTTGCGTGAGGGCAGCAGTTGTCAAATGGAAGGTCGGGGAGAGTGTATATATGGCGAGAGGACCGCGATACGGCGGAGGATAGTTTGTCGTGAGAGAAAGCCAGTCGAGGCCGGCCTACGAGGACCGATGTCGAGGTGCTCGCGTGCGTCGCAGTCTACAAAGGACTGGACTTGGCTTTGTAGGCAACAAGCTGGACCTGGGTCGCCATCTTGTCTAGTAGGGAGAGAGTTGCGGCTAGATTTAAGGGCAAGAATAAAACGAAGACGGCCACGAGGCTCGGTCAACCAGATTGGCCCAGTGCGAGACAGGCTGGCAGGGAGACGAGCGTGGGATGAGTTTGGGATGCGAGCATGGGGTGGGCGAAGAAGTAGAAGAAGTAGGGGAAACAAGGTGTGGGCGGCGCAGGAGCAGGGGCCAGCCCAGGTCGGCCACCTACCAAAATTGGTACCACTGGGTCGGCGTGCTAGGCGATCCCGTAGGTCCACTGCGACGACCACTAACACGCTACCCAAGCAGGTACGTGACCCTCCGGGCAGCCTGGCTTGTGGTGGCGGCGACTGCGGGACGCGGGCAGCGAGCCTTTGTGGGTACCTGAAGTACCTAAGGTGCGGGCGGACAAAAAAGGCGTGGACAGACCTGACGGACACTCTGGTGGAGTGGGCCAGCACAGTGCACGGCCCAGCTGCAGCCACCGGCCCAGACTCGCCAGGGCTCCCCGCAATGCGCTGCCGGGAGCAGATCTGGGCAGTTGGCCAGGGTCCCTGGACGGTGAGCCTGGGCCGGCCAGCACTGTGCGGTCTGACCACCCGCAATGCCAGCGTCACCCCATGCCTGCCGAACGGGGCGCCGACGATGCGAGGCGAAGAAGACAGATGAGTCGGCCAAGCGTGCTCCCATCATCACCATCATCATCAGCTCGAGGACCCGCCGCCCGTCTTGGATGGCGTACGCGATGGCACGCGTCCACAGCGACGGGCGCGGATCTGCACCGCCGCCACGGGCCAGCAGCACGAGCAGGAGCTGCCACGTACGGCGGCAATTACGCAGAGAGGCAGCCGCAGCGCTTGGGCACGAAGACGATCTCGCAGATCTGCCCTGCAAGAAGGGACGGGCGGACGCGCCGTCGCACTTACTGTAACAGGTAGGTTTGTGTGGTGGCTCCGTTTGTGTGTGCGCCAACGTGAGCTGGGCTGGGCTGGGCCGGGCTGGCTTGACTGAGGCGAGATAGAGTTGTGGCGTCCACAGCAACGAGATGATGAGACGAGACGAGGAGGAGCATGACGACGACAGGCAGAGGGTTGGTTGTGGTGGCACGCGTTGAGCTGTGCCTTGCAGGACTGGCGCTCTTGGCTGTGCAGCATGACACGACGGGATTTCCAAGACGGGCGCGTCACCACCGCACGTTGCGAGGGTTTCTGGGTTCAATTGTTGCCGATGCGACGCGGCGTGTCCCGCGAACCTTGGAAGTGGCCCTGCAGTGGCAGGGACGAGCCCAGCAAGCCCAGATAAAATGCAAATCCGCGCTAAACCTTTTTTGGTCCTCCGGGTTCAAGATCGGAGCTCGGAAGTCGCGACGGGCTGCTCTCGGCATCTCACCTGGAGAGCTTGACTTCTGGGGCCTCAACAGACTCAACGCTCAACCTGCCCTTCGAGATCGTCGGCGCCTCCCAACTCGCCTCGCGCATTCCGCTGCTGCGCCGACGCCGCCATGTCATTCATCACGGTCGCTGCGGCCACGCTGCCCAGCGTGCCGCTGGACTTTCAGGGCAATCGCGACCGCATCATCGAGTCCATTCGTCTTGCCAAAGCAAAGGGCGCAACCCTGCGCACAGGTCCTGAGGTGCCATCTCCCCACAATCTCATCGGTATAGCAAGAAATCTGACTATAGACCCCCATGTAGCTTGAAATTCCCGGGTATTCCTGCCTGGATCATCATCTCGGTTAGTCTTCTCTCACCACTTCTCCTGTGCTCTCCGCTGCACAACAAAGATGCGTCCTGGGGTGATTCACTCACACGACTCCTCCGTACTGCAGAGGGAGACACTGTCATTCACTCATGGGAAGTCCTCGCCGACATCATCAAGGATGAGGCCTGCAAGGGGATGCTCATCGACGTTGGCATGGGCTGCCGCCACCGCAACATCCTCTACAATTGCCGCGTCCTGTGCACATACAAGCGTATTCTCTTCATCCGCCCCAAGATGTCACTCGCCAACGACGGCCTGTATCGTGAGACGCGCCACTTCACTGCCTGGCCCAAGAAGATGCAGACGGAGACGTACTATCTCGAGAGCGTCATCGGCAACATCACTGGCCAACGCAGTGTGCCAATTGGAGATGCCATCCTCTCCACCCTCGACACCGCTATCGGGTGTGAGACGTGCGAGGAGATGTTCACCCCCAGCAACCCGTCAACCTACATGTCTCTTAATGGCTGCGAGATTATTCTCAACAGCAGTGCATCCCACGCCGAGCTTCGCAAGCTGAGGACCCGCATCGATCTCATCGCCAACTCCACGAGGAAGACTGGTGGCTGCTACGTCTATGCCAACGCCATCGGCGTCGATGGAGAAGCGCGCATGATGTTCGACGGTTCGTCCATGGTTCTTCTCAATGGAAAAGTGATGGAGCAGGGGCCGCAGTTCTCCCTTCAGCCCGTTCATGTTGTCACGGCCACCATCGACATTGAGGAGATTCGCAGCTTCCGTTGCAGCATCTCGCGAAACGTGCAAGGTGCTGCGCAGCCCGACTACCCGCGCGTCGAGTTTGACATGCGCTTGTCGCGTCCCGCTGATCAGGTCTTCCTCTCCGACACCATCCAAATCTCGCGCCCTATTGAGCCGCGCATTCTCGACCCTATGGCTGAGATATGGCTGAGCACGGCCGTCTATCTCTGGCAGTACTTGACCCGGACAAACTCTGCTGGCTTCTTCCTTAGTCTCTCTGGCGGACTCGACAGCTCCACGGTCGCCCTCTTTGTCCACGGCATGGCCCGGCTCGTCATATCCTCGATAGAGGCTGGCGAGGTGACCACGTTGGCAGACCTGAGGCGGGTCACTGGAGTAAAGGACTTTACGCCCAAGTCGCCAGATGAGATCGTCAACCGGCTACTCACGACGTGCTACACGGGCACTGTCAACTCTTCCGAGGAAACGAAATCGCGCGCCCGGCGCTTAGCAGAGAAGCTTGGAGCGTGGCATTTGGATATTCCCATCGATGCCGCCATCGAAGCGCACCAGTCCCTTGTCAAGACTGCGCTGAACTTCACTCCCCATTACAGTGTTGAAGGTGGCACCCAGGCCGAGAACTTGGCCCTACAGAACCTGCAAGCGCGCAACCGCATGGTGGTACAGTACACGCTCGCTCAGCTTGTGACCACGGCCAGACAGTTGCCTCGAGCTGGCTCGGCGTTGCTGGTGCTCACTAGCGGCAATGTGGTAAGTCCGCGACTCTGTAGCCAAACAAATTTTGAAGGCTGACGTGCATCAGGACGAGAATCTGCGCGGCTACTACACAAAGTACGATGCTTCATCGGGAGACATTGCCCCGCTGGGAAGCATATCCAAGAATGACGCGAAACGTTTTCAGGCGTAAGTTACGACCCAACGTGTTCGAGATGATTACAGCAGGGGCTAACTGATCCAGATGGGCACGTGAAAACTGGAATCTTCCCATCATGACGGTATGGCGACCCCAGGGCAGCAAACGACAGGACGCTGACATGGGCAGGAATTCATCGAAGCAACGCCGACGGCCGAACTGCTGCCGCTATCCGCGGGTGTACAAGATGATGAATCAGAAAACGAGTGCGTACCTGCCCTCTCGTGCATTGGTCCTGTCTGACATAAGTGCAGAATGGGCCTCACCTACGACGAGCTCTCCATGTTTGGCATCCTCCGCAAGGTGGACAAGCTCGGGCCGTGGTCTTGCTACCTCCGCCTGCTTGGCGTCTGGAAAGAAAAGGAGGGGATGACGCCCAACAAAATTGCCGAAAAGGTGATGCGCTTTTTCAGGAACTATGCCATCAACCGACACAAGGCCACCATCATCACACCATCGATCCATTTGTCGGCCTACAGTTCGTTTCCCGTGCCTCCCCTGCGCCCTCGCGCCGCTGACACCAAATACAGATCCCGACGATAATCGAGCTGACGAGCGGCCATTTCTGTATGTCGTAAACTGGCCGTGGCAATTCAACAAGATACGCGACCATGCAGAAGAGCTGGAACGCCGGCTAAGCAAGGCGGTGCATAAGGCTTGAATGCCGCTTTTGACTACACCTAGAACTTCAAATAGACTGGCCAGCTAGACGTTTATGTGTTTCCTGGGGCCTGGCTCGACTTTCGATGGATGGGTGCGATCTCAACCATGGAACCAGCGCCAACTGTGGAAAAGTCCGGGGGGCCATTTGGGGGGTGGGGGGGAGGTCCGTGGACATTCTCAGTGGGCGACGTGCCCCGGAGGACCCTGAAAAGTGTCGTCATTGCGCTAATCATCCGCCCAGTCCGTGGCCTCCCGGCTCTTTGTATTTGGTGCTGTCGTGTGTGGCCACCCGGTCGTGCCGCAACAGCTGCAGGGCAGTCCATGCACGCGACGCCTCACATCAGGTAGCAGGTCGCCACGGACGGCCCTCAGTGCCGCGATTGTCGGATGAGGGGGCGAGGCAGGCTCCATTGCTCCATTGCCCGCAGCGGTGACGGGGGCGGACTGGTCGTGTGCTATGTTGCCTTACTCGTGTCTGGTTTGCGGTGCCTCTGTTCTCGAAGCACGGCGAAAGCAACGTGGTGTGACATTGTCCCAGCTGAAGGTTTCCACCGCGGTGCCGTGGAGCATGAACGGCGGTGCCCAGCCGAGTTTCAGTGGAGGTTGAGCACATGCTCCATTGTGGTGTGCCTTCCGGGATTGCAACATTGACTCCACGGAGCCTTGGGGCTCCAAGGGGCAACGGCCATGCGGGCTGTCTTCTCTTGGAAGCATTCCATGTGGGAGGGATGGACTGCGCACTGGGGCCCCTACAGCGCACTGTCACGGAGCCCGGCAGCCCACCCGTGGACCCGACAGCCCTAGCCCACGTCCACACCTGCCTGCACCTCAATGCCCTGTCCAGTGGCACAGCTCGTCGCTGCCAACGCCCCTTTGTCGACTGCATTGCGCGACACGTCATGTCCCACGCAGCGAGTGTCGGCATGTCGGCGAAGTGCATTGACGATGCAGTCTTTCGTACGAGCATGCTCACTTCCCATCTGATGCGAGCATTGCACACACCGGAGCGCAGCATCCACAGACAAACGGTGGTGGCAGCCACCTTACTATCTAGCGCTCCAGGCCCGTAATTACGGCACCCTCGGAGATCGAGCCACAATGACGGCGGCCACGGACTTTACGTAGGCTGTGCGCTTCTTTTTTGTCACCCTCTCCCTCACCACTACCACCGCGATCACTGAGTGACAAACCGCCTGCCGCGTTACAAACCAGCCAGCCCACCACCTGGGCACCCCCTTCGCTGCTCGCTCCCCCCGCGAAATCCGTTCCGACGTCTCGGTTCGGGGATGCCATTGAGCCCAGACTCCCCTGCCTCCCCTGCCCGACCAGTGACCACTGAGACGGCCGGGATTGATGTGTGTTGCCGTGTCGCAGATGCGGCCTGTGTTGCCGTCCGTCACGAATGCCGCGACGGTGACATGTGGCACGCGACAACCTGCCGCATGCGGGCGCGGATTGTCTCACCCAAAGCTGTTGGCCGTGATGTATTCTTAGCAGTCGCTGCAAGGAGAGTACGGGTAGCTTTGCCGTTTGGAATGCGCCATCCAGCGGACTTTTTTTTTTTCTTCCTGGGCGGCGTTGACGATGGCCCCCAGCCCACGACGGGGGCCGCCAGCTTCTCTCCACCCATCGTCAGATCCAGCGACTCCGAGTGGCTGGAGAAGCTCCAGGCACGAGCTATTCGAACGAGTAGTCCAAGCCCTGCCATCACTAACTGGCAATGGCAGAGACCGTAGTACCGCTCCGTGCCGTCGGATGGGTTCCTTTTGCGGTCCAGGCCACGCGACGACTTTCCCCTTCGTTTCACCGAGCCGTCTGTCTTCAGCAAGCAAGCCTTGCCGTCAGCTAGCCTGCCGCAAGACACCGATGCAAGAGGCGGCGTTAGGCCCTTCTCGTCACCGAACGGACGGGCAGCGGAGGCTTTGCCTGCCCAGCATCCTTCCCGGCCCCACACCAGGGCCCGGTCCGTCTCAACCACACCTCGCTCCACATCAATGCTCGTTTGGGCAGACGTCTTTGTCTCGTTCCAGCTTCAACCTCCCTTGCATCGGCAGGCCCTGCCGGGCTTGACGATTGCAGGCTGCGTAGTGCCCGATTTGGTCCGTTTGGTCTTACGTATTCGAGTCGTCTAGGGTGCGCGTCGCTGAACAGAAACCCCAGCCAATACAGCCCTTGGCGAAAGCATCGAGTCCAAACTCCAAACACGGGTGCCTGTCACACACGAGCGTCGCTGCGTCGCATCGTGGTTCCTGCGCGACGCTTTCCGTGACATCGTAGCTTCCTCAACCCGTCGCGGGCCGGGCAATTAGACAAAGCCACCCTCCTTAACCGCACATTCGCCGAGACATTGAGCTGTACACGCTGTGGCCGAAAGCCGCAAGTCCAGCGTCTGAACAACACTGGAGGTAAAAGCTGTTTCCTTTCTGCGCTAGCATTATCCTGCAGCCCGCGCTCAAGTGCTCGTTTGGATGCCTTAACGCATCTTGTTGCCCTACTACTGCTCTTTTACATGAGGCCAGATTCCGTTTCGGGTTGTGTTATCCAGCGGACCGGATGTTTTCTGGGAGTTGTCCCTACGTCCCTTGACCTCAATGCGTTCAAATGTCCCCAATGTGAGGCTGGACAGTCAAGTGTCCTGTGTACCTCGTGAGTCACGAATTCGCGCGAAGGATAGTTCCCGGGCTGACTGCAAGAATGACTTGTACAGTTGATTGACGGATACATTACCGCGCAGTCAATATATTGCACAGTCACTCCATTTGTCACAGTTACTTTCCCTACTGTAATTATGCCCTCATAGGCCTCGACTCCAAATCCCACCTGCCGTGCATCGGCCGAGCCCGCTCGCGCTCCAGACTCTTCTCAAATATAAAACCCATCCCCAGCCATCCAGCCTGCTGCTGCTATCTCAGACCCAACCATGGCATTCGCACATCGAGTGAGTTGCGGTGTGAATCGCCTGGCATCGACGTTCGGCCGCTTCGCTAAAAGATGTCATTCGTCATGGGCCATTTCCGAGGAAGATTTGGCACGATACTGCCGGGGAGGCTATCATCCCGTCCGAATTGGGGATGTCTTCAAAGACAACAAGTACAGGAGTGTTACCAAGCTCGGATATGGCGGTTACTCTACCGTCTGGCTTGTGTGCGACCTTGAGTCAGTATCATGCCACACCATCTTGGGATTTTAGGACCTAACGTAAGATACAGAACAAAGCGACATGTTGCACTGAAGGTTCTCACTGCCGAGACTTTCGGGGACCGAAATGATTGAGCTGGATATCTTAAGCCGTATCAAGGCCCAGTGCATCCAGCATCCGGGAAAGAGCCACATTCTTGGGCTTTTGTACGAGTTTGAGCACCATGGTCCAATCGGCAGTCATCTTTGCCTCGTGTTCAAGGCCATGGGTCCGGACTTGTCAATCTATCGAAGACTATTCCCGGGTCGGAGAATTCCATTACCCTTCTTGAAGCAAATCTCGAGACAGCTCCTGCTTGCACAAGTTTTTAACTTTCATCCACTCCATGACCAAACTGAATCCAGAGGAACGCCTTGATGCCAGAAAGCTGCTCGAGTCGGACTTGTAATAATTTCACAGTACAACCTTTTCCTCCCTTCCGCATTCGGCGACAATCCTCTCTGTGGCGAGCAAGAGCGTATAGCAGATTCTTTGTTTGGCAGGGGATGTCCGTCTAATGAGCAGGGGCATTTAACCCCTTAGTGGCCTTTGAGTCATAAGCCCAAGTCACAGGCAGGATGCGGAACTCCAGGCGTGCTTCTGGGAAAGTCTGCCGGCCAAATATTGAGGTGGGGAAGAGCCTGCCAACTCAGAGATGTCGGGACTCGCGCTATACTTCTCTTGTGCAATGCTTGCTCGCGAGGTGCTCGTTTCGAAGGACCGTTCCCCTGCTACCGGCACTTGGGCTTTTGGAGGACAAAGACAGCTTACAAAGGATCCCGATTGGGCGACTTCCTCGCCGTCATTACCGATGCATGTGGCCTTGACGCCAAGTCCATGCCATGAAAGGGTGTCCCCGCAGCCCACGGACGAACACGATGCCCCCGAGGTCAGTTCCACCCGAAGCGAGGCAACAGAGCTTGAACCGTCCTATCCCAGCTGCATGTGGGGTGTCTTCACGCGGTCCTCATATCCTTTGCTACTTACTCGGCGATGGGGGCCTTGTCTTCTGGACTAAAGACTTCGAACAGCCCGGCGCTTTGGCGTTGCATTTGGCGGTCTCAACCACGTCAGCTGTATGGCGGCCAGGCATTAAATACATGTTCCTAGAGAGACATGTCGATGGCGTTGATCTCCCATATGACGATGCTCACTTGCGAGACTCGCTTTAAGCCGTTTAGTACTGGACGAAGGAGTCAACAGCTGCATTGTCAGAGTGACCCTAGCAAATCCTCCCTCAATTGTCACCACTTTCCTCGAGAAGGGTGCAGTACCAGCAAACATACGTCGCCCCTCGCTCACGGTCTGATCGAATCGAAGCGTAGTTTACCGGACTTTTGCGTGGAGTCGTTTCTTAACTATCGCTTTCTTTATTACACCGATTATATATTTACATTGAATGAAATGTTACACACTGACGAGGGACTTGGTGCATCTAGGTACGTGTATTGCTTGATTCCCATATATACAGCCTATGACCCAATTCGCCCGCTATGCCAGTTTATGTGCAGTGTTTCCAAGTATGTACATTGAGATGTGAGCCCTTAGACCTTGATGTGGATGTAGTTCTCGAAGGTGCTCTTGGGAACCGTGCGGGTACCGTAAGCCCTGTAGTTGCGGTAGTTGTACTCCTCGATGGTGACCTTGTCGCCGCTGACCTTGGTGACCCAGGCAACATGGCCCGCACCACCGCCGCCCTTGTTGGTCTGAGCGATGCAGCCGGGGACGGGAGTCTTGTTGACCTTGACGCCAGTCTTGCGCGCAGCCTCGTCCCAGGTGTTGGCGTTGCCCCAGTTGGGACCCTTGTAGTGGTTGTTGAACTTGATGTTGAGACGCTCATTGATGCGCCAGGCAACGAAGCTCGTGCACTGGCAGGCGAAGTAAGCCCAGCGGTCCACGGGGCCGCACTTGCCCTTGTACGGGTAGTCGTTGACCATGGGCCCGGGGATCTTGCCGCCGGGGGGGTTGGTGGGCGGCTTGGTGCCGGGGCACTTGTCCTTGACGTAGCCCGAAGAGCCGGTCTTGACATAGAAATCGGCAACGTAGCAGCCGTCCTGAGTCTTGTCCCAGATGCTGTTGCCCTCCACCGAGGGGCCCTCGGTCTGGCAGCTGATGTCGACGTTGTCGCCCTTCTTGTAGGTCTTCTTGACAGCCGAAGAGGTGTCCGGCGAGGCGCGGCAGTTGAGCACGGAGCCGGTGACAGGATAGGCGCTGACCACAGTCGAGGCCATTGCCACGAGGCAAGCGGCGGCCGCAGTGAACTTCATGTTGGATACGGAAAGCTTGGAAAGGAGTGTGTGTATGAGTTGAAGAGAAGACCGAGTGTCGGTGGCTGAGGTTTGCTGGTTGAAAACAAGATCGACAAGGCTGGCGATCGTGAGGAATATATACTCGACGATCAGTTCATCCCTGGACTTTGGAAATGCAGCATTTTGCCCCAGACGCGGCGCACTGATTCCCCAAAGTAGAAAGCTTCAAGTTGAAAACTGGGGCGCGATCCTCGCCAGGAACTGCTGACGGCGTTGGTGATGCTAATTTTATTTCCTGCAGCCAAAAGCAGCCAGGATCACCACCCGTGCGGATGCGGCTGAGGCGCACTTGGCAGGAACAGCAGGGCCGGTAATTACAATTTTCATGCCCCGGACACAGCATTCTGTCCGTCGGGGAGATCACTCAGGACAGAAGCATGCTGACATGCGGCTCCAGCGTGCAAGGAAGTCAGACTGTATTGCTTGGACCTGACTTGACCGCATCGGCGAACATTTCGTCTCGGCTTGCCCGTGCGCTGGATGCAGCGCGATTGAGACTACTTGCACGAGAAGAGCATAGTCGATGAAATTGAGTCCTTGCTGATTGGCCCTTAGATAATCTCTGCTTCCTCGGACAGCACATGTGAACATCGCCACTAGTCTGGCCGCAAGTTTGGCGGATGGTGTCTCCCTTGAGGCCCATTGTCAACTTGTAGTTGACTTGGTCGCACCGAAGAATCCAACTATTTTCCATATGCGCAAGGATGTCATTCTCCAATTCCACCCAACCATCGCCAAGGTCATCGCTGGGCTGAGTGGGTGAAAAGGGGTCCTTGGCACTGAGAGCCCACGCTCCCACAGGCTAAAGTCGGGTCTGCCGCGTGCGACCTAAGACGGCGGAATGTTGCCCCCATCTTATCCCGCAACGCCACTCCGCTCAGGCACCGCCGCCGACCCCAGCTTCTTCCAACCGGATGATTGGTTCGATTGCTTACACGTGCATTGGGACTGGACGCATCTATTTTGAGCAGTTCAACATACAGTTCCACTCTTGCGAACGGACTCATCAATGTGCTGTTGATCATACTTCGTTGTCTTTGGGTAGCAGCACGGACCTTTCTGCCTCCGATGTCAGAGACGATGCTTCCTTCGCGGTATTGTTCGCCGAAGCCACCTCAAGACTGAAGCGTAAGATTCCAGCTCACTGCAGCTCGCAACTAAGCAGGACAATGTGTTTTGAGTCGTCAGCTGTAGTATGCGGAAGCCACTGTGGGCTATGCATCACGCAGACACACATTCAGCACCACTAAGTTGAATGTTCTCTCGTGAGTCCTACAAGTGATGCAGCAGCCTACCGCGCCATGGCTGGGGGGACTACTGGCAATAGCGATCGCGTGAGAATTAACGGCGGATGAACAGAGAGGTTAGTGTGACATGGGCAAACCAGAGCGCGCCTTCTATGAAGAGTAGTGCTGTTCGCGCAGAGAGAAAGCCTACTGACAGAGATGTTCCACACCTAAGTTTCTTCTAGTCAATTCCGTGCCGCCCAATCTGCCAACAGCCACACAAACGTAGCGGGCGCTGGCCTGGGTCGGCGCAAGCACATCAGATGGCCGCAATAGCATCAACGACAGCAACGACAGCAAGAGGCGTTGTGCCGCTGCCAATCCCAGGCAAGCATAGCAAAAGTGGCTGGAGCGACCCTTGGTAAGTGAGGAATATCTATGCGACTAGACGTCCTGTCTGTGCGAAAAGTACTACAACTTCAAAGAACTACAAGCCAGATGGGTTAAATCAAAGATCTGGTGGGACGGGAAAAGGATATAATAACATAATGATGATTGATTGTCGACAAAGGGACAGGCCGCCACAGATAGCACTCCCACAGGAGTTTGCCCCCATTAGAAGCAGACCTTTCCTGAGGCCCTGCCTCTGCACTACCATGCCATCTTCGCAAGTATCCCGTTGGGCCAACGACGAACACAGGCCTTTCGACCCTCATCGAGGCAAAGTAGGCCCAGACCCAGAGCACCAGGGAGGAAATAGTGCTCAGCAGGAACGCCCGATGTGCCGAGAACCTCCTGGAGCTTGGGCACATAGAGCCAGATGACGGCAATGCCCAGCGTGAGTACTATGGCCGGAAACAGAAGAAGGTTCTGTGTCGCTTTGTTAAACGCGGGAGGGTGCTGGAAGATGGACAGGTGTCGAGTTCGGACCGCCATTAGGTTGAACCATTGCCTAGATACGGGTAAGCGCATGAATTAGAGGTATGAAGACTAGGGCGAAACCAACATGACAACCAAGTTGATGAAGTAGATGGAACTGGCCTCGTTAAGACGAGCGTAGTAGTAGTCGGGATCGACGCTGGCAGGAATCTCGCCGAATTTGAACCAGAGGTCACCGAAGTGAATTCCTGTCCGCTCAAGATACCAATATGCCATAGTGAAAGACAAGAGCGACTCGATCATTCCTACAAGCGCATACGCGTGAAACATAAGTTGCCAGTTGACCAGCTTCGTCGTTTTGAGGTTGCGAGGGGCCCGGAGAAGCAGGTCCGCTTCTGGTTTCTCGTACGCGAGCACAACGGCACCGATGCAGTCAGTAAAGCAGCTGTTTGACACAGTTAGAACATGCATGTCACAGCAGGGGTGGCTAGTTGCGGAAGGGAAAGACGTACCAAATGATGATCATGAGAAATGACGACAAGATCTGCGGTAGGCCAAAGATGACATTGGTAAAGACCGGCCAGAACTCGGACCATGAGCCAGCCGGCAGGAGATAGGCAATGATCTTCTTCAGGTTATCGAAGACGAGTCGTCCATAGCGGACAGCTTCCACAATAGCAGCAAATGAGTCCAGGAGGACCATGTCGGCCGCCTCGATGGCAATGTCGGAGCCGCTGGCAAGGCTGATGCCGATATCCGCGGCTTTAAGTGCCGGCGCGTCATTGACGCCATCTCCCGTCATACCCACAACCTGATCGCGAGCCTGGAACTCACGAACAATCCGGAGCTTCTGGTCGGGAGTCGTGCGAGAGAAGACTATTTCGGGATACGAGCAAACTTGCTCCCACTGATGGCCGTTGAGTTTCATGAGGTCGCTTCCGGTAAGGACCAACGCAGCATCCGGAGAGTTCTGGGACTGCTTTTCGTCCGTCGATTTTGTCGGGAACCGAGCGAGCGCAGAGCTGTCATGTATAGTCGCTGAGGTTACCATGGCACACTGCCGAGCGATTGCCAGCGCCGTAAGGCCAAAGTCGCCAGTGACCTAAGCAAATGCCAATGTTAGCATCTTACTCAAGACGATTGGGGTCCATTGACGCCCGCACACGTCCATCGAAAGAGCCGCGCATACCATAAAAGTACGGATCCCGGCGCCGCGCAAGGTCTGCATGACATCTGGGATCTCAGGTCGAGGAGGATCGATCAAGGCCAGCAGTCCCACCAGGGTCAGATCAGCCTTAAGCTCTCCCAACATGAGCTCTTCCTTCTCCCAGGAGGCGCTAGGCATGATGATATCCGCGTTAAGGACTTTACGAGCGAGAAGAATGACGCGCTTGCCCTCCGACGACCACTTGTCCTTCAGCTGCTTGATGTCGGCATTCATCTTTTCCGTCATGGGCACGACCTGGCCGTCCGCGCTGACAATGTGCGAGCATCTTTCGAGAAGAACATCAGGGGCGCCCTTGGCAGTCAAAAGTCTGTAAAATGGTCAGTTGGAACATGATTTCCTGCATCTGAGAAAGTTTCTCGCGCGTAACAGAGCGCTAGGAATCGCTTACGTGCTGGTGGACTTGAAGTTGGTGGCCTCCGAGGAAGAGAGCGATATTCCGAGGCCGTTGGACGTGGACAACGTGAAGGCCTTCGCCATGAACTTGTTCTTGCTGTCAAACGCGAGCTCAAAAATCGACTTCCAAGCCTTGTTCAGATCTGAAACTGGGCCGAGACCTTCCGCGAATCTCAGAGACGCCTGGTCAGTGGCGTCGCCGAAAATGCGTCGCTCTGCCAGTGGGCGGGACAGTGTCTCTGCGTCAAAGCTGGCGGCATTGCAAAGACCTGCCACTGCCCGCAGCTGCTCAAGGCCAGAATTTCTCTTCAGGGCCACTTCGTCCTTGGCCGATTCAGGTGTGAAGGTAGTCGTGTTCAGCGCGCAATCGGCGACAGACATTCGGTTCTATGTATGCATGATAAGCTGCTGCATACCATGCGCATTGTGCTTGGACAGAGGACTTACACTTGTTAACGTTCCCGTCTTATCAGAGCAGACGACCGACACGGCACCAAGGGTTTCGACTGTTTTGAGCGACTTGCACAGGATCTTGTTCTTCTTCATCAGATTCGCAGTGATTGTCAAGCTGGCGGTGACGGCAATGGGAAGCCCTTCTGGAATGTAGGCGATAGCGACGCTGACGCAGCTGACAATGAGGGCGGGGACAGAGATCCAACCAGGGTGCTCTTTGCGTAGCCATCCTCCCCTGGGAAACGGTCAGCCATGAATGCATCACGACGAGCCGGGCGCGAATTCGGTTAACATACCAGACAGCGGCTAATACCACGATCCAGGTGACCATGATGGCAAAGATCAAGAGAACGAATCGGAGAATCTCTTTCTCGATGGTTGTTAGCGTTGATTTAGGCTGACCGGTCAGCTTGGCAATTTGTCCGAATACTGTCAAGTCGCCAGTCGCCACGACAATGCCTTTTGCAGTGCCAGACACACAATGCGTGCCTTGAAGTCCGATACAGCGCGTTTCGAGGTAATTTTCGTCCGTTGATTCGATCGTTCCCTTTACGGGCTTTGACTCTCCTGCACGTCCACGAGGATCAGCGGACCTTCTTAGTGCCGTTGAAGTAGAACGTCATCATACCAGTTAGGACAGCTCGGTCGGTTGACATGTCGTGAGAGACTTCGATAAAGCGAACATCTGCAGGGATCCTGTTGCCGGCCTTGAGAAGGAGGATGTCGCCCGGGACAATGTCCGTAGCTGAAAGTTCAACTTGCACGCCGTCTCGGACAACGTGGCACGACTCCGGCAACATGGCGGTAATGGAGTGCATGACCCGAGACGAAGAATAATCTTGCCATCCATTGAATGCCGCCTGGATGACGAAGACAGCGATCAAGACGATACCCAATGCCAGGTTGGCAACCTGTGGTGGGTCTCCGAGAGGCTTCCATGATATAAAAACCAGGATACCACCGACGCAGAGCATGCCACCAAAGCCTTTGAAGAAGTATCCGACGACCTTCCAGAACCAGGGGTTGGGCAGCGGTGAGATCTTGTTCTTGCCATGTTTCGTCAAGCGGGTATCAGCCTCGCGTGCTGAGATGCCACTAGCTGGGTCGACCTCCAGCCGCTTCTGAATATCTTCAAGCGTCCTCTTATGCCAGTCGATGGTCTCAAACTCTAGATGAGGAAACAATATTAGAGCTTGACCACTAACAACAATCCCAAGATGAAAGTAGATGTCTCATGCATACTTAACACAATGGCATCCTTGGCCTTGTCTCGATTTATCTGCTGATCTCTCTCGGCTTCATCAATGTCCTGGGAGCTGCGCACGTGTAACGTCAGAATGCGGGATGCAACGTCGGGGTGTGAATCACCGCAGACACTTACAGGCTGCGGTACTGGATCGGGATCGCCGCGGCTGGATCAATGGTCCTACGGTTCCGACTCGACGAGCGGGAGCGCCTCCGAGACACAGACCGACGGGCAGTAGCAAGTCGTTCTCGCCTGGTCGAGCGGTCCTTCTCTATGTCGCCTTCGCGCCACGCCAAGGAGGTCTCCGGGGCCATCGTGTTGGTGGTCTTGCCGGGTAAAGAGGGAGACGTATGAATCACGGGAGCACCTGATGGACGCAGACACATTCGTCTTGGAAGCACATCGCTACTTATTGCACGTATCGCCGTGCGTCAATTTCTCAGCTGAAGCTCCGTCGGGATATTCCTCTACGAAGCTGACGATGCTGCGCGACCCCGACATGTGCTAGACAAGTAACCACTTTCAGGATGCCGGCCGAAGAAGAAAGACTAGGAGCCGAAGCATCCAATTCATTACGTGAAATTTAGGTAAAACTTTGCAAGGGATCTCCCATGTCTGTCAGTGATCGTTCTTGTTCCCGCGCAGGGCTAAAAGGGCGAATCCTATAAATCACTCATACCCGAAACCGGTATGCCTAACTTCACCGCGGAACCATCGCGACATCGGCTCCGGTTCAATTGAGCCTCAAAGGTGCCTTGTAGCAAGGTCAGCGCGATCTTTCTTTATGGATCCGGATTTGCTCGGTTTTGTAAGTATTGATGTACAAATGTTGACTTGAGGCTACTCGTGATGACATTGATGGATCCCTTCAAAATACGCGAGGCTCAGCGGGCCGGTCCGTAAGCGGCGAAAACGTCGCTATTGGAGCGATCACATATGCCTCATACTTTCTAATGTCGGCAGGCACTTGCAAAATACCTCTAATGGCGTGTTTTTCTCTAGAAGTCTTCTCCCCCAGAACGTGATATTGGCCAGAGAAGTCTTGGCTGCGCGAACATCACGGTGGGCCTCACGGAGCTGGCTTACACCGCCAAAAAAAAAAAAAAAAAAATAACGGCGCAAACTCGCAAAATCACGCTCGCCAATGGATCGCGAGTCGCATCAAAACGAAATTTCGGTATATGGATGTACCTGGCCGTTACTTGTCGTACAATGCGGAGGAGGCACCACGCGACAGTCACACGCGACACTTGGATGCATCTACCAGTGCCTGTTGGCTCCCCACCGTCGCAAAGATGCGCTCCATTGGTCGCGATGGCCGCCCTCGCTTGGAAATACGCACGCTCCGGATGGGATCAGGCGGAGGATGCATCAAATGAAGTCGCTCGTCCCAATTCGGCCAATGTTGGACACGGGCTGGAAAGGGGGGAATGAGGGCTGGAAAGTGCCTCATACAAAAGCCCTTGTACACGACATTCGAGGCCTCCTTCAACAGCAGCGGTAAGACGTCACTTGTACATTCCAAGGGTGAGATTTTGGACAAGGCGAGCAGCTGCATCGCATTCCCAGCCGCCCTCTCGGCAACAGGCCGACACGATGCCACCGGTCGCATGTATGCAATTATCCGCTCAAGATGCTTTTTTCGTTTGGTCGTTGAGGAGACAAGTTCCCAACCACCCAGCGCTCATAAAGTTCATCCCGGATTTTTAGATGGAGTGGGCGATGTGCTCGATATCTTGGGCACGAGCCGAGCTTGTCAACATTTAGTTCGCCTCGCACAATTCGATCCGATGCCATCGCAGAACGCCTTACCCATACGCTTCCGAACTCGTCTTCACGTCATGTAAATCGCCATGACCGATACTCCTGATCCTCCGTCGACAGGCGGAGCCAGCTCCCAAGCGCTCATAGCCAGCATATTGACTGTCTTCCTGATATCTATTGCTGTGACAGCCTATGTAGCGCACAGGAGTTCCCGCTTCGAACCCATCAGGGAGGCTGTGCGCGTGCGCATGGCAGGTTTTCGCTTTTCGCGAGGTCTGGATCCTGACTTGATTGCGCGCATTCCGATCGTCAAATACCACGATGGCCCGGTGGCGAAGGATACGTCGGAGGTAGCAACACATCACCACCGGGAAACGGTCACTCGCGAGACTGCCTCAGCTACAACGCCGTTGGGTTTCTGGTCGCAGCTACAGAAGACTGTCAGCCGCATCATACCGGGCAATTCGACCCCAAAAAATAGTACTTCGGCCGCAAGAGAGTTTCCATCGAGTTGTTCGATCTGCACCGAAGACTTCGCCGAAGGCGACGACCTTCGAAGGCTCACATGCGGCCACCTATTCCACATGCCCTGCATTGATCCATGGCTACAGGATCGCGCCCGGACTTGTCCTCTGTGGTAATGCGGTCCTCCATTCCACTACAAGCGAAGGTTTATTGCTAACACGACTCAATCTCGATCTCGGAAGTCGGATAGATTTGGAGGCACAGCTCGCCTTGGATGACCTACCGAAGCCGTCGAGAGCCAAGAGGCTGGTAATACATAGAGCAACGCAACATTAGGGAATCCCTATTGTTCACAATTCAGAGCGAATTTAAACGCAGATCCCGACGGCATATCGCTCGTGTTGGCAAGGGTAGTTGATGGTGCGCCCCGTCGCTGATGGCCTCATTCACTGAACATCGTTGTTGTCAGCGTGAAGGGACTACGAGCAGACCGGTGTCGAACCTCCTTCCGTTGGCAGGCTTGGGACATCTCTCAAAGTGGCAGCAGATCTGCGCACGGCGTGGCTTTCGGGCTCGTTGTGACGTCTCGTTCACCGAAACCAAGACCGATTGGAACAAATGCTTGCGGGCAGCGTCCACGGGAAGGGCTCCATGGCCGTTCCTGCGTTGGATGAAGTAATTATAGTTGTATGTACTGTACCTCACTATTGGAGGTTGAAGTTTTAAGATGAGACACGAGGATGTGTCAACATGAACTGAATTGGACAGGTCGCACACCTTATGCTTAAAAGCACGGGGTGTCCTGTTTTAGGACGATACCAAGCTTTTCTGTTTCCATGCCTGGGGCCGTGCTATTGGACCGCTTGTCAAGCCGGAGATTTTCTGCAAGCTCGACCCCGATTCCCTGCGGATTTTCTCCGCAAATGCGCTCGCTCGCGCCCTTGTTCGAAGGCGGCTCCATGGCCTGGCGTTCCCCAGCCCTTGGCATCTTCCCCACAACTTGACAGCGGTTAAATCGCGATGGCGGGTTAGAATTGCCCAAACAGGCATCACGTCAGGAACTATCTGAACGGCGGCGGAATGGCGGTGCCTCGGCTCCGAAATGATTCAAGGCAGGTCGATATTAATGTGACGGCGACGGCCGGCTACTTCGTGGTGTGCGCAGTGTTGTATTTGCCTCCTCAAGGTTCCGTGGCACTGTTCGCCGTTCATCGCGTTGCGGAGCAAGACCAGAAACGACTTTGAGAGCGCCCACGCGCTGCAATCATCTCTTACGATGCGCTCGTGTCGCGGTAGCCTCGGGGCTATTCTGGCAATTAGCCTCGTCGCAACGCGTTGCGATGCGGCCGGCTCCGGAATTCCTTCGAGATGGGGCTTGGGCAACGACTTCACGCTCTCTTGGTCTGGAGGCAGCTCGCAAGAGATTGTCATTCGGCGCAACGACACATCGATCTGGTCGACCTCGAAAGACCACAGCTTCGTCAGCGCCACCTCAGGCGACGATATCTTCGCGGGCGAAAGCGGCAACTTCAAGATCACGCAGGTTGACAACGACAAGTGCAACGGCCTCGACGTTACGGAGTTGCTGTACGTGCCTTGGAACAACAGCCTCACTTGCCACAGCGTTGCGATGAGGGGACAGCTGCTCGACTGCGGCTCCGAGGATGGATCTGTCGGGGGTAACTTCTCGGCGTACTTTTGGGTTCCGCAAGATCTGCCCGACCGCGTCGCATTCCAGGTCGATGTAGCCTCGACGTCCAAGGCGCCATTCACGAAGACGCACCTCACGTTCAACTCGCACGCCAACGAAGACTTCTACGGCCTCGGCGCGCAGGCCTCCTTCGCCTCCCTCAAGAACCGCTCCGTGCCCATCTTCTCGCGCGAGCAGGGCGTCGGGCGCGGCGACGAGCCCACAACGCAGATCCAAAACATTGTCGGCTTCTTCGCCGGCGGGGACCGCTTCACGACGTACACGGCCATCCCGCAGTACGTGAGCACCGACGGCAAGGCCTTCTACCTGGAGGACAGCCGGACCGCGTACGCCAACTTTGACTTTACGCGCGCGGATTCCGTGACGGTGCGGTATAACGGGCTGAGCGTCTCGGGCCAGTTCTTGTTGGCGGACGGGATGTTCGATGCGGTGGGCAAGACGACAGACTATGTGGGCAAGATGCGGAGCCTGCCGCGCTGGGTCGACGACGGTGCCATCATGGGCATTCAGGGGGGACAGGGCAAGGTTGAGAGGATCATCAAGGAGGCGAGAGATGCCGACTGCCCAGTCGTCGGTGTTTGGCTACAAGACTGGTACGTATCTTGCTCCCTCTCGTTGACAAGATAGATCGATGTATTCCATCAGGCCTTTGGCACGGAAAACTGACACTTGTCTTGCAGGACCGGAACCCGCCTGCAGGCGACGCCGACCGGCATCAACATCTCGCGCCTCTGGTGGAACTGGGAATCTGACGAGGCCCTGTATCCGCAGTGGCCAACCTTCGTCCAGAACCTCCGTGACCAGTACTCCGTCCGAACGCTCTCGTATCTCAACCCGTTCCTCGCCAACGTCAGCACCAAGGCAGACGGCTTCCGCCGCAGCCTCTTCGACGAGGGGCGACACGCATCGTACCTCGTGCGCAACCTCACGACCCGCGACGTCGCCATCGTCCCCAGCGGACCCGGCATCGAGGCCGGAATCCTGGACCTGCGCAACGCGGCCGCCCGGCGGTGGTTCGCGCGCGTCCTCACCGACCAGGTCTGGAACGCCAACATCTCGGGCTTCATGTGCGACTTTGGCGAGTACACGCCCGTGACGCGCGACACGGGCTTCGGCGACGACGACGCCGCCGTGTCGCTCGACCCCCTCGTCTACCACAACCGCTATCCGCGCGACTGGGCGTCCTTCCAGCAGGACGTGCTCAAGTCCCTCCCGCGGTCGGCGGAGCGCGCGGCCGACGCCCTCATCTTCCACCGCTCCGCGTCGCTCGGCGCGGGCCGGTCCATGAACCTCTTCTGGGCAGGCGACCAGAGCATCGCGTGGGCGCGCAACGACGGCATCAAGTCGGTCGTCAGCATCCTCGGGCACATGGGCGTGTCTGGGTACGCGCACGCGCACTCGGACGTGGGCGGGTACACGTCGACGTTTGTGCTCCCCAACGCCGAGTATCCGTACGGCGCCATCGGGCGCACCGCCGAGCTGCTGGGCCGCTGGGGCGAGCTGGCTGCCGTGTCGAGCGCCGTGTTCCGCTCGCACGAGGGAAACATCCCGGGCATCAACGCGCAGGCCTACACCAACGGGTCGACGCTGGCGTGGTATGCGCACAGCGCGCGCTTGTTCCGCGCTCTGGGGCCGTACCGGAGACACGTTCTGGACGGCGAGTGTGCGACCAAGGGGTGGCCGCTGCTTCGCCTGCCGGTGCTGCACCATCCCAATGACAGGCGGGCGCGGAGCATTGGTTACGAGAGCTTCTTCCTCGGGCCAGATTTGTATGTTGCCCCAGTGCTGGATCCTGGCGTCAAGGCGGTCAAGGTCTACCTCCTGGGGTCGTCCAAGGACTCGTACACGCATATCTGGAGCGGCGCAACGTTTTCGGGCGGCGTCGACGTGACTGTCGATGCACCGTGGGGGAAGCCGGCTGCGTTTGTGGTCAACCATGCAGCGACCACTGGGCTGTCGGATCTGATGGACTTTGTGCGCAAGGAGAACGCCACGGTCATCAAGATGTAACGAAGTAGTAATATGAGGTTTTTGTTTCAGATTGACATGGACGAGCAACGTCTTACCACGGCGCTTTCATCCAACGCCATCTGTTTCCACTCACACCATTAATCGCAAAGGCTCCAGACTTCTGTAACGCTCGCGAGCTTTCGTGACAAAGAACAAAGATTGGTTCAAACTGACCTAAACGAAACGCATCACGGCAGCGCATACAGCTCCCTCGGCCGCCCATCCGCATCACAGCTCGCAAACCGCCACCACCCCGAATGCCACCCGCCCAGCGTGCGCGTCAGCGCCCAGCGCAACGCCGCCGGCACCTCGGGCCAGTCGCTCCACAGGCCGCCCTCGTACCCGCGGTCCAGGTTGAAGAGGAAGAACATGGACACGTCGGTGACGCCGCCCGTGAGGACGGACCGGCGGCCCCACGCGTCGAAGCGGCTCTTGGCCGTCGCCGCCTCGGGCGTGCCCTCGCGCGGCGTGTTGGGGTGCGCCGCCAGCGCCGCGATGGTGTCGATCTCGGAGCGGAAGTGCTCCTCGAACGGCTTCTCGAAGGCGGCCATGAGTTCTAGCATCCGCGCGGTGGAGAACTGCGAGGGCGTCGCCTTGACGCTCTCGAGGTACTCGTGGAACTCGTTGAGCGCGGGGATGAATGCATCTAGCGAGTCGTGGTCAGCGCAAAGTCAAGCAATAGCCTGCTGGCTTCACCCCCGTCTCGCTTCCGTGGCTCAGTCGCAGAAGAAGGCGGGTAGAGATGGGGGTGAACTGAACAATGGGTGTGACCTGCCGTGCTCCTCGTGTGTGTGCTTAAACACCTCGTCCTTCAGCAGCCGCTCCGCATCCGGAAACAGCTCACCCTCCTCCTTATCGGCATGCGTGCGCACAAACTTGCTCCACGTGCGGCAGTAGCCCAAAAAGTCGGCCTTGTCCGCGTCGCGAACATGCGGCGCCTGCAGGTACATGGAGTTGTAGCCGCGGAAGATGGCATTGTGCAGGTTGCACATGTGGCTGGCGCCCTCGGTCCACATGTCCGTCTAGATGAACCCCGCACGGTCAACACTGGACATGTTCGTCCGTTGCAAGGCCAAATCGCTTGTGGCCGGCGGGTTATGTTTATTCACCTTGTTCGTGAGAAAGGTGGGCGTGGGGATGAGCGCCAGAGGTGCGTCCGCCCAAGGCTTCTTCATCGCCCCGTTGGTCTCGCTCGCAGCGGGCATGATGGTGGCTTGCCTGTGAGTTCCGAGCAGATATGTTCCAATGGCGACGCTCACGATGCCCGTGACGAGAGTGTAGAGCATGGCGATGATTGCGGTCAACGTCCTGTCGACCGAGGACGAGCGTTACCCCGAGCTTATAAGTAGTGCATCATCAACTGTCGTGCCATGTGCCACATCCCACAGCTAAAGTAAGCTTAACTGTACTTGGAGTGGGGCAACAGGTGTCGAAACTCAATGAAACCGAGAAACACGGGACGCCTCTTCAGCCGCAGCCAAAGCCACAGCATGCAGCCAGCTGGGCCAAGGCCTGAGGAGCACGTCAGCTCTGTCGACTATTAATAATCTCTCGTTGGCAATTCGTAACTGTTTTCCTGGGGTAGCCTTTCAAGCGCGTCATCTGTGTGAACGTTGAGCGTCTTTCACGACTCGGAGCCAACATTGATCACATTGACGCCAACATGTCCCAGTATGAACAGAAGGACAACGCGGCACCACGCAATCGTATGCGTGGCTTCCGGCGCTAAGTAATCAGTATCAGCTTCATAAATCTCTAACAGGTTCATTACGCCATGGTACACTAATGATACAATCCGTGTTCGTCAACACACCAACACCCGCCGGATTCTAGGGCCACATCGCCGCCACCAAGGCAGCATCACTCGTCCTTCTTCTCCCACCTCCTGCGGCGCTTGCGCTCCGCCTCATCCTTTTCGAAGTCGCCCATGAAGTACACCCACCCGCCGGCCACGCAGTTGGTCGCGCCCATGCCGATGGCGGCGCCGCGCACGAGGCCGCGCGCAGAGAACTTGGAGCGAAACCCCTGTCGCCGCCGCAGCGCGAGCAGCGCGTACAGGCCGGACCAGGCAGCGGTGAGTCCCGCGCTGCCAGTTGTGTAGCCCGAGAGATTGAGGTACGAGGAGAAGAGCAGCGGCGGCGTGAAGATGAAGAGCGGCAGGGGCTGTAGCGGCCGCGCGTGCAACGCGGTAATGAGCGTGGCGAGCAGTGAGGGCGGCAGAGAAGAGGCTTCATTGGGATATTGTCAGCTGGGTGTCGGAAGAGGTTCCGTGGATCGCGGGTGGAAGTGAGCGTGGGTGAGGGCAAGACAAGAGCTCTGTCGGAGTCATTGACAGCACAGACAGCCGCCTAGAGCTCTCCCAGCGAGTGAAACAAGCCAGAGCAACGGCAAGCATGGTCATGAGGAGAGGTAAGGATACTCACATCCCCAGTCATGAAGGTGCCCCAGCACACTCTTGGCCGGCGCCTCTACCGCGGGAGCACCCGCGGAATCATCTGAGCCCGCCATCCCAGCGACAGTTCTTCCCACGAGAACTGCTGCGTCTTTCGAAAGCAATCTCCTCTCCGCAGTCTCTCACGAGCGCTGAGAGCGGTTGCCGTGACGTGGTGTGGCCAACGCTCCAATTGCCGGCCAAGATCGCTGTCGGTCCACCAGAGGGAAAGGATGTGCCCGTACTGCGTCTCTCAGTCCAATGCGGGGGCGTAGGGATGACGGCGATTGAGGCAAGCCAGCCAAAGTCTGCGATGATATGCGATGAATGACGGAGCTTTTCGAGCTTCAAGATTTGAGCTGCCGTCTCTCACGCGATGACGTCCAATGAGTTGAGGCCAAAGAAACGGCTGACTCAGCGGTTGAGCCACACTCGGCCAGAGGTACCCAAGCACCAGCCCCAGGCACCAGCCCCAAAGCGCCGCCCTCCGCCCGGTGGCCCAGCGGCCGATGAGGCTCCATCTGGCCGTTCGGCCCGCCGTTCCAGCGCCCAGGCAGCCACTGCGGGGCATCATGCAGCAGCTGGAGCCCCCCCAGAGTCCGACCCCTCCAATCCCACCTCCAGCAATTGTTCTCCGCGCGAGCCGTGCCTGGACCGCGCTCTTCATCGTCAGCCACTTGAACCTGCCCACCGCCACGGCATGTCGGCAGCAGGGCACACCCACAGAGAGGAATTGGCTGTCGATATTCTCGTCACGCCATGCGCGCCAGGCAGCCGCCTCTCATCCATCATCCCGCCCTTCGCAACTCGGCAGCAAAAAGCCACGGAGACATCTTTCATCGTGCCAGCTTCGCCTTTTTTATTCCCGACTTATAGCCCCCTGGCGTTGAGTGGGTGCCAGGTGTCACCCGTTGAAATTACTCGGGCATAGGTAGAGACCCCCATCGCCAAGCCACGCTCGACAGTCGCCCCGATTTCGTAACATAACGTCTTAGTTAATTACCGCCTCGCGAACCGGCTATATTCCCCCTCCCCCATCATTTTCACACGAATTTCCTCCTCTGGAGCCAGGCGTGGATATAGTAGCAACTCCCGGGTATCCGGGCATTCGGGGATTGCCCCCCATCTCTTTCTCTTATCCCCGCCCACTTACACGGGCACACAGCCAGTGTAAACTCCGGCCGAGAGCAAGATGCTGACCTAGAGGCTGTTGGGGCTCATCTGACAGGAGGACGCCAAACGCGCTATACCCTCCCTCGTATTCTTGGACACGACTCGCGCGACGGGCACCTCCCACAGCTCTTCTCGCCTGGGCGCTTCCCGCACATGCACACATGTCCCACCCCCAAAATCGCGGCCACTGACTTACACTCTCGTTACACCACCACCATTACCACCAACACGCATGCCATGCCATGCCCGTCCCCCGGTCACGTACAGGACGAGCATGCACCCACCTGAGGTAGGCAGGCCGCACGCAACCTCCAGCACACACACATCCCCCTGGACCCTCGTTCCCAGAGCCCACATGCCCGCCACGCGACAGCAGCCCTACCCACGCAACACAGTAAGTCGGGGGCGAAATGGAAAGTAACCTTCGGGGCGCATGCGCGCGGCGGGCGCTTCGGTGCGCCCTCTGCATGCAGCAGCCGCCGCGTCTGCGTGCGTGCGTGCGTTTGTGCGTGCGTGCGTGCCCGCATCTGCCCATCCATCCAACAGCCGCTGCTCCCATCTCGCAGCATCCCAACACCCACCCCCTCTGCCCTTTGCGGCAGCAAACGAGCCACCGGCCGTTGGGTCGGTCGGAGGACCCTGAGCCTGCATGGTTCAAGGGTAGTACCCCCATCCATCCACCCGGGGGTGTCCGGCCATGGATCCTTCCGCGAGGCACGGCGCAAGGCACCCACGCGATCAGTACGAGAGTGCAACTCCGACGTCGCGTCCGCGATATCCTATGAAACCTTCTGCCCTTCCTCCGGCCGACTTCGTGTCCCCAATTGCTGTGCCGGACACTACTGTGCTAGTCCAAGCCATGTCATCCGCAGGTTTACGCAACATCCTCCGTCTTCCCGCGCCTCTCTGTTGGCTCCGTGGATGCGTCCCTGAGCGCTGTAACCCTGGAAGTAGGCTGGCCTGGGCCTTCGTCCCGGTGTTTGCGCCTCGGTGTGACACATCCTGCTCCGTGACACAACAGCCAGATCTCGGGCATGTTGCCAGCTTACCAGCGCTGCCAAGATGAGTGCAAGGGCGCTGAAGTTCGTGCCAGGCACAAATCGGCTCTTCATTATGGAGATTAATACATAGGAAAACAACCAAGAAATGCCCTTCCTATCGTGTGTTGCTGCCTTGCCTGAGCATGCGCTTCCGTCTCAGAAGCCCAACACGCCGCCCCTCCTGCGCACCGGATACTTCGTACTTCGTACAAGTTGAGGTGTACAATCAATGTGCCTTCTAGCTGCACGCTCATCTGAAGGGGTCAAATCGACGCCTCCAGAAATCCTTTCTAGTCTTCGCTCCAAAAAAAAAAAAAAAAAAAAAGGTCCGTCTATCACGTTTCGTCACAAGCACAGTGAAAAAAGATACCCTTCGCTGTTGTGATTCCGGGCGCCGTGGTGGCGGGAATGCGAGCCGAGTCGGGTACAGAAAAGGAAAGCTTCCATGGGGTTCGTCATAGCAGTCGTCAAGTCATTACTGTCGCGGAGCCAGTCGCTGGCGCTGCCGCCGTTCTCTCATACGTCTCATCAAGCCATCCGCGGAGGTCCGCTGCGACGTTTGCAGCGTAAAAGGCTTCACAGTGCTCGAGCGAGCACTGAACCCAACAGGTGTCATTGCGGCCAGTATCGTTGGTCCATGTTTGGGTACTGGTATCCCTGGTATGCGTCGTAGGCGCCGTACTCATTTCCATACATTGGGCTGGTCGTTGCCACGTATGTTGAGTCCATCGCAGTGGTCACCACCGCGTTTGCCGCGTCGTCGAATCCTGACCATCCTCCCTGCTGGTAGGCAGAATAGTGGCTCGTGTCAAACTGCGACATCGTCGGCGATCCGTACATGTCGCTGGTCATTCCCGTTGACATTGCGCTCATGTCGAAAGCGTCCGTTGGCGATACCATTGGAGACGAGGTGTGGCCCGCAGAGCTGCCATGATGGTGCTGCCCCGTGTGCGCCGCCGAGGCCAAGGCGCTGCCGCTGTCGCGGGATCGTCCGCTCTTGGACTTTGCTTGCGATTGTCCTTTGTGAGACGAGGCGCGGCTGCTGGGGCTTCCACTCTCCTCCCGGCTGTGGCTACGGCCCTCTTTGGAGTTGACGCTCCCTTTCCTGCCCTTGCGTGAGTTGGAGCGACTATACTCGCAGGTGTGACCGCTGGCAGCGCATCTATCGCAGCCATCCTTGTCCCCGCTGCATTTGAGCTGTACGTGCGTGTCAGCCTCGAAGGTTCCAGCAATTTGAAGGCATCGCGTGCCGCCAATGCAGTGGCATGCTCCGGCAAGGCAAAGCCTGGCCTGCTCGTACTACGGCTTGCCGGAGCATCGGAGTAGCGGTATAGCGGACTGGCCGGAGCTATCATACCTTTTTCTCATGACACCGGTTGCAGGCCTGATGCTGGCTTGAGCGGGCTGTGATGGGGTCATATGCCCGCCTCAGGTTTTGGACTTGGTCCGTCTCCGGGTCGTACTTCCACGTTCCGAACATGATGTGGAGTTGTACGAAATACGCGGTTGTGAACCCGTCGAGAGTCCCGCAACAAGGCGCACTGCCGACAAGGGGGATTGGGTATAGAGCTCCAAAAGAGTCAAAAGAACATATCTGCCTGAAAGCGAATTTGTGACGGCAAGGCTGACCTGCGATTGAAGCCGTTTTATATAGGCGTGTCTTGTGTCGACATCCCGTAGTGCGAGCAGGCTCCAGAGCCAGGCAGCGGGCGGAGTCATCTTCTCCTGGCCCCCCACAGCACCAAAGCGGCTTGCATCCTTCGACGTGCTACTCGCCTGGCTCGCCGTACCCGTCCCAGCTACGACCAGCGAGTGTGTGTGCGCGCGCGCGGGTGCAGTTGGTCCTTGACTCCTGGCACTTCGTTGTCGGCACTGCCAGGCTGCAAGACCCCTCCTTGCCCTCTTGCTGCCTTTGATGGGTCCCAAGTTCTAACGCAGTCGATTGATGCACCCACAGGCTCCAGGGGTGTAAGCCCACTTGGGGCGCTGGGCACCGAACTAGCCCCCACAAGCTCGCCTGTCCAGCAGCCAACCGTGCCCCGGCGGTGCTCTTAACTCTTGGCCCTTGATGGCGGCATGGGTCCTCTGGGACAGGGCGGGAAGATCGTCAAGTGTCCGGTAGAGCATGGCGCAGGCGCTTGTGAGCTGCTGCGCAGCCGTCAGTCCACTCTGTCTCGGGGAACCAGAGAGAACCAAGGGGGAACGAATCGCCAATCGTGATGAGGCTATGGCGCACCCCCGGAGGCAAGAGGGAAGGGCAAGGAACCAGGCAGTGGAACAACGGAGGTGGGGTGCAGGGCCAGCGTTGGGCAGGGGTGGACCAAGGGAAGGGAAATTCGACGTTTCCGTCCTGTCCTGCCCCCCCGAAGATGATATCTTGTGACGACACGCAGACGCGTGTGAGAGTGAGAAGCGTGCCGCCGTACTTGGTACACGAGCACATGGGCACTGGGGGCCGCGACTCGCGACGCCGTCACGCGCAGTGCTCCTCCGATTCGCCTTGTGCGAAGCGGCTCGGTTCCCGTCTCCGTCTCCTCGCTCGAGTCGTGCCCCTTCCCACCATGTCCCTGACCGTGGCACCATGGTGTGTGCGCGTCAGTCGGCGACGGTTCCGTGCCAGCGCTTGTTGTGCCTGGCGGTGGCCTATCAGGGACCTTCGGTTGCTCGACGAGCCCAGCAGGGCTACCATGGAGGGGACGGCAAGCGATGGAGACGACGCCTCCACCAATTGGTCAGCCGCGACGAGCTCCCGGCCGTGGAGAAGGGCACAGGTCCACGGGAAGAGGGGGGCTGACGAGGCAGAAGCCACCCCTGTCGTGGCACGAGAGGCTGCTCTGGGAGCTCGCGCTTCGCTCCTGTGGTTGCAGGAACCTGCATCCTTCGACATCCGCCCGCCGTGTCTGCTGGTCGCTGGAAATGCGGAGCCGGCATGCTTCAGGTCGCCGACCACGCCGGAGAGATTGAGTCCAGTGAGGTCTTGTTCGTTGCCGCGTTTCCTCCGAGAGTATCGGCAAGACGCTGAGATTGGGGGCCACAAGTGGTCGCGAGGGTGGATATTCATTGCCTCTCTCGACAATGACCGAGGAATTGCATTGCCATGGTGGCGATAATAAGCTCGGTCGGCCGGCATGCCCAAAGACGATCCGTCCAGGAATTCGACTCACAGGGCAAAGCAGACTCGGACGACTGGTCAATGGATATGGCAGGCCATGCCACGGCAAGAATTGTATCGGCCGAATCCGGATCCGAAGCTCACATGCTGTGTATCAGAGACCCAGACATGGACGCCAGCACCGTTAATCCCGGCCCTCGCCCTGTGTGGTCGTGCTGTGCAGTGATGCAGGCCGGGGGGCATGCGTAGGGCATTCGACGTTGCATTGGCCTTGCAGGGCATACATCATCATCGCGCCATGTGTTGTAGACTCACCTCGTCAATTCTCCGGACCTGCAGCATGGCAGCTGCTCGTATACGGCCAGATGTTGACCTTCGTATAGGGCTGCTGAAGACCTGGCTGCCCCGAGCCCGGGGCGTTGCGTGCTCCGTGCACATTGCAGATTGCACAGGGAACTGGCGATCGGCTCGTGGCTCAGCAGGGGGGACGGAGGCGGGATTGGCGCCCGGCGCGCGCGCATCGGAGCACGAAAGAAGAGATTGCCGAGATAAAAACAGCATCCGGCGTCAAGGAGGCTGGGGCAGCGTGCATGCATACCGTGTGTTTGGCAGCTGGGAGCTCCCGCGAGATGGTTGTCTGCGGTCTCCATGGTAGGGCGGAAGGAATCCTGGTGCCTGAGGAGGTCGTGAGGCGGCCCGTGGAGGATCAACCTAGAAATCATGGCGGTGCAGTGGCAGGTGCGCCCCAGTGGCAACATCCATCACCAAACCTATGCTCCAAACAGCGCGCCCGGTGTAGGGGCTCGCTGGGGCACACACCCATGGAGATCCAGGGCAGTGCCCTGCAGGGTGGTTCCTGCCTCAACCTGAACTCAGGAAAGCTGCCCTGTCTGCCCAGGACAAGGAACAAAAGAGTACTTTACTCTTGCCTAGGGCTATAACCTGTCTTGAGGTACCTGCCAAAAAAGTGTCCCCAAGCTGACGGCAGGATGGGCCCAACAGAAGTCGCCGCCAACACCATCCATCGCCATCATCATCAATCCATCCTGAAACCTGGAACCCGGGAACACCTCCATCAACACCCCTTTGGCCAAACGCTGCGGCTCTGCTGCGTCGTCAGATCTGCCACCCTCGAGTCGCGTCCCATCCCACGACGATCAGCTCCCAAACTCTGCATCAGCGTCGGCGTATTGCTGCATGGCGCTTCCACCCCCGGGTGCATCTTCCAGTGCAGACCGCGCGACACAAGTTCCCGCCCCAAAGTCTTGAGACGGCGGCCCCAGACTCGTCCCTCGTCTGCGGCCAAGCCAACCGCGAGAGCCACCGAACAAGCCACTCGACCTGGAGGCTCTGTGACCAGGCTCTTGCCGGGCGGCATGAGCAAATTAAGCCACCTCAGTGGCTGTACGACGTACGAGCTGCGGATCCCTCAATTCCACTCATCTGCGTAGTGTCGTGGTATCGAGCTTCTGCAGCCGTGCAAACTTGCGACCATCGCCCCGGGACCGCCCGGGGGCGAGATGCGCGTCTGCTGCAATCAGCTGCAATGTCACACAATTCAACGTCTGCGCCTCCAGGAGCCCAGTTCGCCGCATCGGGACCTCGCTTTCGGCACGGCCGCCGCCTTGGGTACGCACAGCGCCGGCCTCGGCTTCGGCCTCGGGTCTCGTCGCCGTGGTCTTCGGCCTGTCTCCGTCCTCCCACAGCTGCCCACGGATCTCGGTCGGCGGACCCAGCCACCTCAAGGGGGTCGCACGTCAGTCCGTCACGCCAGTAGCGCCAAAGTCCACCGGTCCCCAGCACTGAGCAGCCCAGGTCATGCAACAGGCAATTCCCGCAGACCAGGGCTGGCGAATAATGGCGATATATCCCAACGCTCCTGTCCGACTGCGGTTGTGCGTCACGGTCGCAGACCAGCCCAGGCCATGTGATGCTTCAGAGGCCGCCAAAAGAGACGTTCTCTGTGAGTCAACTCGACCAAAGTGGTAAATAAAAATGCCCAGCCGCGTCTCGCAAGGGCCCGGCCAAGGATCTAGGTAGCATCTGTGGCTTCCCCTCCGTTCGTGCGCTCACAGCATGAGACGCTATCCAGCCTAGTGTCGACCAAAAAGTCCACTGACATCCACCAGCGTTCTGCCTTTCAGCCATTGGATATGCACGTCACAAGCAGCCGCTTCCCATCTTGGGCCTAGGCGGTGTGACGAGATGGCAGGGGCCGTGCTGTTCCCGACCTGTCTCGACCCATGGCAAGCAGGGCTGAGGCGGAGGGGTGGTGGTGAGCATGGTGAGATTCAGATCGTTGCCCAGTTGTGGAGCGTCAAGGCTCGCATCTGCCCCGCCCCGGACGACACGGCCGCGATCCCGCCCCAAGCCATTCTTCACTTTTGTGGCTTCGGAGCCCCTTGTGCGTCTTTAACTGGATGCACATGATGCCAAACCGGGTGCGGGAACCGCCTCTCCACCCTCCGCACGTTCCCAACGTCACGAAACATGCATCCCCGCGGGCCGCAACGCACCTGGCCGGGGAAGGGGGTCCCTCGACATGTTGACTCGGCTGCTGTCCCCAGTCTGCCGCCAGCGATCTCCCGGCTGTGGTTGAGCCTGTCCAAGATCGTTCCCATCGCGCATGCGCATGCCAAGCAGGACAAAGCACAGGTCACAACAGCGCGCTCGGCACATGGTTATGGCCTTCAGCCTTATTCTAGCGGAAGATATCCAAGGACCCCAACTCTCTCGCGACGCTCCGAGAATAAGGAACCCCAGTCCTGTTCCTATGAATAGAGGAGGGGAGGGCCACCAACCAGCGGGAGAAGCCGCCTCGTATTCCTACCACTCGCCAGGCGTCCGCAACCCTTGTTCCTGTTTCAGTGCCTATGCGCCGCTAGCCTTAACTCTGTCGGAGTGCCACTCAGCACGTCGCTCAAAGGAGCGGCGACCACGCGTCCCTATCGTCACATTCAGGCTCTCGTGACGGCACACCGTGTTTACACGGGTCTTTTGGCCGTATGCAACCCGCACGACTCCATTGCCGAGTGACAAATAGCAAGGCCACGTCAGCCTTGCCGATTCTCAGCGCCGCAAAGGCGCCGATTGGACTGCAACGGGCTGCGGGAAGTCGAGTGCTATGCGGGAACCAAGCCGTCCTCGTTCTCACCGATTATGAGGCAGTCTCAGGGCCTGTCTCCTGTCCACCGCGAGAGAGGAACGTCACAAATCTGTCTGCCTAGCAGTCAGCCTCGCTTCTTCCCGTATGCCGTTGCGTGCCGTTGCCTGCCGATGTGTGCCGGTCTATTGTGTGACCAGGAGCTATCGTCTTCGCATACTTCGCGGGAATTGAGTCACTTACACGCTCATGGAATCTCCAACAGGACCCTCACAGCTCACGCGTTGGGGCGCAACTTCTCCTACGTCCACCGCACGCTCTTTCTGTTCTTGACTTCCAGTCTCTTCGCAAAACGGCGGATCTCGTCCATTGGGATCAAGTCGTCTAGATCCTCAACATCGCCGTCTCTCCAACGCACGACGACCTTGTGGATCCGCTGATCCGGTGCCAGCATGGCAATAATGTCATCGACGACGGCACACGACTCAATGGAAACGGCAAACCAGTCCCCGTGCCGGAGTGACAGGGGCCCGCCTGTTTCGTCGACAACGTCAAGTACGGCGCGCCCCCGCGATGCATTTCCGTCACGCGCGTAAGCGGTTCCGGATGTAAATGGTCCTGACCCCGTCGGTCGGTAATTCCACGTGGACCTGCGGTAGCAGTTACATGGGCAGCGGTCCGGGTCGCAGTCTAGTCCAGGCAGATCGAATGCTCGGCTGCCCCGCCGTGGACAACAAGCGCATCTGCAGTAGTGGGCCTGGTCGCAGGTCGGGTAATAATAGGTCCCATGGGGTCTGGTGTAAGAGGGGCATCTGTAGTCGTCACAGGCAGGGCTGCGGCGTCGTCGGTACAGGTGCTTGAACAGGGGATCACGGCCGAAACGCGCGTATCTGTACGTCTCGGTCTCCTTTCGGCGAAGCTTCCAGACCATCTTGAGGTGGTTCTTGTACACTTAATAGTCGTTTGGACGGTCTCTTGATGCTGGGTCAGCTGTGATGAGGATTTATTGCCACGCCTTTGGCTTCGTCCAAGATATCATCACACTTCAACGCGCATCTTATACAATTCCACTCCAGAGAAGCCCTGGAAAGCGTCTCTCTAACATCCTTGTTTGCTGGTAAAAGCGTCAAAACGGCGAATTAACTCTATGATTGCGAACAGGCTAGATTGACGAAGGCATCTGCATGCAAACAAAAGGCTGTTTGGCGCACAAGGCGTGATGCCACCGATGCAAGCGGCGTCAAACATGAACAAATGCATTCAGATGTTGTGTGCGGGCAAGCCGACTTTGTCCCGGGCGGAACGCAATCATGCTTGCACTTCGGTGGCATATAGGACTGCGTTTGATGAATCTTCGACACACATTCAGCTGTCCGAGGAATCGCGCTGTCGCTTTGTGTGGCATAAAAAGGGGGCACCTTGGATGGATCCATGACTTGCTCGACGAAGGTGAGAGTGCTCCCACTGCACTGCCGTGTCATGATGTCGGCCCTTTCAAATGTGCCTGTTCATGGGGGGTTCAGCACCGCCGTCAAACGATGCGAGCTCATCCTCGAAGGAAATAGTTCCAGTTCATCAGCTTCCTTCAGGTATCGGGTAGGATTGTGGGCTTGTGATCCTCTGGCCTCGGTGGGCTTGGAGGTTCCTGGATGCGGGTGACGAACCACTGCCAGATAGTGGGGCAGGGGACCAGCAGCGGCGCAGCGGTATTAGCGCTGGCGGCACCAACACGCCACGGCCACCACCACCTCCAGCCACAGGGCCTTTGTTGAGCATGTTCTGGAAGGCCACGCGACTCAGCACGCGCAGCGCCACCCCGGAAAAACCTTACCACGGTCCGCCCCTTGCACTGCACTGGCAAACAGGCCGGTAGGTAAGGTACGTACCCGGACCCTCCCAGAGGCGCCGCCCCCAATGGGGCAAAAAGGCCAGCATGCAATGGCGAAAAACTCCAGATGCTTCCATCTGGCTTGTTCCTCCAACTCCACCACCTCCCTCCTTTCCCTTCGCCATCCCGCCTTATCGCACCCGCGCACCACCGCCGTCGCCCGCTTCCGCAGCACGCCAGGTGTCCCTCCCTCACCTCCTCCTCCTCTTCTCCTTCAGTCTTCCGTTTGCGTCGCAGCCTCGCAACGAGCGAATCCGCAACAATGGCCGGCCTCAGCCCCCAAATGTGAGTTGGTAGCGTGACTGTGGGTTGCGCGCGCGCGCGATGTTCCCCCCTCCGCCCCTTCCTTCCTGGGTTGGAGCGTCGCCGAAGCAATCGCGTGGCTTCGCATTCGCCGGCGACGAGGATGGAACCTCTAGCCGCGGCCCGTTGGGGCCAGACGTTTCATGAAGGGCATTCGCGCTGACCGGCTGCAGCACCAACCTTGTCATCATCCTGGGTATGATGCAGGTGTCGAAGCGCATCCCCTTTGACGACCCCAACGTCCTCATGGGCGTCCGCGGCCTGTACATTGCCAGCAATGTCATCATCGCCCTCATCTATCTCTACATCCAGTCGGCCATCAACAAGAAGAAGGGTACGGTCGCCCCTCCGTCGATCCTCCCTGCAATTGCCCCGTGCGCCAGTCGCTGACCTTTGTTGTGCGCAGACATGACCACGCTCAAGTACGTCGAGCCCGCGCCTATGGGCTCCACCGAGGAGGGCAAGCTCGTCACCACCACGGTCCACGCCTACGACATCCAGCAGCTGCGCACCGCCTTCCGCGGCCAGGCCATGGGCGTCGCCATGATGGGCTTCATGCACCTGTACATGAAGTACACCAACCCGCTTCTCATCCAGTCCATCATCCCTCTCAAGAGCGCCCTCGAGGGCAACCTGGCCAAGATCTACCTGTACGGCCAGCCCGCCGTCGGCGACCTCAAGCGCCCCTTCAAGCAGGCTGCTGGCTTCATGAGCGCCATGCAGAACGGCACGGCCCAGAGCGACAAGAAGGCCGTCGAGGCCGCCGAGCGGGCCGGCCGTGGCGGTGTCAAGGAGGAGTAAAAATATCGCGCGTGCGCTCGAGGGGCCACGGGCATGTTGGCATGTGGCTGTGTACTGGCGGAGGGGCAAGGAGTCGGGTTTTGTGTATGATAGCACATGTGTCAACGACGTTTCGATGCGCCTCCGGCCGTCAGCTCTGGAGCATAAGTGGTTTACTTTGGGAAGCAACGTGAGGTGACTGTTGGGATGCGTCGTCCATCGTGTCGTGCCAAGTCACTTGCCGGACGTATCCATGGCTTTGCGCGCCGTTCCGTCGTACACATTGCAGTAGCGTCGCCAGACATGGATGCCGACTCTGCGGCGTTTTGGACCGAAACAAGGCAAGGTAAGTTGCTTGCAAGCATGGAGCAGAATCTCGTTTCATACTTCATTCGGAGAATGCACCCGTCTCCTTTGTCCCAGCACAACGCAACAGAGCAGGGGGCCAGTCCGGTCAACAATTTTCGACTTCTCCAGCGCCAACGACCAAGCAAATTCCGAAATTCCAGCCAGATCCAGATCCACAGCCCGTGTCTCACGTCGAGAAAGCCCATCATACCGGCCCTACTGTGAGGGGCCGTCACAATGATGGCCCTGCAACCACGCCATCGTTGCGCCTTGTCAGCTGGTTCCCTTCATCTTTGTTTATTGAGACAGCAACAACAAAAAAAAAAAAAAATTCGAGCACTGCTCTTGTGCAGCGCGGCCTCTTGCATTGCGCGAGGAGTCGCCCGCAGGCGGTGATGGGAGGGGCCACGAACGGGAACCGGGAGGGAAGGGGGGAGGGAAGAAGGCATCCACTCACGGGAACGCGGTGCTGCGAGCAATACCGCTCGTTTCCCGACTTGCAGCAGAACCACTTGTGCTGGCAGCCGTCGGCGAGGACGCACACCTGGGGCGGGAGCTAATCATCGGGTGTGGCAGTGTGGCAGAGCGTCAGTGCAAGAGGCTCCATGTGGCTTTTGGTTCGAAGAGCCGCCCGTGTGTTTCTTGGGCGAGTTGTTTCGTTCACTTACCTCTGCTACGATTCTCCGTGGCGGGGCACCGGGGGCGCCGAGGGCGCTGCCCGCGAGGGCGGCGAGGAGGGCGGCGGCGAGGACCTTCATGGCGATGGATGGGCTGGCAGTAGACTAGCTTGTGTGCGTGTGCTTGTTACGATAGATGTCATCAAGAGGGATAATGAGCTCTCAAGTCCAAGCAAGCCGTGCCCCAAGGAAGTCTTATATGTCTCTGTGCATCTCTTCCACGAACAGGGGAACCTAACCGTACCCATCTTCGACCGTTCATCGTATGTGGAGGGTTCATGCCTTTGCCCCGGATACCACATCTCACAGACATGGACGTATTTACCGCAATGCTATTGCCCAGCCGTGCAAGTCCAGACGAAAGTCAAAGTTGCCGGAGTTGAGCGCCGGAGCGAGAAGGTTGAGTGGCACAGGCACCACCAGGCTGGGCTTGATCCACAAGTTGCGGGCGGCAAGCGAGAGTCTAAACCGTCGACCACAAGCGTAAATAGGGCCATCCGCTTCAGGTTTTGCCTGCTATAGAACATCGGATGTAAATTTATGGATGCGAGCTTATTTGTAGATGCACGTCAACCGCCAAAGTCGTCGACCATGATAAATAAGCCCTTGCCCACGTCGTGCTGTAACGTACAGACTGGACGGGCTGACCCACTGTCTCCTGCACTGGCACGGTTCCAATGCTGTCTTGCGGCCAGCAACTCGTACGTTCCAGGATACCACATGGCGTTGCAGCAGGGAGCGCAACGCTCTGGATCAGGCTTCTAGGGTTCCTCGATGGGCTACCTTGTCCAGTTGTCATGAGCTTGGTGAAGCGCGTAGAGTCACACTATCAACGTAACGAGCTGCAGCAACGTCGTCTAATTGCTACAGTAACCCATGTGTAAAGGGCCTTCACAAAGTACACATCGAAAACAGCTAGGGGGTTGATATCCCGCCCCCGGAGATGAATGGCAATGCCCTGTGGTCGTGGCACGGAGGCCGGCTCCACGCCCCGTCCGCGCCTCCTTTCCGCCGCGTCTATCCGTCCTACAGCTCCTTCACTTCAGTACCCACCGTTATCTATTCCGTTGTTGGGTTCGGGATACGAGCCGTCGGGAGGCCACTGTCCTGATTCTGCGTTCGTGCCGGGTGGTGGTGACTCGGTGCCCGGAAAGCTTCCGGGCTCCTCATACAGGTCGTTGCTGTTAGTCGGGTCTCCGGGCTGCTGCGATGAAGGGTCCGTGGCAGGGGGCGGTGAGCCTGTTCCGGGCGGTGGGCTGCCAGGCACGCCCGCAGGTGGTGTGTTTCCAGGCTGGGCGTTGCCGGGTTTGTTTCCGCTCTCCTTCTCTAGGGCTCCTTCCTGTTTCCACTGGCATTGATTTCCCTGACCCGGCGGGTACGGGTTGCTCGAGGTCATCTCCACGCACTCTGGGGGCCCGGGGTCGGGATAGAGGACGTCGGTGCCTTCATTGGTGCAAAGCCCCTCGGCCGAGGAATTGGACCTGTCGTTGATGTTGGCTATGAAGATCGAGGGCCTCCCCTCGAAGGGCACGCACGCGCACTTTTCGGCATCGTACTTGGATTGCTTCGGCGGACCGGTGGCCGGAGGTGCGCTGGAGGGTGCGGAGCCGGGCGCTGCGGGAGTCGAGGCCGAGGGAGGTGCGTTGTAGGAAGCGCGCTTGGCGAGATGCTTGCGCCTGTGGCCGTGGCGTTTCCTGTTTGCATGGCAGTGGCCGGGGCTGGCTGGCGGCCCGGAAGCAGGCGTCGAGGCCGTGGCAAGAGGCGCCGAGGGCGCGGCAGCTGCTGATGTTGAGACGGCGGGTGCCGCAGATGATGAGCCGACAGGATCGTTCTGGACAGGCGGACGCGAGGAACCGGCACACTTCTGGCCGCAATCCCCTCCCTTGATGTTGAGGTACGCGCAGCGCTGGTACATCTCGCGGTTCCCTATCCTGTTGTGCCAGCTCCACATGAACAGCCACTCGCCCTCCGGCGTGTCGCAGGGGATCGCGACGGTAAAGTTCCTGTCCGCCAGGTTCGCGGCACAGTTCCCGATATAGGACGCGATGACGGTGGCGGTCTTGCCCCGGTCCTTTGAGAGGGCGAACTGGCAGCTGCCGCCGCCGTGGGTGACGTGGTTGTCGAGGCCGATGGGGTAGCTCGCGCCCCGTTGCCAGGTCTCCTCGGGAGGAGTAACGTCGATGCTCGCGAAGTTCGGCACCTTGCAAGGGTAATCCGATCCCTTAGGATCAAGAGGGGCGTTGATTTCGTCGTCTTTCTTGAACTCCTTTCCCGTATGTACATTGTCGCTACGGCCGATGCAAGCAGGACTGGCCATGTTCATGTGCGCGCTGGCCATGCCGGCGACGCCGGCGACGACGGCAAAGGAGGCCTTCATGATGTAATGAGCGTAAAGAATGATCTCCAAAAGGCTGTAGGCATGCCAGATGCTGTGGTTGTGGTCAAACGACAGGAGACATGTCGCGGGTCCTCCTGATCTTATAGTCTTGTTCCTGTTTTGGTCTGATCTGCCGGGAGTCTAGAGAAACAAAGATCAGGCGAGGATCCGGGCATCCCCCACGCCCAGCACATCTGCATGCGCGAAGATTACTGCTGTTTCGAATCATTCTATACGGCATGAGTGCGTACTGGGCATTACCACGGTGGGCGCCTGCTTGACGCCGGGTGGCCAACGTATGGTGTCATTGCCGCACGTTTGAAACAGATGAGACTTACCGTGGTTTCCCGCGATCAGGCCGCTTCTCGAGGCTTGAGCGGTAGCCGCGATAACCCTGCCGGCCCTGGCGCGCGCGAAGAGCCTCGCGCCTGTGGGCGCCTGTGGGCTTCGTCTGATTCACGGATGACATGATCAGTAGCGCAAGGCTTGCATCAACACAAGACACAAGACGAGGCCCGCTTGGATGCCTATAGTGTCAATATATCGATCCCCCGTGGGAGAGCTGAACGGTTTTACCCGAAGCACGGCGATGGAGCAGGGCGGCGCAGATTAGATGAGAAAGTCTTCATCAGTTCGAGACGAGTCAATGCATCTTGATCATTAGAATGCTGGACCTGAAACCGTCGAGGCCAACAGTCATGCAAGCGCCCAGGTTTCGCAGAGCGTAGCATCGACGAGCAAAGATCGTAGTAGCGTGTGCATCAGTACCGGACAAGCCTGCACGTAGGATTGCGTCGGCGCGTAAAGGTTCCCAAGTAGCCGGCCCATCAATCGGCGCATCCCGCGGGACAGCCAGCCTTGGACCCATCCCATTCATACATGGGCCTGGCGGCTGCTGAAGCGTTCGTGCAGCTTCCAAAGCCACTGTCCACGGCCACCGTTGCATCCCGGATTCCCGGTGGCTCGGCCGAACCCACACATCGCCAGCCTGCCTGTCCCGGGTCCTGAGCGCATGCAGATGAGGCCCCGCAACGAGCCGTGGCACACACGCTGCCGGGCGTGGTGGTCCAAGACTCCAAAACTTGGTTGGAGCGTCTCGGATACATCAATTGGTCAATGCCCTCGCCCTGCTGTTGATTACGCTTCGGAATCCTACCGAAAGGACAGGGATTCCGGCTCCAGCACGCGGGAAGACAAGTGACCGCGTCAGCAGGCAATATTCAATGTTATATACTGCAGTACCGAGTATGCCCCATTACATGGGACAATCTGCTTTGCTGGGGCCCTCACATCAGCTTGAATCAACCCGCATTTGGCCGAGGATTGGCTGTGTTGGAGGCGGGTGAGCTCTGTCTGAAGAGATGAGCGCTAGGTCAGCGTAGCAGATTGATTCAGCGGCATGTATTGTGTAGTCCGCAAAGGAGCCTCGTCTGATAAGAGTGCGTAAATGCAAAGGCAGATGGGTCGCGGGCAGGCGCATGATAAACGACGCGCGTGTAAGTGGTGGCAAGCGTGAGGCGGATCGAGGAGTGGGCAGGCAAAGAAGAGCGTTCGCTGACGTGGAGCCTGCTGGACGAAATATGTTTTCCCCCTTACCGCGTCCGCATGGTTTTTCTCCCCATGTATTGCGGCACGTTGCAGTGTCACATCGTCGATGCCATGCCGTGGCAGTCAAAGTCGAAGGCAAGGCTGCGGTTTGAGGACATGGTCAAGTTCATGATGGTGGCGTCCAAGATTTCCCGATGCGGACGAGTCTCTCTCCACTGGCGGTGACTCGTGCCTGCCGTACTTAGCGCAGGGTCCAACGAGTGTGACATCAGCATTTCAGCGGCTTCGAGTCACTGGCAGATGCCTCGCCCTTCCACTCCATCGGCAACTTCACGCAGCCGGCCAGCATCCTTGACATTTCATTCACGACGGTCGCGACTGCTCATCCAGCATCGCATCGCACTTCCACCCCTTGCGCTGGATCCCTGATTGTCCGCATAAAGCCCCCGCACAAAGCTGGGGTCCCTCCTCCGCAGTCCAGCCCGCAGTCGCCTCCTCAGCGGCCCTCACGAGTCACGAATGGAGCGCCCCAAGACGCCGCCGGCGGCCAAGGCACCCGCCCCAGGGTCGCCGCCGACGCCCGAGGTGACGAGACGCATCGTGAGTTCACATCCGCTCCGTCTGGATCCCCGTTCCGCCCCATCTAACGCCCTCCTCAGGAAGAGAGCCGCCTCCGCGCCAAGGCCATCCGCGACCAGCGTGAAGCAGAGCAGCGCGCCTCCGGCGCCGAGTCCGCCGTTCCCAAGTCCGCCTCGGGCTTCGTCCAGACCGACGACGTGCACGTCAGCAAGCCCATGAACGGCAAGCGCCCGCACAGCTCGCTCTCCGGCGGGGATCTCACCACGAACCGCGATGGCCGCGTCAAGGCCGGCGACGAGGGCGAGCTGCGCCCCGCCCGCAAGTTCACCAAGTACGTCGACTACAACATGAGCTCCATGACCGACACAAAGGGAGGTTTTCTCTCCACCGAGGACGACCCGCACAACTTTGCCCTCGGCGGCAAGAAGCCTGGTCAGCCCGACGACGGCGACGGGCGGCCCAAGAACATGACGGTCCAGGAGTGGGAGAAGCTGCAGGTCCTGCGCAACTTGAAACGGCTCAAGGCGGGGCCCTTTGAACCCGGCATCAGCGTCCTTGTCGACGAGGATAAGAGGAAGCGCTGCAGAGAGTGCAGGAGCCTCGAGATTGACTTTGTCTGGGAGGAAGTCTTTCACATCTGCGTCTGCAACAAGTGCAAAGACAAGTATCCCGAAAAGTACTCGCTCCTGACGAAAACGGAGTGCAAGGAGGACTACCTCTTGACAGATCGTACGTTCCTTCCAACACGACCCTTTCCTAGCAATGGATAAGTTGCTAACGTGTAACAACCAGCCGAGCTGCGGGACCCGGAACTGCTCCCTCACCTCAACAAGCCCAACCCGCACAAGTCCCACTGGCACGACATGATGCTGTTCCTGCGCTTCCAAGTCGAAGACTACGCCATCAAGACGAAATGGGGGTCCTCTGAGGCCCTCGATGCAGAGTACGAGCGGCGAGAAACGCAGAAAAAGGCCCGCAAGGAAGCCAAGTTCAAGGAGAAGCTACTCGACCTCAAGCGCAAGACGCGCACAGATGCCTTCCGCCGCCAGGCCGGCACGCTGGGCAAGTCGGGCGCCAGCAAGTTTGGCGACTCCATGGGCAGCGGCCGGCACGTCCACGAGTGGGGACGAACCGTCGAGAACGAAGAGGGCATGACCATCAAGACCTGTGTTGGTTGCGGCATGGAGGTGGAAGAGCTCGAGCTATAGCAGCAAAGCCAGGCTTTTACGAAACGAATATCACCACGGCACCATAGCGTCTCGCACGGCCTCTCGCCCAGCCTCGGCAGCCAACGATACGGCGCATCACGGCAACGCGATTCAAAAACAAAAGTCGCTTGCGTATATTCTGCGCTAAATGGCCTTGCATCATACAGCTTGATGCTGCATATGCACCTCGCGGGTCACTACGATACCGTCTAGCGGCGATGTTCTCCCGCCGTCCAGATCCCGGAGCTCGATCGACGTGAACGAGCCGTTGTTCCCGCGCGCTGCCCTCCTCCCCTCTGCCGCGACTGTAGTCGCGCTGCGCCCGTCGTCAGGAGACATCCGTACGAACGGACGGTCATCCGCTTCCAGGTCACCGCCGCCCCCACTCCCGCTGCTGCCGCCACCTCGGCTCGCAAATGCGCGGGCGTGCGACGACGACACGCCGAAGCGACGGTCACCTTCCCAGTTGCGGAGGGCGCCCGAGTCGTCATCGTCAAACACCTCATCCTTGCCGGAACTTGCGCCGCCGCCGTTGGTGGTGGAGTTTGTCGTGGTCGTTTTGCGGGTGGAGCCCTGGCCGTACTGGCCACCGTATTGCTTCTGACGCGCTTTGGAGTGGTAGGAAGATAGATGCAGGATTCCAAAGCTGAGCTTGCTGAGGACAGGGCGAAGGAAGGGGAGGCAAGCTTCGGCTCGTTAGCAAGCGGGTTGCACGCTGCGCGGAAAGGGCAGCAGGTGTGGGGGATCAAGGGCTCCATACCACAGAAGATGGCAATATTGCCCTCGATGATGGACCAGAGACCAATGTCCACAAAGTTCCAGGTAATGTCTGGATTGGTGAGGTCCCCGCGGAGGAGGTAGCTGAGTCGGACGACGGACACGACGGTGACACTGCGGACAAGATTAGCAAAGCCGCGAGACGAGGAACGTGGTGGTCCCTGCGAGGAGTAGGTTGAAGCATACAAAATGCCGACGAGAAAGATGCCCGCCAGAGCGAGCTTCTGGCCCCGCGGCAGATGCAGGTGCCATATATACGGCGTCGGCAGCGCGAGCATCAATATGTCAGTCACAATCGTCGGTATGGCGTTTCCGTAAAAGAACTTTCTCGAGTCGACGCCGCACGTGTACGCGGATGGCGGGAGGGGGTTGACGGGGTCGAAGCGCTGCCACCAGGCCTGGATGGGCACGCACTGGAAGAGCGTGACGAGGATCTATCACGGCGCTTTCGTCAGTCGCCATTTGTCCCTCATGTGCGTGCCATGCTGCTTCTAGGCACGCGTCGGCAGGATTCGGCATAACTCAACTCACCACGGCAATGCCCCAGCACAGGGTGATGATGGCCAGCGCCCAGATGGGCACCTTGATCGACTGCCGGATCTTGAAGGAGCGCCAGTAGAAGGCGAGGATGGACCACTTGACGCACAGCAGCGTGCAAAAGTAGGCCAGCTCGGCGGTGAAGAGGCCAATCGCCCAGGCGCGCACCGCGTCGGGCGGGTTGACCCAGACGTGCCTCCCGAAGCCCCGGCTCACAGCTGTCACACACGTAAGAAGTCAGCATATTCCCCCTCTCTGTCTGTCTTGCCTCTCACTCGCCGTGAGCATGGTTGCATGTGTGTCGGGCTTACCGTATCCAGCAATGCCAGCGACGTGTGCGCACGCGCAAGGCTGTCCAATCGTCCTTGATCAGCAACTCGTCTCCCCAACTGGAGTTCAAGGGGAGGTTAGATGGATAGAAAAACGCACCAGAGATGCAATGATGAGCCAGTCGTCTATCCACAGCGGCACGCGCTTGATGCGCCGGCTCACGATGCGCAGCGCCACGGCGAGCATCGCCAGCGCCAGGGTCACGGCCGAGGTGGCGATGATGTCCGGCCGCCGGTCCTGCGTGAGGTCGATGCCTGGCGGCGGCGGCGGGAGGGCGGCCGACATGATTGCGGCTTACTGGCGCCTCGCGGGCCTCTAGATGTTGTTCGGCGTGTACCCAGACCGGGTTGACGGTGTCGTTGAATTCGTGTAGTTCGTGTCCGTCCCAAACTGGTTCGCAGCTCGTATCACCTAGTGAGGGCGACGAGGTTTACGGGAGCCACGGTTCAGCGTCGTCGAGTATTTGCCGGGATTGTTTCAAAGGCAGCCTGCCTCCATCGCCTGCCTCTCTCTCTTCCTGCCAGTTCCCTCGCAGGATACCGATGGCGGGGGTGTGCTCCAGTTTAGTACTAACAGAGGCGAACAACTCCTCCGCCTCGTCCACATGCCAGCCCGCGCTGCCGCTGTCGGACGAACGCACAAACGCACACCACTGCCAGTCGATCAAATGAGGCGCCTGCTAGTCAGTACTTGGTCGGTATAAGGCTGATTGATGGGGCCCCGAGGCTCGCGCGCGCTCCCAAGTCGTCGGGTCGGCCGAACTGCCGCTGGGGAGGGGAGGGACCTGGTCCCCTTATCCGTGGGCGTGGCTCGCGCTCGGCGACCAGGGAGGGGGGCGATTGGGCGATGACGGCGATGGCGAACGGAGCGGAAGACTGCCGGGACGGGGCAGGTGGTGGTCGATCAGGAGGGAAGGGGATGGTGTGAAGGTGAAAGAGCTTCAATACAATGTAGAGCACGCGGTTGAGCTTCCCGTGCCGTCCCTCGTATCAGGGCGTGAGAGCAAGCAATGTCCGTTTTGGCTCCGAACCGTCCGGCTCACCCTTCAAGCTGCCCGATGCAGAAGCTCCTCGCGCGCGTCGTAATTCGCAATTCCCAACGCCCAGGCCAGCCACGAGCGTTCCCGCGCAGCTACTACGCACCCGTCACTACAAGCAGTTACATGGCGACATCCGTGGAGCTCCCCCACATCAAGCGTCTCAGCCGCGGCGACTACGAGGTTTGATGGGCCTTTCTGAGGGGAACCGGCTCTTGCGGCTTCGAGATGGACCACCCGGGAAACATCAAAGCGGGCCCCGTCATAAGCACATCAACGAGCAGCATGAATTGTAGACCGAACGCACGGGGCAGGCAGGTAATTACAGGGGGCCAGAAAGGACGACCACCGGAGGAATGCAGCCAGGCCATCGGTCCCCCGGATGCGTGGTTGTCGAGCGTGTCTCAGTCCGCCCAGCTTGACGGTGTCAAGCAAAACATGGATGAGGCCGTGGCTTGCGCTTTGTGGGGACGCGGACAAGCACCGGAGCCGCCTCAGCCAAACCCAGAGCGGGCTGGTAGCTGATCTCAGATGCTTCCCAGGCTGTTTAGAAACCCCATCGGCAGACCGGTGGCGGCCACACGGAAGTGAGCGCTGTGCCGTAAGAGCACTTGGTGTGCTCCTCTTTGCGCCTTGCGCACCGGGAAAGGCTGTTCGTGTCGGGTGAGGCGGCCGACAGCCGCAAGGTAACATTGAACACCTTGGCCACAGCTGCTCGTTGGGGAAGCTGGCGGGCGGGAGAGCAAAGTTCCGGCGTTTCGTTGTCAAGAATAGAACCCCGTCTTCCCGCTTGCCTTGTTTGCACGTGGCGCGGGCTTCATGTTCGGTCTGGTAGAAAATGAACCCTGGACAAACGTTGATGATGTTTTGACTTGCCTGACTCAGTTCCCACAGACACCTCCCTCTCTAGGGAATTGTTCTGCCTCCGATGATGACGACAAAGTGTCGTTTGTTATGGTCCAGCCGTCCGCGACCCCTGCTAGTTCTTGTGAAGATCTCGCTCTCGCGCACATGTCCAAGAGGCCATTGCGCGGGTATTCTTGGGACAACTGGAAACCACATCGTGTCTTTCGATCACCCGGTCAAGCCGGTGACCACACCAGTTGTGTAGACAGGCCCCTCCGGTGATGTCGATGGATCTCAGTAATACCCTAGAAACGGTGACGGTGACGATCTCGCTTTTTAGCCAGGATAGTTTTGCAGATCAGGTCACCGGCTAAGGGTCCCGGACTGGAAGAGCACCGGCACGTCGGGACGCAGCAGACCAACTGGGCGATTGTTGTGGACTCTGCGGGCCCGTTTGGTGGCGACAATTCTGCCTGAAAGAGACGCTGGAGTGCCGCCCCGATAACACATCGGCCGAGCGCAGATATTCCCCGGCGATCGCCAGTCCCCTGTGTTCCTGGGGCGGGGAGCAAAAGGCCATCGTCGCTCTAGCACCCGGATAGTCGGGTCAGTCAGTCGGTCGTGCATGTCGCCATCTCCGACGTCGCCCGTGGCGTAGATGCGTCTACGAGTACGTACGCCACAGCTGACGAGCGAGACCCGCGGCGCAAGCGCTTCCACTGACGTCCCTGGTTGACGGACCTGTTCACTGGCGACATGGCGGCGTTACAGTGCCAGTCCCTGACGCGGCCAGCGGCCTAAGATGGACAGGTGCTGTCGGGAGTCTTGTCTTTGCCAGGACGGGACGGGTCGCGGCTTGGCTGGTTGCATCGTCAAACGGCCTCGGCCGTCCGCCTTGTCACTCACGCTTTGACCCGTCTTGCCGGTGTCAATGTCAAAGGGTCAGTGTCAAGCGTCGCCCATCCGCACGCCTTAGCCCGTGGGTGCGGAAAACGACCGCTGTTGCCAATGGTCGACCGCCCACAGTCGATGCGTAGCACCGGCACCCGCTGATCTGCACTCGCGCAGACGTCAGGGACCCATTTCACATGAATGGACGATGGGCGAGTTCCACCGTGCGGGCGCAATCACGCAAGCTGCTCGAGATTCCCGAATTCGCCGATGTGTGTGGGGAGATTGGACGTGGAGATGTCGTGCCAAGTATCCGTAGCGGGACGGGATGGAGGGTTGGACGGTCAAAGGGTCGACAACGACCGATAATCAACAGGTCCCGTGCGAGACACGGCGCACGGAAGTAGACACTCTGGTGGGCGGCTGGTTGTAGATTTTATGAAGTGGAGAGACGGGCGGGAGCCCATGGTCTCTCCTTCAGGTCGCTCCTTCCTTCCTCGCTCGCTCGCAGTTGTCGATGCAGGCACGAAACCAGAGTGCCGCCGCGTACCGAAGGTAGCTCGTGTCGGGATTGTCAGGGGTAGACACAGACATGACAGGCGGATCGAAGAGGCTCGAGCAGGCAGGGCCGAGAAACGCAGGTACCGATCTCCATGCCGACTGTGCAGATGGAGCGGAGGGAAAGGTCCTGCGGCTGGATGACCCTTGCAGGCAATCCTGCCCACTCCTGCAAGGCACGCAGTGTGGGCAGGAGTTTTAACGGTGAGAAGCGGCCTGTGAGCGCAAGCAGCGAGGAGACGAACGAGGACGAGTACCAAGTGCCTTTGGCGATGCTCCAAGCCACGTGTCGGGGCACAGGTTAACGCTGTGGAAGAAAATTTACGGCTGCATCAAGCGAACGCTAATGAGAGCAATCTTCACAGCACGACGAGCCACGTAGCTCGAGCAAAGCAACCCTCTTCTTCACGCCTGAGCAAGCCCAGACCGCAATGAAAAGAGAAAAAAGGTACGCCTGTCAGACGTCCACCGACACCCACCCCGCCCGCGCGCCCGAAGGCAGACCGCAGACGGGGACGAGATCATCAAGAAGAAGCGGGCCGACAACAAAAGGTCGGGACCCCATCTCTCTATACAGCGGCCGCACAAGGCAGACCGCCGCCATCCTTGCGGACAGAGCGAGAGGACCAGAAAGAGTATTCACTCTAGGGCGTCGGGGATATGCACTCATCAACCAGGGTGGATTCTGTGGCTCTTGTAGGGAACCAAGAGAAGGTCGAATACTATAGAAATGATTCTCCTGCAGGCGGTTGTTAGCAACTGGACGCTCGGGTGATGCAGCGCAGGCGCTGTAGTAGTAGGGGGGGCACATACTGAAGTATTGTCGACATGAAGAAAAAAGAAGAAAAGGAAACCGAAAGAGCGGCGGACGAGCTCGAGTTTTATACTACCTGTTGTGGGGCGGCGCCTGCCCTCACCGCCTAAAAGTTTTTGGGTGGCAGAAAATCTCTGCCGCGCGCGCCAGGGATCACTGACGGGATGGAGGACCCTGGACGGGCCTGCCGTGGCTTGCCCAGCAGAGAGCCAATCCGCCTGCAGCGCTCCACTGTGAGCACCGCGGCACAGGGGCCTCTCAGTGGAGCCGCTTGGCCATAGCTCTCAGAGTTGAGGCTCGAGGAACAGGATGAATGGACGGTTCACCGTGAGAAGCAAACTCGGCACGAGCAATTGTGGATGCAGCTTCATTTCCTGTCCGCCGCTTTGCAGGCATCAGGGTCGAGCGGTGAGAAATCTCTTCACCGACGAGTTTTCAGCCGTGATGGGCGCGCCCCAGCGACGCAATGCGTGATGGGGAACGTGGATGCTCTGGGCGCCTTGGAAGAGCAACGACCCGCCTGCTTCTCGCGACGTGAAGCGTTGCCCACGTCAAATTGGCCTCGACCATATCATAGGTTTTCTTCGGTCTGAATGCTGACGAGTCTGCGTGAAGGATGGCGCTATTGCTCGTGTCATCGTGGTACAGATAGCATGCGCTTTGGCGGCCAAGCTCAACGCCGACACACCCCTCCAAGCCATCACCACCACATACGTGTACCTACACAGCCCATCACGAGCTTCCTTGCCGACCTGATCTCACTCCAGGTACAGCTTCTCCTTCTCTATCCACGCTCGCACCTCCCCATCCACCATCCTCTCCAGCTCCTGGTCGTTGCGCTCCTTGACCGCCTCCCTCGCCCTCGAGCTGCTCACGCCCTCCATCCCGTCTCCCCTGTCCATCGAGACCACGTCCACCCTCCGCGCCCACTCGCCCCTCCCACCCACGGCATCCAACCTCCCATTCTCCAGCCCGCGCACGTACTCGCGCTGCTCCTCCAGCCCTCCCCACTCGTCGTCCGGCCGCGTCGAAACTCGCAGCCGGGCCGTGGCGAAGAAGGGGTCCAGCGCTGCCTGCATCGCCGTCTCTTCCTTGGCGTGCCTGTCCGACGCCGCTGCCCCAGCAGCCTCGCCACCCCCGTAGTACTTGGGGTTGAATATCCGTATCAGCGTGTCATAGCCCGCCAGGAAGACTTGCTCAGGAGCGTCGTGCGCCCCTCCGTAGAACCCACTGGCGTGGATGGCCCGCGCCTTGTCGTGAAAATACGGCATCGTCGTCACCGCCAGGTCCACTTTGAGTCCGGCTCCGTCCTCGCTGGCATGCGCCCCTCGGGCGCCCAGCACCGTTGATGCCTCTCGCCCGGCCTCGTCGCCCAGCAGCTCCCGCGCAAACCCCTCCATCATACACAGCCGCACCGGAAACGACGCCGGCTTGGGCGCCTTGTCCGCGTTGTTCACTGCCAGCAGGAGCATCACCCGCGTCGCGCCACTCGCCCGCGGGTCCTTGCTCTTGGCGTCCCGCACTGCTGACCGCACCATTTGCGCGTGAGCCCTCGTGGGCGGGTTGAAGCTCGAGTCCAGCACGATCAGCCTGCGAACCGGGCCGCTCGGCCGCCGCGGCGCTGGCTCTGCATCGACAGCGCTGGAACTGCTCGCGGCCCCGGTGCTCGTGGCGGACGCGGAGCTGTGTGGCAGGGTGCACAGCACTCGCAGCGGATCCCGCGACGATTGGAACGCCGTGAGCGACCGTGCGAAAAAGTCGACGAGCTGCCCTGGGTTTGGCCTCATGCTGGGCGGTGGCGGCGCTTGGCTCATTGTCTTTGATGACTTGATAGACGAGGGTGGTGAGGATGACGTTGCAATGTCGAGACTCCAAGGTCCAGACTTCCGAACATGGATGCCGGGCGTGGGGCTTGACACAGACTGCCATCGCCGCCAGGAGGATGACGAGGTTCGTCTATAATCCACGCCCGCGCCGCACTCGTACTCCACGATTCAAGCGCAAAGATAACAATTCCAGTGCCGACTAGTCTAGGTACTCATGGCCATCACGACATCATTGTACAAGGCAGCAAGCCAGTCTCGGCGCTACATGAGCCATCTACGCCTCCCCATTATGCCCGTCCATGACTCCTCGAGAGAACCAGTCGGCAATCGTCGCAAACCTATCCTCGCTATCCTCCAAAATTCCTTTGAACAGGTCGTGCTTCTCTGCGCTTTCCTTCTGTTGCTCCCGCATCTTGCGGATGACCTCGTTTCCGCCCGCGCACTGGGGGCATTCAACGTCGTCGCCTTCGCTCGCCCCTCCGCGGAGACACCTCTGGTGAAAGCTATGCTTGCACAGGAAATGCACCGCCGGGAGGTCGAGTCCTTGCCCACAGTCCGCGCACCGCGTGGCTTGGAAAACGGCCGGCTTGGTGCCCAGGTCCGCCAGCTCGGTCCGCCGCTTCTCCGTGTCAGTCCGCAGGGTATCAATGCGGTGTTTGTTTTGCGTAATCTCCCTCCGCTCCCTCGAGATTGTCTCATTCAGGTATGGCTTGACCATGCCCATAGTTGCCACGCCTCCTCCAGATGATTGCCCCACGAGGGTTTGGATGACCTGTAGCGGCGCCATGAGCCCGTCCTTGTCAATCTTGGATAGGATGGCCTCCAGCTCGTCCGACCCAGCCTCTTCCAGCACCCGAGAATCGGACGTGAGATACGCCAGAGCCGCCGGGTACAATTGCGGTTCCTCGGGCCCGTACTTCTTCAGTGCCTTCAACGCACCCCTCGTATCCTTGGCTGATGTGTATGACCGGAAGATGTCGAACAACAGGCCAGCCTGCTCCTTGACCAAGACTGTGCCGTCGCGAAAGTCAGACAAGTGCGATAGTAGCAGAACGTTCGAGCTCTCCATAGGCACATGCTCTCCTTCGATCAGCTTCTTCGCCTTGGCCTCCCATTCCTCTCTGTGCTGCTGTCCCTTCTTCGCGGTTGACTTGTACAAGTACATCTCGAACAGTGTGGTGTAGAGCTCTGTCCTGTCGGACGTTGTGAGATCTTGTTCCTCCAGACATGCCTCTAGAAAGACGATGAACTCATCAGGGTGATCGATGAAGGATGAAAATGCCGTCCGCGGCGGGGGTGGTTTGTACTTTGGCGGCGGATAGTCGTCCTCATTCAGCGACTCCATCGCGTCGGGAATCGCATTTCTCCCTGTTCCTGGCGTTCCAGGGCTCGCTATAGAAGATGTGTTCATGTAGGGCAGAGGGAGGAGGTTGGATAGGTTTTGCACGGCGCTCGCTGCGCCGGCAGCAAAGCCGCCAGTCGAGATTGGCGTCTCGCCGTCCTGCGGGATAACGGGCACTGTTCGTTTCGGTCTATACTTGCCCGTATAGTAGTCCACAAACACCCTGGTCGCGTCCTTGGGACAGTGCTCGATGAGCACGCGGGCGTATTTCTGGAGGCAAGGATAGGCCTGCGGGAGTCAGCAATGGTACCTGGCAATCACAGCTCAAGCACTCACAACTTCGGGGTCCTGTCGCCAGATGTAGTCGAGTGCCTCATCGTAGCTCTTGGAATCTTCGATTAGAATGTCAACCACCAGCTCCGTCTCACCATGTCGCTTGGCAAGGTATGCTGCCTGCTCGTAGTAGCCTCCTTGACGGCACATGGCGATGGCCGTGTCCAGGTCAAACTTGAGGTCGCCTGGTGACTTGATGAACTTTTCCAATTTGTCAATGTCCTTGAGTTTGGCATAGCAGTTGAGGAGCAGTGTTGTGTGATCGGCCGTTGCCTTCCTATGCTCGTGAAGCTGCTCCAGATACTGAATGAGGTTGTGTATCCGTTGCGTATCGAGAAACTATTTTGTCAGCAGAGCCGGCATATGGCGCCGGGCGTAACGTACTTTGCGAATAACTTGCGACGGCTCCGTAGTGTCGATGGCACGGATGTACTGGACCATGGCCCCGTCGTAATCGGCTTTCTGGTATAGGTGATCGCCGAACTTCCGGTAGATGAGGCTCTGCTGCTGATTGTCCAAGCCCGAGTTCTGGGCCAGCTCGATCGCAAGCGGGAACATGTTTCTCTGGTACAGCATCTCCAACCTCTGCTGCAAAGCCTTTTCGTGATAGCGGTGGACCTGACTTATCAGCTCACGCACTCATGGAACTGGCTTGGCCAACTTACCTTGCCCTCTACACTGACGGTAAACAGGTCGCCCCAAACTTCGAAAATGAAGCGGACAGGCGATATCAGGGTTTCTGTGTGTGAAATGACACGCAGGTCTGGCTCCAGGATGACAAAGGACGACGCGTTGAAGAGTGCTTCCGTGGCTCCACCACCAAAGCGCCGCCTCATGGCTTCCGGATCCCTCCCATTGGCGCCCGACGACGGACACGCCAGCGCAATGTAGTTCTGGTAGATGGATATCATGCTCTTGGGCGACTCATAGGCCTTGGGTGGGCCGCGTCCGTCCAGCGAGTATGTGTATATTGCGTCCTCCCGGGCCACAACGACGTCGCCGGTATTTGGGTCGAGGGTCATGCATCCGACAGCGCATCCTGAATCTTCGACAGTCTTTGGCGGGAGCCCTTGACCCCTGCGCGAAAGGCCCAGCTTAATGATTCTTGACGTGGTGGAGACGAAGAGCGTGGTGAGTTTCTCGTCTGTCGCGAGCTGCACACCCGTCACGGGCTCTTCGGACTCGAACACTATGCGCTGCTTTGTTCCGAGATCGTGGATGAGGTCGCCGCGCAGCACGGTGACGGCGCCGTTCCCGAAGCCGACGGCGATCTGCGAAAGGTCGTGGGATGCGGCAAAGGCTGATATCTACTGTCTCGTCAGCGCACGTACAGAGGCGTCCAAGGTATCGCTGCCACCTACCGGAAACTGTCGGCGTCCGTTGTTGATGGTGAGGGTGCTGAGGCAGGTGGGCATGTTGGTCTTCTTGACGAGCTTGTCCAGAGCCCACGCCTTCAGCACAGGTTCGCTGCTGAGGTCCTCCTTTTCAAAGTCAGTATAGTCGAATGCACCGCAGCCTTCGAGTGCGCGAGCTTACCGCGACCGTCACCAGGACACTGGTGCCCTCGACCTGGCGCATGTGGGTGACCCTTCCCGACTCGTGCGCCTGAAAGCGGCGCACCACCTTCCAGCTCTTGCCGATGATGCTGACAGAGCCATCGTTGGATCCCACGAACAGGCTGTCGGAGCCCGCGCAGACGCTAGATATCTCGTTGCTGTCGAAGAGCTGCCGGGCGTCGTCATCGGCGAAGGAGACGGGAGCGACGTCGAAGAAGTCGAACGACTTCCACTGTCGCTGGGTAAGTCAAATGGGCGGAAGGGCGTAGGCGAGGACAACGTACCGAGATGGCCATCTTGCCGCATCGAAGCGGCGTTGCTCGCTTGGTGATGAAGGTCAGCTGCTCGGGTGGTGCTCGGCGGAGCTGTCGCAGCTGTGATGACGATGGTGGGGATGCTTTGGAGCTCGGTGCCTGCCGAGTGAGTACGCAGGCGTTCACGGGCGGGAGCCTCGCGCGTCGGGGGCGGGTCTAGCCCAGTCAGCACCGACTCGAACGGGAGTCGTTATACGCCCGAACGGCGCATGCAAGTCAATTGAAATGCTGTAGGGGTTATGCAGTGCTCTGGGCAATTGGGCTTTTCACGTTTCTGATGTTCGAAGGCCCGGGGGCAAGGATCGCGCGTGATCAATGGGGTCCACGGCTACAGTGAATGAGGCCCTGGGTGAGCGAGGCCCAGGATGCGTCCAGTGCAGCTCAAGGTAGCCGCGCCAGGGACAGCTTCAGCGCGTCTCGCTCCACGACGGCCTTCCAGGTGGTTGTAATACATGGCACTCCGTACAGCCACATCGCTGTTCCAGGCGCCATCTTTGTTCTGTTGCAGTTGTGCCTCTTCCAGCGCGGAAACTTGCCGTGCCATCCGGCTGTCCTTAGCTATTGAATGTCCACCTCTTCGAGCCGCCCGTGGCCTTGCACCAGTTGGCCTGACGTGTGGTAACGGGAGATGGGTGAAGCCGCCCCAGGCGCTGTGAGGCCCCTGCTAGGCCCCTCTCCCGGTGATAGCTCCAGGGGCTCGGGAGGGTTGATGCCTGATGGCCTCACGAAACGTCGCGCGCGTTGATTGGCCACGCGTGCTCTAGCAGCCCCATCACAGCACGGCACAGCACAGCACAATCAGTGAGTGGACACCAGCCCAGCAGAGCCAGGCACGGGGACACAACCTGCTGTTGGAGCTCCATCCATCCATCTGTTGAGGCCGTCCGTCCATCACCACCTTCGAGTCGGACAGACGCCATCCGCGATCCCGCGATCCTACCACCCGCGGACCTCGGGCATCACGCGCGCAGCCAGCTTGTCCGCACCCGCCCCGTCGACACGCTCGAGACACTTGCCGCGGCCTCTGTCGCTCGCCTGGAGAGCTGCTCGGCTCCAAGCACCTCTGGCCCTTCGCCTCCCAGTCCCCGACGGCTGGCCTCTCCATGAGCTCGGCCCCGTGACCGAGGAGGCGCGCCACGATGGGCCCCAATGTTGGAAACGGCATGATCGGGATGGAGATGGGCATGGGAATGCACCCCAACGGTGCCAACCAGCCCCAGGCCACCGAGTACACGCTCCAGGGCGTCATGCGGTTTCTACAGACCGAATGGCACCGTCACGAGCGCGATCGCAATGCCTGGGAGATTGAGAAGCAGGAAATGAAGGGCCGCATCGCCAGCCTCGAAGGCCAGGCTCGCCGCGCCGATGCCACGCAAAAGGCGCTCAAGAAATACGTGTCCATCCTCGAGCGCAAGGTCAAGGAGCAGGCCGCGCAGATCAAGGGCACGCCCGTCAAGAACGACGATGCGACGAGCGAACGCGCCGCTAAGATCCAGGAGAAGCTTAGATGTACCGCAACCCACGTTCTCACTCACGCAATGGTGCTGACGCTTCCCTAGCATCCTTGGACAAGCATTCGGTGCCTGGAGCCGACGAGGACGTCCAGGTCCCCAGATCCGACGACGACACGCAACGAAACGACCTCAAGACTTATCTCGACCAATGTCAGGCGGAGTTCATGTACCTCATGGTCACTCCCGCGAACCCCCAGCCGCCCCGCGAGTCGCCGCCGCTGCCGATGATCGAGGACCTCCGAGAAGCCGAAGGGTTTGGCATGCCCGGCCCGCAACCGATGGAGCGGCAATTTCAGCTCCAGCGGCCGGCTCCAAGCCACGGTCAAGACATGAACGCGATGAACGCGCGCGCGCACCAGGTCCCCAACGCCCTATCGCAGATGCAGCAACAGTCTCAGGGTTATGCCAAGCCCGACATGCAGCCTCAGCCGATGATGCGAGCCGCCAACGAACAACAGGCCGCCATGTTCTCTAGCTCTAATGACTGGCAAGGCCCGGTTTCTGTGACGACGCGCTCCATTGACGAGAACATGCCGGGACCAAATCACGCTGCTGAAGCGCTCGGCGGCGTTGACGATTCTGCCGAGCTGAGAGAAAAGCCTCCTGCTGCCCCTGAGCCCGATGGTTGGGAATTCCCCGAAGGTGCATTCCCCGAGCCGGGCACAGCCCAGCAGCAATCGTCTGCGCCTTCGGCGACAAACCGACCCGACACGGACGCGTTCCCGAACGCCGAATACCTGCCCAAATCGCCGAACCGAGTCCCCAGCGGTCATCGAAGAAAGAGCTCAATGTCTAGGAGACGGAGCGGCGAGCATGAGCTGGCCCTAAACGCCGGTCAAAAGGCCGACGGCAGCACCTTCAAGCTGCGGTTCGGACTGCGCGGCCATCTCGATACCGTGCGGACGGTGATCTTCTCGGGCGGCGGCAGCCCGGGAGAGCCTGAGATTTGCACGGCCGGCGACGACGGCATGATCAAGCGCTTCCACATCCCGCGCCTCGACAGCCACGCCGGGTCACTCAATGCCGCATCGGACCTCGACGTCATTGCCAATTTCACACACCGCGGGCATACCGGCTCCGTCTTGTCGTTGACGTCGTGGTCACCGTCTCCCAACTTTTCTACCGGCGGCCGCGCGCAAGGCGATGGATGGATATTCTCCGGAGGCCAGGACGCGACGATCCGAGTCTGGGAACGCGGGCGTGTGGACCCCAAGGCGACGCTAGAGGGCCACACCGACGCTGTTTGGGCGCTCTGTGTCCTGCCTACAACCTTGGGCAACGTCTTTGGCAACTCCAGCCACTACGGCAGCGCGGACCGGATACTCCTCGTTTCCGGGGCGGCAGACGGGACGGTGCGGCTCTGGTCCGTCAGCGCCCCTCCGCAGCTCAGCTCTCCGCAGCCTGGGTCGAACCGGAGCATGTCTGGGCGCGGCGGGCGCGTCCGCGGCAACTCGATGAGTTCCGGCAGCGGCTTCTCCAATTCTCCCCAGCCGACGGTGTCGTCCAACTCGCCCTTCCACCACACGCTGGTGCATGTCATCTCGAGGTCGGATGGCTCTCAGGCTAGCCCCACGTGCATCACACCACTCGGCAGCTCTGGCGAGACGTTTGTGGTCGCATACGCCGATGCCGCCGTCGTCGTCTACGACACGAGGAGCGGTGAGCAGGTGGGCCAGATGGACAGCATGGAGACGTCGGACGGGTCGATGAAGACGGGCGTCAACGCGGTCGTTGCGACGACGATCGGGCTGGATCAAGGAAGCCCACACCATCCCAACACCATTGGCGGTGAGGACGAGGCCGGGGCCGGGGGGCCGACGGGCGGACGGTCGATGGCGGGGTCGGGCGTGGAGGGGACAATCATCTCTGGGCACGAAGACCGTTTTATCCGGTTCTTCGACGCCAACAGCGGTACGTGGAACGAGCGCGAGGCTTTCCTTATCTGAGCACCACTAACGCAGGCCATCAGGGCAATGCACGTACAACATGCTGGCGCATCCCGACGCCATCTCGAGCTTGTCGCTGAGCCCCGACGGGCGAGAGCTGGTGAGCGCCGGACACGACGCGTCGCTGCGGTTCTGGAGCCTGGAGAAGCGGTCATGCACGCAGGAGATGACGAGCCACCGGGTGATGCGGGGCGAAGGAGTGTGCTCTTGCGTCTGGAGCCAGGACGGCAAGTGGGTGGTGAGCGGCGGAGGCGACGGCGTGGTGAAGGTGTTTGCGCGATAGCAGCCGCGAGGCGAGAGGGGGCGCTGCGTGACGACATTACGGACCGTGCAAGAGCACCGTGTTATATTATGTATACGGACGGATTATCATGCTACTACGTCGATACCCGGCAAAGCATCCTGCCCGGCGCGCAATGACTGGCTGCGAGTTTGAGCCGCATGGAAAATGGTTAGCGGGCTGACGATCTGCCGCTGTCTGAGTCAATTTGCGAACTTGAACCGCGCGAACCGAATGCATAACGAGTCTGTGCATTGACAACGCCCCATCGTCAACGTGAAACAAGCCTTGGCCGGCGACCTTGGTCAGCAAGCAAGCAAACAAGCAAGCAAGCATGATTTATCTCGGCGGAGGCGGTTCCGAGCACGACGAGTCGCGCGTGTGGGACGCTGCGTTCCACCCGGGCCAGCGCATCGTCGTCTGGCCACAAGCCCAGCCGGCGCACCGATGGGCGGGCACCCTGTCGTGGGTACAGACCGCGTTGACGGCGCGAGGGTCCTCACCGGACGCTGTGACGCTCGGCACGGAGGCCCTAGGGCCGGACCACGGGCTCGCGACGGCAGACGCGCTGGTCATCCCCGGGGGCAACACGTTCACCCTCCTCGCGCACCTGCGCGGACACGACCTCCTCCCACGGGTGAGGGCATTTCTATCGCGCGGGGGGGTCCTCTACGGCGGGAGCGCGGGCGCGGTCATTACAGGCCGGGACGTGGGCGTGGTGGAAGGCCCGGCGGAGCAAGGGCTGGACGAGAACCGCGAGGGGATGGGACGCGACTTGCTGGACGCGCTGGACGCGCTGGGCGGGTGCGTGGTGTTTCCGCATTACGACGGGGGGGCGCGGTGGGAGCGGCACTGCGGGTCGTGGGCCCGGGAGCGGGGCATGACGGTGCTGGGGATCCCGGAGAGGGGAGGGCTGGTGGTGGATGTGGATGTGGATGAGCGGGAGGGGGGCGGGTGGGCGGAGAGCGTCGGGCCGGAGGAGGTGAGGATCTTTGGGAGGGATGGGAGCGTGAGGGTGTGGCCGGACGGCGTGAGGATGGGGTTGCGGGAGTTGGGATTTGGCGAGGGAAAGTGAGGCTACCGGTGATGTGGGTCGAGCGCGATACACGGGTGCAGCTGGTGGTGACGACGTAATGTTTTCTTGTCGTCTACTACGAAATGAACAAGTTCTGAAACGCGACAGCCTCGACTTGCGTATGTCCAACAGATCCTCCACCAGGCGCCCGCGACGATTTCGGCGACGTCTTCGGCTCTGATGGTTCCCCCCTGTCCCATCATCTCATATTTCCTCATCAGAGCGGTAGACGCGATCTTGGCCGAAGGGGTCGGCGTCGTGGCAAAACGCATGTATCGGGTGGGCCAGCTTCGATACCATTGGGGCCAGCTTCGATACCATTAGCCTTGCAACTAAACCGAACGTCCAGCAGGGGATTGAAGACTCACGCGACAAACCCGCAGCCCTCCCCGACTCGTCTGGGCCGCCGATGTCGGTAGGTGCAGACCGCTTCGTGAAGGCGTTGTTGTGTTGTTGGAACGCAGGCAAGACGATCTCCTTGTACCAGTCTTCCTTGTTGTTCTTCATGAGCTTCTTCCACGTCCACTGTCCAACAATCTCTTCCGGCGTGACTTCCCACAAGCAGGCGTAGTGGTTTTCATAGTAGTCTGAATCGTCATATGGATCCTCGATCCCGTAGTGCTCCATTTCAGCCCCGACATCCAGAACAGGTAATCCTTTTGCCTCGCGAACGCCAGGATTTATGGCGATGAGCTTATGGGGGCCTCGCTTTTTCTTAGGATCATCCCGCACCTGAGCAAGGTCTTCGATCGCCTCGGGTAAACTTGAAAAGGAAATGTATGGCGTGACCACCCATCTACCGTTATCGACGTGGATCTCCAGGGACTCCCTCCGCGACTCGAGTGTGCAGAGTCGTTGCCGAGGGGCCCTTGCTAGCATGCGGCCACTCTCGTCCGGCTGGCTCCCGGACTTCTCGTCCCATAGGCGAAGCAAAGGTAGGTCGGTCGGTGGCTGTTGATCGGGCGTCAACCACGAACGCACATCCTCTTCCCAATCCGCTGGATCACCGCCGTCTGTTTCGGGCTGCAACAGCTCGTGCACGGTGTCCGCATCCAGTGGTTCTCGCCCAGGCATCGTCGCAGTGGTTGTGTATTGTCAGAGCGGGGTGCTCATGAGTTTCTGCCTGGAGTCCTGCGAGACGATATGCATATTGCAGCCGCAGGTCACGCGGGCCATCTGCACGGCCAATCTCAGCTGTCCCTGTCCATTGCCACAGATTGTATACATGATACATCCGTCGGGCACTCAATGTGCAGCAGGTCCAAGAGACGATTCGTTTCTGGCCACACGGAAACTAAACACTACTGGGACAATATAGATATAACAGGAATAGCGAGATCAATCGGGAGATCAGACCTAGACACAGACTTCCGCCGTCGGGGACGTGATGCCTTCCTTTATCTCGTTGAAGAAGAGTGCAGGGTAGCCTGTGGCGTTGGCCGACAAAACGCGATGTCGTTGTGTTTGGTGCGAAACGCCCTTTGTGGGGCACATATACGGCAATAAGGCAGTTCCAATCACAACACCCACTACGACGGCTGAAAACAGCTGTTCGAGTCTTCCGTAGTATAGTGGTCAGTATGCAAGCTTGTCACGCTTGAGACCCGGGTTCAATTCCCGGCGGGAGAGATCATCTGATCTTGATTCTTTTTTTGTCTTCCCTTTTGTCATCTTTTTTTTTTTGTCATTTCCAACGTTTGATAGATGATGTTATTTTTCGATGCAGTGCACGTTCGCAGCGGGCAATCACTGGGGTATTGTTTGAAGTGCCTGCCGTCTGCTCACGTGCCTTCTTCCCCCAAGTGGTGGGTTTTCACAGCGACTCGGCGCCTCCATAGGGCAGCCAAGGTGAAGAAAACCCGACCTGGCACGACACGACACGACACGACAAGTCGCAGACACATACAGCGCAACGTCCGCCCACTTGCCAAGGGTTACTAGTAGGTTGCTACGGAGCGCAGTGATGGAACACGTCTCGTACGGAGCGCATACGACGACGGCGCTGCTGCTGGACACGGACGCCAAGCCAACAGCGCCGAGGACGCGGCCGGGGCGTTCGCCATGCGAATAAAAGGAGACAGAACAAAACAGAGCAGAACAGTCAGACGGTCCGCTGGTGCTCCCGCGGTGCTGTCCTCTGGCGCGCCGAGGCGACAGCACCCTGAATGATGCCTGACGAGCCTGTGATGACCCCCTGTGGGCAGACGCTCCATGTTAGCGACGGAAACCTAGAGGAGGCCCAGCGGGCGTCTGCAGTCTCCAGGGGGCGCGTCGCGCGGCGCCTCTTGGCAGGCCAGGGCCGGCGCCAGCGGCAGCGGCTGGGTGCTGTAACTTGCTGCTGGAGGGGCTTGCAGGCTGGGGCCAGCCGGTGCCGTTTGATCCGGGGAGCCAAGTACGCGCGGCCTCTGGGGGGCGTGTCTGTCCGTATCAATTTTGCCATTCTCCTCCATTGGGCTGTCTGCTATCACTTGCGCGCGTGTGTCGTGAGTCGCATCGCGCGATTTCCAGGTTCAGCTGCGTTGGGCGACGACTACAATGACCTACCTTATGTTTCGGCGAGTCGCAGCATGGCGTGGTGCACCGTCTGATGTCAGCCGTCGTGTTTGCTCTTGGCGGGCTGGCTGGCGCAGGGCCACGACTAGCTGACCTGGATCCGGTACAGCACTGCGCCTAGCAAGCAAGCAAGCCCCGGCCAGGATTGACGAGACGGGATGGAATGAATGGGTGATGTCGGCGGACGGAGATTAGCTGCTGCGACCGGGCCGACGTGTGCGTGTGCGGCGCGCCTGCATCGGTGTCGGTCGTGTTGGTGCCGTCGTCGCCAGCGAGCACACGTCAGTCGGGTTCCATGCAGAAGGGGGTTTCCAGCACCAGCCACAGCGGTCGTCGGAAACGCCCACTGTCGGAGCCGGATTCGTCGTGGCCAGCTGGCCCGCCGCCGAGGGGGAGGCAGGCAGAGCACTCATCGCAGGGTTGCATGGGGCCGCATCTCGCGTGGCGCCCGCTCTCTCTGGAGACCGGGGTTGGAGGGATGAGGCTGATGGGGCCAGCCACCTGCCACCGTGGGTGCTGTTGTGCTGCCCAGACCAGGTCGGTGCGGTTGGCTTGCTCGCAAGCGGCGGCTGATGATGCGGCGCAGTGCCGTTGTTCCGGACGCCGCTGACTTACAGGAGCGTGCGCGTCCTATACTACTCCATTCATACGAGCGCTACCTTTTCGTGCGTGGTATTATACACCTGACACTTCCTCCCATTCTGCTATTCATTACTGGCTGGCGGGATTGGAACGGGGTCGAGCGCCAAGTCGCGCTCGGAAATTATCTGCGAATGAAGAGCGATAAGGAGAAATAGGAGGGCAAGGAGAGGGACAGCGAAAGTTAATTCGCGGCGGAGCGGACGTGCAAAGGAAGCGGCCGCAACGGGGGGACGTGGGGTCAGCCAAGTTCGCGACTTGGTACGGACATGGGCGGTCCGCCGCGCTGGATACCTACCTGCCGGGTGTTATCACGGAGCGCAGCGGCACCCCGAGTTAGTATTGTGGATTGATGAGCTGCAGCCGCAGCAGCATGTTGTGCGACAAGAGCACGAAACAGCACTCGCATGCAGGCCGTAGGTAAGGGGAGGTATGTTTCCCGTGCCACCTTTTGGCTTGAGGCCGGCTGTGATGCTCGGTCAGGTATGCGGTCCACACATGGAGTGCGTCGGAGCCGACCAGTGCAGCGGTGATCATGCAGCAGCCGTTGCGGCGGGCATCCACAACGAGGCGCACTGGCCGGCAGTTACTTTTGCGTTGCTGTTTGGCGGACCCGTTCGTCCATTCAGTCGTTCGTTGGCCGAGTCGGGACGCGCAGCCAGCCAAACCTACCAAACCAGACTCCAAACCCAATCGATGACGCCCTGAATGGTTCCTCGGCGACAGCCTGTCCTTCGCGCGAGGTTGCAGGCGGCGTCATCTCCCGCACACGACCTGCTTCCGTTGGCGGCCTAGCCCATCCTCCCCACCCAGGTTTCGCCATCTGTTCTCCCGGCAGGCGATCGGGGGTTTAACGCTGGTGCGTAGCGTGGATGCGTGGTCGTAGCGCCGGTGCGAGTGGCTTGTGCCGATGCGGGGCCGACCAAGAAAAGCACTAAAAAAGAAGAATACTGCGCTACACTGATACATCTCCACTCGTTTATTCACCGTTGCGAGTAATGAAGCCACCGCAATGTCTTCTGTAGAGATAAAATTTCGAGGGCTGCGAACGGTGCGTAGTATTGCCAATAAACCGGTCCACGGTCGGCGCCGATGATGCAGCTGGTCGGGCCATGCGGTGCCGAGGAGCGCGGGTCGCGGCTTGGACGTGGACGCGGAGAGGTGGAAAGGGGGGGCGTGAAACACGGCCACAAGCCAGGGCCGTGGCATCGGTGGCTTGGCAGGCGTGCGTGTGTGTGTCTCATCATCTGAGAAGAGAAAGCCCGCCTCTGCCGTCCGAAGTTGTCTGCTGTGGCGCCCACCATTTCTTCCCCCGGCGTGCCGAACCGAGTTTGATGCGGCGCAACGCCTGTTCATCGTCAGCCGCTCACCGTATCGCACCCGTTCGGCACCGGCACCAGCCTGTAGGTAACTAAGCGCATGCCACGGCACAGCACATGGGAGGGGAATCTCGCATGGACAAGGGGGGCCCCCGACCTCGACGAGGGCCTGGGCCTGGGGAGCTGCTGGGTGGATGGCTAGGACGGCATCACAGTGACCGCAGCTAAATAAAGGGCCCGCCGCCGCCGCCGCCGCCGCCGCAGCCTCCGTCGCCGTTGGGGGACGAGGCTGTTGTTGGTGCGCGGCCGCGTGTGCCGGCGAGCCGACGAACCGTCCGGATACGTATCGTATGTGCTCGTGCACGCGCATCGATAGAAGCGGTCGAATCTTGGCATTGAGTCTCCGATGGTGGCCTGTGTATGGATCGATGGACGAGCACCGAAGCTGCGTCATGAACGGAAAAGCAACGTGGGGACAGAGAGACAAGCAGCGCACGACGGGAAGAACAAGACAAGACAAGACAAGACAGACCAAAAGGAGAAGCGCGGGCGAGGCCGCCGAGGGCAGGCGCGGGCAAGGCAAGGCAGGGCAAGGCAAGGCAGGCGGCAGGCTGGGAAAGACCGACCGACTGGTCGAGCCAAGGCGGGTAATAACGATTGCCACCACACTGGCTCGCACACACTCTTCGTCTCTCTCTCTTCGCTCGCAACACGCGCACACTTGCTTAATCCCGTCTGGTGTCCCCGTCCTGCTCGGTGCCAAGCGCCAAACGTTATTGCCAGATGGAGTCCCTCCCCGGGGGGGCGTGTGCCCTCGGCCGTGCTCGTCACCGCGGCCACGCCCACCAGTCCGTGGTTCGTCCTGACGGGCAGCCATTCATTCATTCATGCCGTTCTCCCAGGTCTGCTTGGCCTGCCTCGAGTGGCCTTGGCCGTGTCCCGGCGCATCCCACATCCCTCCCTACCCCCCCAATCCTGCCTACTAGTATACCTACCTGCCACTAGCCATATCATCGCTGCTCGTGTGCCATTTTCCTACTCTTGGCGGAGTGGTCAGCCAAATACAATTCGCCCGTCACTGCAGCCGGCTCGTACATACTCGCACCTGTCCCACGCCCACGCCACCTCGTCTTGTTTGCTATCTCATCCTCATCCTTCCTCCTTCTCCTTCTCTTCCTCCTCCTCCTCCTCCCCCCCGTATGCATATGCGGCGGTAGCGGTGCAACACGTACATCCCAGTCCTGCTGCTGTCCGCACGCAAACGCTCAGCACTCACACGCAGCATTCGTACGCGCGGCGCATTTACAGCACACATACCAAACATACATCGAGTTCATCCTCTGCTAGACAGATCCGCCGCCGGTCCTGACCTTCGTCTCTGGATGCCTTTCTGGGGTGCTTGAGCACGCGACACACCCCCACCGCCGCTATCAGCACCCGACGACGACGATACGTCGCTCGCCTCTCGCCCACACCCGTCGTCATCAGCACCCGTAACGAAGGAAAAGCATGACCATCCTGCGGTTGCCCTCCCCGCGGAGGGCCGCCGCCCTCGTCCTCGCCGCGGCGACGGCCCTCGTCCCGCTCGCCTCTTCCGCCGTCCCAAAGCCCAGCGGCAGCAACCTCGCTAAGCGCGAGGACACAAAGTACTTTCACGAGCCCTGGGGCAGCCTCGCCCTCGGGCACTACGACTCGCGCTACTTCAAGGAGGAGGTCCCTTACGAACAGCACCGCGTTGTTCTCCGCGACCTCATCCGCAGCTACCTGACCGTCATGGTAAACGTCGGCGCCGAGACGTGGATCGCCCACGGAACCCTCCTCGGCTGGTGGTGGAACGGCCTGATCATGCCCTGGGACTACGACCTCGACGTCCAGGTCAGCAACGCCACCCTGCAGTGGATGGGCGACCATCTAAACCGCACCGAGCACTCTTTCAACTCGTCGTCCGGGTCTGGTGTCGTCAACAAGTACATTCTCGACGTCAATCCACACCACTCTGACATCGACCGTGGCGACGGCATGAACATCATCGACGCCCGCTGGATCGACATGCAGAACGGCATGTTCGTCGACATCACGGGCGTCCGCGAGCGCGAGGCCGATCGCCCTGGCTTCTGGAGTTGCAAGAACTTCCATCGCTACGCCAGCCAGGACCTGTGGCCCCTGCGCCGCACCGAGTTCGAAGGCGTCCGCGCCCTCATCCCGTACAGCTTCGAGCAGATTCTTGTCGACGAATACGGCGCCAAGAGCCTCGTCACAGAGGAGCACGAGAGGTAAGAACCCCCATTTCCCCCTCTTGTCGAGATTGGTGGAGTGCTGACTGAGTGTGCACCGTGCAGCCACCGCTGGGACCGCGACATTAAGCAGTGGGTGCGCATGGACGCCAACGATGAGAGGCGCGCAAAGGAAGAGGCCCGCGAGCGCAAGCGCCTGGAGATGATCCGTGACGGCCGCCTCAAACCCGACCCCTGAGCGCGCCCTGCTGCTTTTACGCTCGCGCATCCGGCACAGCACGCGCGCGACTGCTCGCTCTGCGGCCCTGACGGACGGTTCGCCGCGACAGCCGCCACTCCTCCGAACATCTCGCCGCCCTCCCGGCGCGCGCTCGGCCTTGTTATGACCCTCGCGATCCTTCGTTCGAAGCCAACGACGACAAGCCCCCGAGAGAACCAGACTCAGCATGGAGCGCGTTTTTTTCAATGAACTTCCAGCATTTGTTCGCGCGTTCCAGTTTCCACCGTACCTAGCGTTCGAAGGCGACCCTTTCTACTGCCCGCACATTTCGAATTCGTCCTTTTCTCTAGTTTCTATGATATCCTCTTGTCTCGGACGAAAAAAACATGCGACACGACCGCTGCGGCATCTTTGCATCTTGCATACAGGCGCTTTGGGGGCTTGGGCTTTTTGGGGAAACGAAGAGGAGACGAGACTAATCCACTTGGACGTGGAGATAGAAGACAGAGGAACAAGGGGGACCCTGGAGGGAAAAGGGAAAGGAACAGTGGCGCATGGGGAGGGTGCGCTACGTACGTGTATGATACCAAAACGCATTGTGGAATATTGGGGATGGGGGAATGCGCCGCGTGATGGCTGCACTGGCTGGCTGCCCTCGAGAGACGTGAGCCGGTGGACCGGTGCGGCGGCCATGAGCTCTCTCGAAACGCACTCACATGAAATGGTGAGCACGGAGAGAGTAGCTGGTAGAGCGCATGAACGGACGCTCAGAGCATGGCCCACATGAGTCGTCTCACGCAGATGACCGACGAGGTCATCATCCCGGTAGTTCACCGGCAGTTAGCATACCTAAAACATCATGCCTGGTGTGGATTCTCAGGCAGGCCGAAAAGGAATTACGCTTCGAGAGTGAATCAAATGTGATCTCGAATGAATCTCGAATGAATTTCGAGTGATTTCTACTGTGCTCGCTAGACCGATGTCAAAACAAGGTGTCGTTGGTCGTCGGCCGACCCCCGGCATCGGCCAAGTTCCGAGCATCACAGCCTCGCCGTCCCGTCCCCATCCCCGAGATCGTACCCGTCCCCTTGCCCATGCTCATCGCCCATCCATCCACCTCTTCCACCGCTCTGCCTCGACGCCCGTCCCGTCCCGCCACCCGCCGATCCGGCCGCCTCCCGAACCGATGTCCGCCAGCGGCACCATGCTCGGCCGTCCGTGGGCGCACTGAAACGGAAACGCGCACCGCGCGAGCCGCCCCACCAGCGCCCGACACTCGTCCGGCGACAGCTCGTCGTTGAACATGATGGCGCCTGTAGAAACACGTGTTAGCGGCTGTAGTCGTGTGAGTTCTGGGGTGTGGGGGGTACTGACTGCGGCAGGATCGCGAATAGAGTAGCTCGAGGATCCCTGAGGGACAGCCACGAAACCACGACGGCCATGACTTCCCCGCTTCGCGTGAGAGGGATCGCTCTGGCACGGCGTTGTTATCTTCTAGCGCCCACGTCTCCTTGCGGATTAGATCGATGATGAGGCGAGGCTCGCCGCGGCACCTCTCGAGTATGCTTGGCGGAAGGCCCGTGACCCTGACTGTGGACGCGCCGGCCGCTGACTCGACAACAAGACGGATCCCCCATGCTCGAAAGTGCCCCCGATAACGATCAATGAGCGCACCCTCCCTGCTAGGCGTTTCAAACACAATGTGTTGCTCCAGCGCCTGGGTCATCGGCTTGACCGCGTCTGCGCCCGAGCTCACAAAATATTCTGCCATGAGCTCTTCCAGTCGGCACCGCTCGTCAGCTGCGTGTTGATCCACCATGACTAGTGCTTGCGAGTTTCTCTCGCCAGCCATTTGGGTCATCGGCTCCAAGGGCAACTTGATGAGTATGAACTTGCGGTCGACTTGGGCGATGAATTCGGCGTCAGCCATGGCGGAACGTGAGAGACGTCCGGCGAGGTTGACAGACCCTGCCTCGAAATTGACGTCCATTTCGTTGTCCCGACAGTGGTGCAAGCCGGACGGCCGCCGATGTAGGACGCCCGTGGGGTCATCAATAGAAATTTGGGGCACTGTCGTCGGCGTAGTCTCAAAGACTGGGTTCTGCCACGAATCGAGGATGTCTTGGAGCCATGGCTTAGGAGCAGGTTTGGGCCTGCTCTCAAGCACTCGGAGACGTTTCGGTTGATCCCCTGGGCCGGGTACACACTCGGAAGTGGTGGCGATTGAAGTGGTTTCGACGGTGCCATCCGCGGAGCCGACGGACTCGGGCTCATCCGCTGGAGGGTCGTCAAACGGCCTGCGGACGATCTTCCCACCTTGACCGACCAGGCGCCGTGGGCCGTGGTCTGGAGACTGTCTCCTGCCCCTTTCCTTTGGTAGCGCCTTTGAACCGGGGAGGCGCGACGTTGCCCATCCGACTTTACCACGATGCCAATCACCAAAGGGGCTCTCCGCTCTGGAATCAGGAGCAGAGCCACCGGGGGGTGGCGAGCTGGTCCTTGCCCGTGATGGCGCAGGGGACCGGCTGGATGGCTTGCTTGAGCGTTTGGGCACCTTTGCAGTAGAAAATGCCGTCTTGTCTGACAGTCTATCGATGGCTAAAGGCCGAAAGCGATTCTTCTTGAGAAACTCAAAGGAGATCGTCTGCAACAAGTCCGCAATGTCGCTCAACGCATTTCGAGAGTTGTCGACAAGTTCATTTACCTGAATCTCGACTCCGTTCAAGTGGATCTGAATGTAAAACATGGGCCATCGTTCGAGCCCCTTTCGTGGCTTCGCACTCGGGCCTGATCCCTCATCCTCAACAACACCAAAGCTCGAGTTGCCAAACACCTTGTTGACGGCGTCGTAGAGCACGTTTGAGTCATGGCTATCTTGTATGGGGTGAATGCCGAGACTCATGGTTTGCGACCGTCTTGTTGCCACCGGAGTCGTGGAGATACAACCCTTGATGCGCACGTTGCGAGATGAAGCTGACACGGGCACCCATGATGGGGCGTCGCTAGAATCCGCCAGTGACGCCTGAACGAAGAGCCTGGATACCCGGGCGACGAGATCTGTGGTGGAGGCAGACTTGAGCCGTACTTGGCGTTGCGTGGTCCGTTCGTGCAATGAAACGGACACTTCAGTTGGCCACGCCAGCAGCAGCGTCACGACTTCTCGAACAAGGTTGCTCCATTCCTTATCGACGGCAGATCGCTCAGAAAACATCGACGCTCGATGCTTGACTCTGACGGGCATGGAGCCAAACAGGGAGCGGATGGACACTCGAGTGCCGTGATCAAAGGTTTCGAAACGCTGTTCCGGAGGAGCTGGGGCATGCCGCGTCAAGACTTGCGAGTTGTGTATCGACATGGAAGCCTGCGATACGTGACGGTGATGATGGGATGCCACCGAGAGAAACGACAGGGTCGCGACAGCTGCGAGAAAGTCGCCACGTCTACCGTGGACGGCTGGATTCTCAGGATCCTTGGAGGTGTCTTGCGTCAAGTCAGCAAGCTTGAGTCGGAGGACGAGGCACCGGGGCAGACATACGATGGAGCTTGCCAAGGCCGCCATCCTCGAGAAACTCGCGAGGCTCTATGCCGATGCCATCATCCTCGACAAGGCAATCGCCGCGGACAAAGTCGAGGCGGACGTTGATGCGAGTAGCGCTGGCATCCAATGAATTCGTGATGAGGCCGCAGACAACGCTGTTCAGCGAGGTGACGGCGGCCGAGGACTTGAGCTTGTCGACGACATGGTCAGGGAGCTGACGGATGGACATGGCACAAGCCCCATGGTGCGGTGTTCGTTGGGGGGCCGCGTGCGCAGTGAACAGGCTGCGGACCCGTCGTCTTGGTGGCACGAGGCGGAGGCAGGGCGTCGAGGTCGAGGAAGCTGTGTCCTGTCCCGGCTTATCGATAATCGACTGAGCTGACCCAAGAGTTTGGCGAGCCTCGGTCATGCACACGGGTCAGTGACGTCGCGCCGCAGCGGCAGCTCCACTGAGCGCGCACTCACAGTGGGTGTGCAGAGGGCGAATTCGCACGGTGCAGCCAACCTGGCCGATAATAAACCGCTTCCCTGCCTTCATGCGGTAATCCAGGCCTGTCAACCAGGAATGTCTCTAGAATGACGAATGGTGATGCCAACCTGATACTCGCCCGCACGACATGTCTCGAGTGTCTCAAGTAAGGCGCGGCGTTTCGGCCCGTGGCACGGGGCCTCATTCCGACTCGCTCTGTCATCACGTGACGGTACGCGGCCTCGTCGAGCACAAGCCCAGCAACAAAGCGAATCCAACCTAATGGCCCGGAAGGCGCCACTGTGATTACGGCGGGGGCTCACAGCGACCCAGGCAGCCCAGCTCGGCCCAGCCGCTGGCCGCACTGTGCCGACCGCCCTCCACTCCTCGTCAGTGCAGCGAGTGACACTACCGGCAACGCCTGTCAGGGTTACCTTGCTTTCGCATACTCAAACACCGCCCGTTCGTCAACGTCGACACGAAACCTTATCAATCTCGCTCCCACCGCCAACGCTCTGCCCATCGTCAACTGCACATTGCCAATCCGCCTTCTCGCCTCGCCTCGACGTCTGCCTCACTGGATCCCGGCGTCGACGCCCGTGCCCGACGCTCGCTCGCTGCCGGGCCTGACGCGCCAGCTGTCCGCTGACCGCAGCCCAAGCCCGCCAGGCTTTCGTGCTGCAGCAGAAGCAAATACGTCCTCATGGCGACTACAGATATCGCGCCCGAGCCGCACGGTGAGCTGCTTCATCTCCTCGACCGACGGACAAAGTCAGGCGGCAACATCCCATCATGCCCGCTCTCGATGGCGTCCGGTGCGGCTGGCTCTGGACGTTCAGGCGTGCTGACGAATTTGCAGACCGACAGGCGCACCGCCGTCGACCCTTTTCGACCTGGGTCAAGCGACTCACCAACTTCAAGTCCTCGTCGGACGGCGAGCGACCCAAGCGACACACAAAGACCAAGAGGGGCAAGCTGAACAACCCCTACCCGCAATCCGGCCATGTCAGCGGCAATCACAACCACGCCAACGGCTATGCCAACGGTAACGGCGCCATTAACGGTCGTGGAAACGGGAGTTCGTACTCGTTTGTGACCGCGCAGACGAGCAGCATCGTGTCGACGGATGATGCAACTCGCGTCTCGGCCGACGCGGACGACCACGCCCCGATGACTGCCGGGGGGCGGAGCATGGCGGGCACAACGTCGACGGAGAACGAGGGGCAGCGCTCAATCATCGCTCCCAGCTCGCTTGCGGGCACGAGCCGCACCATGGGCGGAGGCATTGATTCGCGAAGAGGCGGAGACAGCACCTTTTCCAGCCCCGCGCCCTCGGTGCGGTCCCTGACGACGACCCTGACTACGATCCAGTCACTGGCCCCCAACGGCCACCAGGCATCTGCGCCAGCCCAGCACAGCAACACGCAGTCGATCCACTTCAGCCAGCCTTTTCCGACCACGTCGCCCGCGTCGGCAATACCGGCTCATCTGGCGCCCACCCCCACGGGGCACCCGACGACTTACTCGGCGGCGACGGCCAACGGCCTTTTGACGGACAATGCCTCCATCCTGACCCTGGCGTCGTCTAGCAAGCGGCGCAGACGACGCTCCATGGACACGGATGCGTCGGTCCGTGCCCTTGCGCCGTCCTCTCTTTGGGGCGGAAGCCGTGAGAGCTTGCCATTAAGCGTCTTGAGCGCCTCGATCGATCCGACCGCCAGCTCGACTACGCCGGGGCTCCACGGAAGCAGCTCGCGCATCGGGACAGAGCGCACCAGCATTTATTCGGCAACAGGCGTGGCGTCTACGCTGCAGGGGGAACGAAACAGCGTCTACACGGCGAAACAAGGAGACGGCGCGAGCGTACGCAGCGGGCTCTTGGGCCACGGCCGGCCAGACAGCATCAGCGGGGCAAACGCCATCGCGACGAGCCCGCTGGCCAGCCCTCAGGAGGAGCCCAGCGAGAGGCACGCACTAGACAGGGAAGACGAGCGGCTCGCACGAAAGGAGGAGTAGCAAAATGCATTGGCTTTGCGCCACGGTTTGGGCGCGGTGTATCGGAGGTTACGAACGGCGGAGAGTTGCTTTTATTGGTATAGCATGGGAAAATGGCGCGCGAATCATGATTGTCGGGAGCAGCGCAAGAGAGATACCCTTGGACCTAGGACACTGCAAGACAGGCATATTCATACATGACAGTACAGTACTGTGAGGTCGATTTTGAAGTACGGCGCAGGCACGCGTCTGGATGGCAGGCGATTCGCCGCGATTGTCTTAGCCTGCGGCCTGTCAGTTCTCGACGATGTGTTTCAGAGTGACAAGCATGAGCGCATCCAGATTCGCAGCGATTGCCGAGACGCCCAACCCAGTCCAGCCAGCACCACAGCATATGTCGACCGTCGCAACGTGGGCGTGGCCAGGGTCAGAGCAGCAGCCACGACAGCATGGTTCGAAAAGGCGGTAATGGAGGAGGCTCAGAGGCCGGGGACCACGGACGGATGTCACCAGACGTGAAGGATGTTGGGCCCGACGGGTGCAACGCCGTGTTGGACGTGGTGCCTCGCGAGGCGCAGCCTCGGGCGTGGTTGGCCGTGTGTGTGGGTGGTGTGGTGTGCGGGTGAGTGAGTGAGTAACCTGGGCTTGGAGAGCTTGGCTTGCTCTGCGTTGTCGTCACGATGGCCCATGAAGCAGCTGTGTTGGTGAAGCCCATTGGGCGGGCACAGCAACGGCGACCGTGAAGAATGGGAAGAATCGACGCGGGCCAATGCGCGATAAATGTGAGTTCAGGGCAAGGGGACCACTACCTTTTCCGCGTTCCTGGCCCGGCCACGAGGAGAACCCTTTTCAAAAAGAAAGAAACATAAAACCGACATCCTTATCCAGATCCAAATGGCACAAAAAGGAAAACAAAAAGGAAACTTGCCCCCACGCTGGATCGAACAGCGGACCTCATCATATCACAACAGCGATGGTACGAGTGATGCGCTCTACCACTGAGCTATAAGGGCGGATCTGTTTGGCAACAGTATACCCGCTTCCCGAGCCATGGAACGCCCTAAGAGCGCAGCAGCGCGCGGGACCTGAGGAGGAACAAGGGGGGAACCCAGAATGGAAGGACATGGGCGGGCCGGCCCACTCTCTCGGCGCTCGGGCGGGCGTTCGGCCCCTTGTTGGACCAGCGGGCGGGCCCGGGGGCGATTCGGAGGGTCGGAGGGTCGGGTTGAGGCAAGGCTCACACGCCGGGCATGTAAACCCATAACACCACCAGACTCCAGCAGCAGGCAGGATCCATGCCTGAAGAGAAATCGCCGCAGGATGTGGGTGGGAGAAGAGCTGTCCAAGGCCGAAGCAGGAACAGAGAAAGGGAAGTGTGTGGGCGGGCCGACCTAATCGTGGTCGCTGTCGCTGTCGCTGTTGTCAAAGTTGCTGTTGGACCTTGATATCACGGCTCGCCAAGGGTTGCTGGCGGGCGTGATTGGGCCTCGGATTGCGACTTACACCAACGGCCCATTCGAGCAACCCATGTCGACTCCCCATCTCACGGATAAATATGTGTGCCTCTGGAGTCTGGACCAACACCAGAAAAACCCTGCGTGACTGCAATCTGGGCCAAGAAGTGCTGTGCCCAACAGGGTCCTGCATCGTGGCCCACGTGATTGTGAAGAGAGAGAATGGGAGAGAGAGCGAGCGAGCAAGGACGTGAGGACCTGTTGTGCCGTCCTTCTTCCCCCAGCCCCCGGCGGCGAGACCCTGTAAATCTCACCCTTCTTGCCCCTTCCCGGCGAGTTGCCCTGTTTCTGCCCACCAGTCGATCGACCGTCGCGCCATTTCTACCATCTGTGACACTACATACGGAGTACACCGGAGCCTATTCCACTCGTCCAAGTGTGAGAGGACTCTAGCTCCTCTTCTTCTTGTGCCTGTCATTGGGGTCTGGTTTGATATAGCACCCCTTTAGGGGCGGGGCGCGCGTGGCCGTGAGCCTGCTGCTCGCCATGCCGACGACGACGACGACTCTGCTGGTGCTGCTGGCGGCCGTCCTGACGGGCTTCGTCGGGACGAGGCTCGCCGCCGCCGACTTCGTACACCCGCCGCCGTACCTCTCCGGCTCGAACAGGTATCAGGACAACCCGCGCTATGCGTGGGGGAGCAACGTCACCATCGAGTGGAGGAACTCGTACTCGAACAACACCGACCTGGTACTGGCGCTTGAGTTCCCCCGGAAGATTGAGCATCCCGACAAGGCTACGTTCAATCTCATCTATGGTAAGGCTTTCACGCCAGAGTTCAGACCAGAACCTCCTCCTTCCAGAGCGCTCATGGACGTGTGGCATTCATGACACTCATGACTCATCCCGTGTTCGCCATGGCCCGGAGGAGGGGGAACTGAAGTCATTCTTTCCTCGCTTGCGCTGCGCGGCGCTGACCATAGTGTAGAAAACATGACGAGCGGGACCACGAGCCGGACATGGAACGTGAGCCTCTTCGGCGACGAGGCCCTCGTGCCCGCCGGCTCCGACGCCATATGCTACTTTGCGCTCATCTTCGCGGGCACCAACATCGGCATGTTCTCGTCGACGTACTTCAACGTAACCCTCCCCAACAAGGCGGGCGCCTCTCCGACCGCGAGCTCTCCGACCCTGGCCCCGACCGACACAGCCGCGCCGTCCGCGACAGGCGACGCCTCGTCCGGCGACTCGTCGTCGTCGCTCTCGCACGGCGCCGCGGCGGGCATCGGCGTGGGCGTCGCGCTGGGCTGCCTCCTCATCCTGGGCGGCCTGGGCTTCGTGCTGTGGCGCCGCCGGAAGGCGCGGCGGGAGGCGGCCCGCGCGGCGGAGGCCGAAGACGCATCCCGGGCGGCCGAGGAGCAGGGGAAGCAACAGGAGCAGCAGCCGCCGGAGCTGGAACTAGGATCGGGGCCGCAGGAGTTCTTTGCCGGCGCGGCGGCCGACGGGTGGGACAAGAACAAGCCGCTGGTGATCTCGGAGCTGGACGGCGGGCAGAGCAGTTTTGTGCACGAGAAGTCGTGAGTTGTGAAGCTAGGAGGGCATAGCATCGATCTAGGGGGCAAACGTGGTAAAATGGACATCGTGGGGAGCAAGGTTGGTGGGTGTATATAGAAGAGTGAGTGTTTCGCAACTAGCGTTGTATGCAATCATGAAGACGTCTCTTTTGTGTTGGCAAGGAGAGCTGCAGTTCGCCACTGGAGCTTCTAGTCTATAGTTAGTGTGCGTCAGCGTTGAAGAGAAATCGTCAACGCCTCCTTGCATATGCGTTTGGGTCAGACCAACATGTGGCTGTTGCGGCAGTACGAAGTAGGACGGCACAGGCCCGGACGCGGTGCCGTGCACGCTCTCACATAGTCCGCAGCATATTTACTGACTCCTGTTGGACAACAATGCATCAATGGAACCGACGCCACTGTATTGGATTGAGTATACATGTAGCTGGGAGCGAGACCATCTGGTTCTCCAAGTATCCTCGGGTCGTCCTTGGGACCTAAAGCCTGTTTCTGTAAATCGGCCGTCATAACTCCTCCAAACATCTGAGGCGCTTTTCCCATGTCCCGCTGGAAGATACAGAATACCCTATGCGCGCAGACCCTTGTAGCTGAACGTCTCGCCGACCAGCTTCTCGCTAAGCTCCCACAGCCTCTCCGCCTCAAATTGGCTCACCGCCCACGCCCTGACGGTGTCCCTGTAAGGATCCGCGACCCGGCAGCTGATGAGATACTCGCCGTTGTGCTGTTTCAGTCCCGTGTCAAAGGCAGCGTGCAGGAGTGTCGCCGCAGCCTGTTCCCGCGAGATGGCGTCAAAGCCTTTCCAGCCCTCTGCGTTGCCCATTGCCTTGTCCAAGGACGATAGCGCAGCGAAATCGCCGGAACTGGACCCGTCAAGGTGATTGGCGAGTCCTGTGTCGAGAATGACGCCCGGATGGACGCTATACGCCTGAAGGCCACGCGCGGCGAGCTTACGAGAGAGTGAGAGCGCGAAGAGCATGTTTGCCGTCTTGGACTGGCCGTAGGCTCTCCACCTGTCATATGTCTTGCCGCCCTAGGGATTCTGTTAGTGGGACATGGCTCTTCAAAAGGCAATGATCGGACCAGATGGAAAGAGCGACATGATCAAAGGTTGACTAACATCAAAGTTCAAGTCGTCCCAGCGGATAGGACTTAGCCTGTGGCCATCGCTCGCGACTGCGACAACGCGCGGTGCCTCAGCTGTCAGTAGTTTCGGCATGATGAGATTGGTAAAGAGGAAGTGACCGAGATGATTTGCGACAAACTGGCTCTCAATCCCTTCTTGCGAAAGGGCATACCCAGTAGCCATCACACCAGCATTGTTGACAAGCACATCTATGGCCGGGACGTCGTTCCACGAAAGCAGCTCCTCGGCGCTCCGTCTCACAGACTCAAGGGACGACAGGTCGAGCTGCAGAGTACGAACGCGAACGGTCGGATGAGCGTCAGTTATAGAACTGGACGTCTGGGACAGCTTGGAGGCATTGCGCCCAGCGAGGATGAGTAAAGAAGGTGACGACGCGGCTAAGGCGTTGACGAAGGCAGAGCCGATGCTCGTGGGAGACACTCCTGTGACCAGGATGGTCTTGGAGGCGATCTGGGCGCCGTATTTGGCTGAGAGGGTCATTGCGTCTTGGACGGAGTTTTGAAGCGGTGAAGCCATGGTAATTGACAAGATATCGATGGACAAGTTTCATGTGCAATGCGATACTCAAGCGCAGTCGACAGTTTATACTTCGTATGTTTGCGACTCAAGGGACTTAAGTCCGTTGTGCAACTTCGGCGTTTGCCGGCTGCACCGTGACGTCGGCTTGGCAGCTTGGTACTAATTGCAGTGATCTGTCGCCGCCGGCGAATTCGCCCCGCCACCCCCCAACGTTGTACCAGAGGGTTTACGTACGTATTGTCCGCTATTATAGCCTGTAGCCTACATTTCCGATCCGGGTGCGACCTGGGGCGTCACTCCAAGTGTGTGGTTCGTTGCGGCCCAGCGTACAGGGGTTGTATCGGGGATACAGCTATTTCCGGGACAACGCCTTCTTCACCGGAAAGGCCGTTTAACGAGTTTGTTGAGGTCTCACTCTCGATGTTCGAGGTGGTGGCCGAAGTTTCGAGAAGGTCTTGTACGACATGGTGCCGCCGAGATCAGCAAGTTTTGCTGCTTGATTGTGCTCTCTTGTATTATTACACCACACTGATGTTATGGCACAGCGGCGCTACAAAGCATGCCCAGTCGTTGAACGCCTCCTCATCGGGGCACGCCGCGGCGGCGCGCACACAAGCCGCCTCCCTCGTCTTCCACACCTTCTCGATGACCAGTCTTGTGCGCGCAACGCTCGACAGTGTGTCCGCCAGCTGGTCCAGCGCGTAGAGGATAAAAGGCCGTGCGAACCGTGGGACATCTCTCCAATCGCCGTCGTCTTGTCCGCTCTCCGCCGTCCAGTCCAGCTCCTCGGTCGGCTCAAGTTGGCAGGCAGTCATGAACAGCGGCCACGTCAGGCCCGCCCGGACGCCCAAGGCTAGTAGCTCGGCTACGAGGCGAAGGATGTGCGAGACTCGGTGACGGACCGTAGGCGTCGAAGGCGTCGAGTCTGTGAGAGCGGCCTGGATGTACAGTTGCACAGTGAGGCGCTTGAGCTCGACGCAGCGGCTCATGGCATCGCCCTCTTGACGACTGTCGCGCGACTCCTCGGCGTGTGACTCTGCAAGCAGCGCTTCGAGCCTCTCCCGCTGCACTGCTACATCTTGCCTGCAGGCGACCCCTGAGTGAGGATCAACACGACGCAGCGTCCAGCTCAGCTCCGTAACGGCACTGATAATGTTGACCATGCGCGGCGAACAGCCCATCCATGGATCCACGGCGTCGTCCTCGACGCTCCAGTACTCGCTCCCAAACATTGGTTCCTCTCCGCAGGCGGTCCGGCCCATGACGTCGTAGAAGGCAAAGAAGCGCTCCGCAAACGCTGTGATTTGCTCCCATGAGTTATGGCCCGTCCGTCGCTCCAGCGCGCTCGACCCGCTTGCTTGCTGACGCTGCTGCTGCTGCTGCTGCTTTCGGAGGCGAATCAGATCCCGCGCACCTCGGAGGTGCACTATCCAGCTACTCCCTCCGTCACGGATGAGCTCATGCTGGCACAGCAGCATGACCAGCGCCATGATCTCCGGGTCGGCGACGAGCCGCGCCGCAGGGCCTGCCGCGAGGAGGGCGCGCACGGCGCGTACGGTCCTGCGGTAGTAGGCGATGGCGACGGGCTGGTACGCGGGCTCCGAACGGGAGCGATGGGAGGCGGCCAGGCCGAGGAGGGCGTCGAGAGTGGCGGGCGACGGAGAGGAAAGGGCGAACGGGACGAGCAGCGCCGAGAAGGGGGAGCGGGTTGTGTGGTCGGCGCAGGGGACGGTGAGCGGACAGAGGCGGTAGACGTAATAGGAGACGAGATGGGGGTCTGCGAGCTGCAGGTTGCTGAGGAGAGGGTCGTCGAGATGTCGTGTCAAAGCCGAGTCGTCGTGCGGAAGGGCCGTGCTCGGCGCTGGACTTGACGCGATGCTGCCCTTTGATGAAGAGGGGGCATCCTCAACACATATACTTTCAACATCCTCCTCGTCCTCAAAGTCCCGCATGAAACAATTCAGAAACGAATACGACTCGACCCGGACCGGCAGCCAACTATCACCGCCGCAGCACTCCCAAACCCCCTCCTCCTGCCGGCGACTCTGCACCCCCTGGCATCCCGTCGCCCCAGCCGCCGCCGACGCATGCTGCCGACGCTGCCCCTTCGACCACACGCCCGCCCTGCCAAACGCGCGCCCGACATGCGCATAGTCAGCCTCCCACTTGAGCGTCACCGCGAAGACGCACTCCGGGCCGCCGCGGGCGCTGCTGCACGCGCCGCACCGGGGGCGGGCCTCGTCGCACCGGATCTTGTGCCGGCGGCAGCGCTGGCAGCCGTGGTGGCTGCGGCGGCGAGGGGATGCCGGCGGCTTGGACGGGTCGCGTTTGCGAGGCATCGCTTACGTCCCGTGGGTGAGAGAGTGGGAAAGAGAGGTGAAGATGGAATGATGCGGGTAGTGAAGCTCGGACGAGGTTGGCCGAGATGTGGGGGAAGAAGATCCGGGGGAGGTGGACCTCGTGCGGAGGCGGTTCTCCGCCCGGGACCAGGCGTCAGAACAACCCTGTCGCTCCATCCACTGTCCAGAGCATTTGAGGTGCTCAGTTTGCGACCCGTACCTTGAGCATTTCTTGGAGACAGTGGCGACATACGGATATTTTTTGTGAGGGAAAAAGCCACACTCACAATCGGAGAGGTAAACCTTGCAAGTCAGTGTCGTTTCAACACTCAAGAGTGGACAGTCTTCATATGTGTAGAGAAGAAAGCCAACACACGATTAGGAAACACGGGTCAGTACCCAACCTGCGCCGAGACCAAACCCCCATGTACGCCTATAGAACTTGCAATATCATCCATATCATGGCATCCAAGGAAATGGCCCGGAGCCTCTATCGGTATCCCATTATCCATCAAACGCTTTCCCGGGCATGGACCGGCGGCTCATTCACACTGACCCCATCCGAATCCTCCATGCGCCTCGAGGCCTGGTGAAAGTCCCTCGTCACGATTCCCGCAGTCGTCATGGGCGGTCCTCGCCCGCCGTCGTCGCGGAGCTCCCAGCTGCCGACGCGTTCTTCGCGCGCCCCGACCTTGGTGACAGTAACATCAGGGTCCCCCGGCATGCGCTCCGCGCCTTTGAACCCTCCAAGTGTAGCGTTGCGCTCTGGCTTGCCAGACCGGCGCAAGCGGAAGCCCCCAAGGGCGAAGAGCGCGAGGGAGACAAGCCCGATGATGCCCAGAACGATGACGGCGCCAATGACACCACCGACGGCCGGGCTCATTCCAGAACTGCTGCTGGGGGGGCACTTGGGGTCCTCGCTGTCGTTCGGTATGTAGCCACACCAGGGGGCTGTTCCCTCTGGGCGACAGATGCTGCACCAGCCTGTCGGACTTGTGCCTTTCTCGTGCATCTGCCGCACAAACGACATGAAAGGGATGCTTGGTCCATCGTTCCCAGAGCCGAACAACGGGTAATCGGTAAAAGTCCCGTTCAGAGCGGCTGCCGATCGATAGTAAAAGCGCACACTCAGGTCATCTGCCGACGGGAAGCCGCCCGAGTTGCTTGCGTAGCGCTGGGAGACGAGCTCAAAGACTATGGCGGCGCCGTGATCTGGAAGCGTCGAGAGTGGGCCAGAGGCGACATTCTCCCTCGTGAGGAGCCCGCCGACTGACAGGAACGAGAGCAGCGGCCTGAGCGTCCCAAACATGAGCGTCATCTTGCTGCTCGCGCCGTTGGCGGCGACGGTGCCGTTGAACGCATTGGCGACATTGTACGCCAAGGTCCGCCCGGCAATGCTGTACAAGGTCTTGAGCGCGATGTCTGTGCTCGTTGTATTGACACTGGTCTTGGCTCGCTCCAAATCGAAAGCGTTGGCTCGCAGGATGTTGAGCGTGTTGTTGGCATCCTCGAGGCCCTTGTAGACGGTCTCATTGTGCTCGTACTGGTAGCTGACCAATTCGTAAATCTCATAGGCATTGAGATACGTAGCAACACTGGGGTCGATGACGCCCTCAAGCGGCCCAGACGAAAACAGGTTCTGATAAAAGAGGCGATTCCGGTCGATGCTGCCCTGAATGGCTTGGCTTTGTGTGAGGTTTGAGCCAGTCTCGGACAGCCACGCGGTGCAAGAGACGTCACCCTGGATCCTGCAGCGTCTGTCAGCCTTGTAAGTCGGCGTTTGGTGCCGGCATACTCACGCGACGGAGGTTCTCTCCTCGCTCGACAGAGTCTGCACCAGCGGATATTGGTATCCGTTCAGAGGATATTCCGTGCTGTTGGATCCTGCGGGGAAGTTGTTTTTCAGGTCGCTGGAACCCGTCATGTCAATATAGGCGTCCGACTGCGGCGGATACAGGCCTTGCATGAAAGCGACGGCGCCCGATGCTATCCATGACTCCGTCCGTGACAGGATTCTAAGCTGGCGGTTATCAATTGCATCCTTGGCGATTTCCTGTATCTGCGCCGAGTCGGTGCCGCTGGAATTGCTTCCCAATAGGTAGCGACTGCGAAAGGCGGCGCCCTGCCGCCGGAGCTGCTGCGCACCCTCGGGGGTCAGGATCGTCTGCGGTCCGGGTGAGGTCTCGCCATTGTAGATGTAGGCGACAGCGGCCCAGACCCTGGTGTTGCCTTCGCCAGTGGCCTGCCCCGCTGCTGGGTGGAGGAGCAGAGCGGAGGCGGCCAGGGCGACGGCGGCGACGGTGCCGAGCGGGGCCATGTTCGGGTCGCGGCAGTCTGGCGGGGGTTCTCAGGCTCTACAGCAGCAGCAACAGTGCGCGAGAGAGCGACGGACCAGTCCAGCTGGTGATGATGGCCCAAGGTAGCAGAGGAAAGGGGCTTCGGCTCGGATCACAGAGAGGAGGGAGGCAAGAACGAAGTAGAAGTAGAAATACATGAACGGAAAGGCGGGATAAGGCAGATGCAGGAGCCGGCGGCAGGAGCGCCTGGGAGGCCGAAGACGGCAACTGCGTCCCGGCTCAAAACCTTGACCCGGTAGCTAAGCTATCTGCGTCAATCACTTCGTCCTCTCACCTCGTCACGCCTTTCGCCCAAAGCCAAGAGCTCCCGGACCATTCAGCTTGTGCGACCCAACCACCCAAGCATGCGAGAGACCTCGTGGCAGCCGGCATGCATGGCTCGAAGAGGGGCTGTTGATTGGGGGTGGTGAGGGGCAGTTCGCTCCTCCACACGAGCCCGCCCAGCCCGCCGGGCGCTACCACAAAACGTTACTCTTCGCAGCAAAGCGGTTGCTGCATTCGGACGGGCGTCATCGACGATGATGCGGGGGCGGCCAGGCCGGCCCGTGGCTTCCCTCAGCTCTTCAGCTTGCCCAATACTGAGGCAGCTGCGGGAGGCAATTGCGGTGACCAAGTAGGCCGCGGCGCTGACATCCCGACAGGTTTGCCCTCCCATCGGCAGCGTGACCAGGGCCCAGCGGCGCAAGGGACGATCGATGGATACCTGGGCGTTTCCCGTCGGTCAATGCTCTTGCGATGCCTTCCCGCAGCAACACCCGCCGTGAGTTCGTGTCGGCACCTTCGGAGGCGTTAGCTCTCTGCCGTCGCGCCCGGCGCCACCTCTGAACCCTATCGCCCGACAGCTTGGGGAGCCAATACCGATCCAAGAACAAGCTTGTTCAATGGAATTGCGGTCCGAAAGGTTTACCGCAGCCGTGACAGCGGCCCCTCACATCCTACCACCCGCGGCTTAAACGACGGAGCTGTCCTGCACTTGGTGGAGGAGTTTCTTCCCCGATTGATCACGTGCTATCCACAAGTCGCAAACTTCTCAGTCACCAACTCAAGTTCAACGACCGAGCAAAAAAAAAAAAAGACCACTTCCCAGATCGCCTCGCCACAATTCCCGCAACGGGCAAAAGTAAAGGTTCCAGAGGGAGTCGAACCCTCGCTGGCGGAATCAGAATCCGCAGTCATAACCGTTAGACCATGGAACCGATTGAAGTGGTGATCCACTTCCCATGGTGAGTTGGTGTGATGATTTGATGGAGGACGGGGCAAGATAATGAGGGCTATAAACCTGGCGCGACGTGGCCCACCACCATCTTCAGCCCTACGGACCAGCGAAGACACCGCGCAGAGCCTGCGGCCAGTACGTCGCTGTACTGAATGGACACCAGGCCAGGTCAAAGTTTGCGTGAGTCTGAGGTGTGAGGACGGGGCCGGGTCGTGCGGTGCCTTGCTTGTTTGACGGGACTTGTTCAACAGGACAAGGCGTGCTCTAGTTGGTGGCGGTGACTCTGTAGTCCGGCCCACCAGACACTCTTGATGCGTCGGGAGAAGAGAGCAGGCGCAACGGCAAGTTCGGGCTCGACGTAGAGCGGCCCGATAACCTTTGCATCGTGGAGTGTCTCCGTACGGTTCGGCAGAGTTGGTCCGAACGCATTCGTTTAGCACAGAACTGCAGCCTCTTTTGGCGCTGCGAGAGACGGGCGAGTGTGTTGCGAATCGTAAGGGTGCTAGGACTCGCAACAGAGTCTCCGCTCGCAGAAGCAATGGCGAGCCTCGAGTATGCAGTGTCAGGCAGTCCCGGCTCGCCTGATGGCAGAGTACCTTGCTTGGTCTAAACCATCAGTTTTGCATTCTCATCCCGGCGATGCGCATAGCAGAAAGAGGGCAGCGCCAGTTCGTGCCATCGTCATGCTTGTCTCGCCAAGCAAATGCCGTGTCAGGATGCATCGTCGTGGAACGCCATAGATGACATATACCAAGTATGACTGACGTTCCGCGTCGGCGGCCGGTGCCACGACAGCCGCTGATGCTCGGCCGTCTGCCGGGAATGTCTCTGAGGTGGCCAGTCGGTTGCGAGGCATTCAAGCAGCAGATTCGGGTGGGTCGATGATCCAGCATTGGCGCAGATGCAGCGGAGCCGCGACGAAGCCCCCGTGCCAGTGGCGTGGGCACATCTTATCAATCTCATCAGACGGTGGCAGCTGCAAGGCACAGCCTCTGGCGATCCGGGGGGGCACAAACGGCTGGGTACGTACCGATCAATCAGTTCGCTGGACAACGCGCGCCAGCGCCCGCGGTGCTGCGAATCGAATGGCTGACATCCATGATGCCTACCTCGTGGAGCATGTCGTTGCAATGTTCGCAGCTTGGTTTGAGCGGCAAGCCTGCCAGTCGGTGGCCAGGTCACGACGAGTCAACAGAGCCAGGGACATCCCGTCCAGCCGACGGATGGTGTCTTGGGCGGCCGAGCTGCTTCGGGGCGCCGTTCAGTGGCAGGGAGGCGGCTCTCAGGGAGGATGGAAGGACCCCCACACCAGTTCGTCGCCTGCCGCGTCTGGTGAGCCACGCGGCCTTGGCTCAAGAAGCCGTCTGCAAAAGCAACGGCACACCACATATGCATTCGTGTAGAAAGCCCCAAACCACTTGTCGACGTGCACGAGTTCGCAATCAGTCGCCCAGGCCGTCAATTGTGCAGCATGCCGCCAGCAATGCTGACCCCCATCGCGATCTCCCGCCAGGTGCTCGATTAGGCCTAGGTCGCGCCAACTTCAGGCCTGGCCGCTGGGTGGCCAAGGGACCTCAAGCGAGGCGATAGCCCCTCTGGTACCCCCCAGGTACCTCTGGCTGCTGGGGCGCTCCGACCACCGCCAAATCGGCTGCCCACCGCCCTCGTCTCACAGCGCGTGACCCAGCGTCTCCACCTCCTTCTAACAGTCTCGCTCCACACCCACCTCGGCCGGACGCTCGCCCAGCTGCCGCAGCGCCTTCGCCGCCAGACCCCCGTAGCTGCTCTCCCTCCCTTGTCCTCCTGTTCACTGCCTGTGCCACCTGCCACCCGCTGCGCCCAGCATCGAACCACCACCAACCTCACCTTCTTCGCCTGGCCGGGCAAAGCAAAGCAGCGACCGCAACCCTGCGCCCTCCGTTCGTCGCTTCACTCCGTGCAATTCGAGGCCGCGGCACACCCATACTGTTCACGCACCTGCGGCCAGAATCTCCGCCCCATGGACCGGTCGCATGTAGCGACTTCAGATTGATCGACCCGCCATGTCGACTGACATTGACATTGCCAGCGCCGTCGACGCCGAACGTGGCAGCGGACCTGCCACCGCCTCCGCCTCCACCTCGGACGTCGCCGCGCACGACGATGGCGGCCTGTCCAAGGATCAGATCGAGTGCGCCAAGCAGCCTCCGCCCGCATTTCTGCACTCGCCGCCTGACAGCAACGATGCCAACAAGTCGGATGCGAGCGACTCGGAGCTGAGCGACCTCGACGATGAACCCATCCTGGACGACCCCCCTGTCGTCCCGCCCGAACTGCAGTACCGCCCGGAGCCACAACCCCAAGATGCGCAAGACGCGCAAGAGCAGGAGCAGGCCATGGAAGAGGACATCGGCGAGGTGTTGCCGGACCACTGGTCTGGGGCCGTGCCCGTCTTCCGCCCGACCATGGACCAATTCAAGGACTTTCAGCGTTTTGTACGTCGCTCTAGATGGTCTTGATGCCTGCATTAGGTCCTGCTAACACCTCGATCTCTAGATGGAAAAGGTTGATAGCTACGGAATGAAGTCCGGCATCATCAAAGTCATCCCACCACAAGAATGGAAAGATGCCCAGCCTCCTCTCGACGACCTCGTCAAGCACGTTCGGGTGCGCGAGCCCATCAAACAGGACATCATGGGTTCCAACGGGACCTACCGGCAAGTCAACATCTTGCACGGACGCTCGTACAACGTACCTCAGTGGCGACAGCTTTGCGAGCAGAGTGAGCACCAGCCGCCCGCGAGACGCGGCGAGCGCCGAGCCAATGCCGATAAGCCGAAGCCTCCGCGACGCCCTGCCGCCCCCAAGTCGGCGAGCGACCCGTCTACTCCTAAGAAGCGTGGAAAGGGGAGGCCGGCCCGAGGCAAGGGCAAAGCGACGCCGGCAGATGAGGAGGACGAACGGCCCATGACACCAGTCTCACCAAAGGCTGAGCCGCAGACCGGCGAGGAGGTGCCCGTTGACTCTATCGAAAAGGACCCCGCAGAGGACGTCGGTGACAACGATGACACGAAACGCCCGGCGGGCCGAATGGGCGGCTCTAGGCAGGCCAAAGCGAAGACCCAGTCTGTCTCTGCGCGTCGCAAGTACAGCCGCCGCGAAGGCTCGGCAATGATTGACGAGGCCGCTTTCAAAGATTTCGACTATCGCATGGACATTTCCGATTACACGCCCGAGCGGTGTGAGGAACTCGAGAGGGCGTACTGGAAGACGCTGACGTACGCTGCTCCCCTCTACGGTGCCGACATGATGGGAACACTGTTCGACGACAGGACCGACATCTGGAACCTCAACAAGCTCCCCAATCTGCTAGATGTGCTAGGCACCAAGGTCCCTGGAGTCAACACGGCGTATCTGTACCTGGGCATGTGGAAGGCGACTTTTGCCTGGCATCTTGAGGACGTGGACTTGTACAGCATCAACTACCTACATTTCGGCGCCCCGAAGCAGTGGTACAGCATCTCGCAAGCCGATGCTCGCCGGTTCGAAGCAGCGATGAAGAACGTGTGGCCCGCGGACGCCAAAGCTTGCGATCAGTTCCTTCGACACAAAGGCTTCCTCATATCTCCACACCACCTGCTCTCACACTACGGCATCAAGGTCAACAAGGTGGTGTCCTACCCTGGCGAATTCGTCGTCACGTATCCGTACGGGTACCACTCCGGCTACAATCTTGGGTACAATTGTGCCGAGGCGGTCAACTTCGCGCTCGACTCTTGGCTGCCAATGGGCAAGATCGCCAAGAAGTGCGAGTGTGCGCAAGCCCAAGACAGCGTGTGGATCAACGTGTATGAAATTGAGCGCAAGCTACGCGGCGAGGAGACCGAGTACGAGGAAACCGAAGACGAAGATGAGGACGACGAGGACATGTCAGGCCTCCCTACTCCACCCGCTAGCCACGGAGTGAAGTTTAAGGACGGCAGCCGTAAGAGGAAGCGAGGGCCGGGAGGCAAGGACAAGATCAAGGTGAAGAAGGTGAAGCTCCGTCTGAAAACGAGGGCCGAGCCGCCTTGTTGCCTGTGTCCTCACGACATCTCCGGGCTGGAATTGCTGCCCACTGAGGACGGCAGAAAAGCCCATCGACTCTGCGCCCTCTACATGCCCGAAACGTATATCGACAGCGTCGACGACAGCGAAGTGGTGTGCAACGTCAATGGTATCCACAAAGACCGACTCGATCTCAAGTGCCTCCTTTGCCGGTCGAAACGAGGCGCATGCTTCCAGTGCTCACACAACAAGTGTGCCCGAGCGTACCACGCCACATGCGCCGCCGCCGCGGGCTGCTTCGTGGAGGAGCAGGATGTGCCTGTCTTTGGCGAGGACGGTACGGAGTTCAAGGAGCAAGCCTTCGACTTTAGCTGCAGGTTCCACCGAACTCGGCGCGATAAGAAGCACAATGCCGATGTCTTGGAAGCCGACGGCCGTGTTCGTGCTGCGGCAACATCACTGCAGAAAGGCGAGATTCGGCAGTTCCAGTATCTCAAGGGTGAGATCTTTGCCGGCATTGTGGTGGAGAATCGCGAAGAAGATGAGACGGTCCTCATCAACGTCCTTCCTACCAGGTACAGACGGCCACTCTCTTCACTTGGGGAAGTGTTACTGACAAATATAGTGATACCATTGAGGTTCAGTGGAAATGGCTTCTACTCCCTGATCCGGCAGACTATCGGCTTCCGAAGGCATCCGCAAAGGCGATACCCCTACCAGCGTCACGCAAGGCCAAGGACAAGCTCAACACCAAGAGATTGCAGGAGGACAAGCCCAGGAAAGACGACCCATTCGTCGAGGGCTATACCTGGGCCGAATTCCTGGTGGAACCCGTTACGAACGCGAGCCAGGCCAAATTGGACCTTTCGAAGCCGGATCAAATTTGGTACTACCTGGGTAAGACGTCAACCGACGCGAAGGCGCAGTACACCGAAGACCCGACCAAGCCGCGATACAATGCCAAGGGTAACTACCTGGATACTTTGCCTAAGCCCGCAAAGCCTCCCAAGCCCCCGAAGCCAGCAGCTGCTGTCAAACCCGTGGCTAAGGGCCAGCAATATGGCGTAACGGGGAGCTTCCCATACGTGCCAAACCCTGCGAGCGCTCAAGCTGTCGCCGTACGATTCGACAAACCTTACGTATACAAACCGAAGGGCCCGATCGCCCCGCAGCAGCAAGGCCCTGCGACGCACACGGCTCAAAGATTCGCCCTGGGGCAAACGATGCAATCACCCTCTCCATCAACCTACTTTAACCAGAATCACTACGCAGCTGGGCGGGCCTACCAGAACAGTGGCATGTATTCTGTCCAGAGGTTTGAGCCCATGGGCAGCAGCGCCTCACAGACTGGCTCGGCTGCTCCTCAAAAGCATCAATACGCGGGAGTGCCGAATGCACCGCAACCGGCGGTGACACCAGCACAAACATGGCAGCCGCATTCTCCTGCTTCCTATCAGAAGCCTTCACCTGTCCAGCAAAGCCGGCCCAATTGGCAGGTTCATTCGTCAGTGTATCAAAAATACCCGTTCTTCCAGGTCAACCACAACAGGTATGTTGTACTGTTCCAGGCTGGAGCACTGCAGTGCGCTAATCTATTTGTCAGGGACGCTGTTAAGTACCGGACCCCGTACTCACCGTGGGGCGGATTCACGAACGGGTACGAGGGCGACTTGCGAGCGCACCTGATGTCACACCAGAACGACCTGCTGCGAAGGCCGACTTTCAGCTCCATGTCGCCGGGCTTGAATGGATCGCCACTGGCGGTACCCAGATCGCATCACACCCAACACTTCGCGCGTCCCCTTGAACCGTCGCGGCCGCTACCCTCGCCACAGACCCCCAACCCGAACGGACACTCGAATGGCCAGAATGGGTTCAATTCGCTACAGCCAAATGTGCAGCAACAACCAAGTGCTGGCCCTTATAATGGCAGCGTGCAGAATCATCAGCCCATGACGCATCAGCCAACACAAGTGCCAAAGCCGAAGCCGGCTCCAACTCCTAAGTCGTATAAGGTCGGAATGCCCGCTGCCATAGGTCCTGTGCTACAGTCTATGAAGTACTAATGAGCTATACAGATTCCGGCCAAGCAGTCTCCAGTTCCTCTGCCACCTCACATTCTCGCTGCTATGGGCTCGGCGCCTGGAACACCAACGCCGGCTCAGCCGGCAGATGCACCGGCGACTCCAACAAACGAATCCAACAAGATAATCCCACAAGAATCGCCGGGCACCCAAGCATCAGCCTCGCCGACGCCCATTCCAGGTGCCAAGGCGTCCACACGATTGAGGATGTCCACAACGCCGGTGCCTGTCCCAAGAATGCCAGGCATGTCGCCGGCTGCAGCAGCGTCACCTAGCTTGACTCCCAGGGTTGATGGGGCTTCAGTGCCAAGTACCGGGGTATATTGCCCATGTGCTCCGCCCCAAAACCCGACTGCTTCATCCCCGGCGGCGCAGGATGAACAAGCTGCTCGCGTGGACGAAAGAAAGCATCAAGAGTTTGCTGACGTGCCGGGTCGTGGATCCATGGACTTCGTTGAGAGAATGATGGAGAACTTGAAGAAAGCATCGCAACGGGACGGGGCCCAAGGGCCTGATGGAGGAGGAACGGATCGGATAGCATAGACGCGGCGTTGTGCTTTCACACACTGGCACAGGGTGGCGCGTGTGGCTTCAACATGGATTGCTTGAGGTTGGCGTTGGGGTTTCGGTGGCGAAGGACCTTGCTTTCAAGATTCCCCGTTAGAGATTATTCGTTTTGCTTTGGGGTCAACTGCTCCGGAACAGACACCGGGCAGCAGCGAAACTTGTCATGGATTGAAAGCGACGTCTGCTTGTATGATGGATAGGTACCATACCTGGCTGGCCACAGCGCGTTCTTGTGGCCCGGTATCTGTAGGTATACGCAGCGGTGTATGATAAGTGCATTGACTACTCGAAATTCTTGGCCAGTAAAGTTTGACCTCGTTTGGGCTTTGACTCGGTAGCGAGCCCACGAAGAGCAAGTGGCATTTCCTTTGGACACGACCATGGAAGGCTTGCAGCAATGGAGGATTGTATTCATCGCCGGTCGAACACGGCGCGAGAGCTGGGCGCTGCGTGGCAACTACCGGATAATTTTAGAAGCGAGCGTGGTGAAATGAAGTCTTTTCAGGTCTTTATCAGAGCACTCATTTCGGTTGATTCAAGCATAATGAGCGCCCTCTGTGTCTCAGATCCCTTGTGCCGCCTTATGCTGCAAGTTCCTGCGGGGGACACTCCGAAGCGTCGAAGGCGGCACGCGTCGAAGCGATGCCCTATATGCCACGGGGTTTGCTCTGCGTACCCAAACCTCCATGTCGTATGCTCCGATCGGAGACGATTTGGTGACTCCGTGAATGCCGTTCGCAACTGTGTAACAATCTACAGGTGAGACTCAAGTCGCACAGGTCAGCACAGTGTTGGCCAGATGCGGATAGCAACGGTTGTCCAAGCTCCAGAAACTGGGGCCCGTACAGGGGACAGTTGACGCCATCCCGGCGGCCCAGTAAATTGGTAGCGTCGCGCCGGCTTAGTCATCACTTTCGCCCACCAACTCCCGCTCCGAGATCGCGAGCGATGTCGCAAGTTACCCCGAACGCAGTAGCCGATGGAGACGGTTTGAGCGCTGACTGGTGGGTAACGACGGGATTCCAAAGGCCGCAGCCGCTTATTATCATCCATTGCCTTGCCGCGTCACAAAGCTGGTCCTTCTCTTTTTGGCCCGTGATCAATGTCTCGTTCGGCCGCGCAGCAGCTACTGTCGACTCATCTGCGAAGTGCCGCGCCGTCGAGACTGCTGCACGCCAGCGCACTACGGCCAGTCTTTGGGGCTAGATTCTACAGCGAGACCATGAGCGGCAGCGGCAAGCTCAAGCCCGCGGCGCGGGTGTCCGGCCAGAAGCAGGATGTGTGGTAGGTGCCCGCGTGCGCATCACCGACTTGCTGAGGAGTCGGGACAAGTTCCGGTGGCTCACAGAACGACAGGTCCATCATCAACGAGGCGGCCGCGGCGTCGCCCAACCAGCCCATTGTGAACATGGGCCAGGGCTTCTTTGGCTACAACCCGCCGCCCTTCATCCTCGATGCCGCCAAGGACGCTCTGGACCGTGTCGAGTGCAACCAGTACTCGCCCACCAAGGGCCGCCCGCGCCTCAAGAAGGCCATTGCCGACGCCTACTCGCCGTTCTGGGGCCGCAAGATTGATCCAGAGACTGAAGTGACCATCACCACCGGAGCTAACGAGGGTATGCCTCCAGATCCCTTCTAAGATTGTCATGTGCTAGGGGAGTCGTTCCTGACAGGCAGACTACAGGCATGCTTAGTGCCTTCATGGCCTTTATCGAGCCCGGCGACGAAGTTATCATCTTTGAGCCGTTCTTCGACCAGTACGACACCCCTGTGAATTAGACGCACGTAGCTAACTCCGGCGCAGGTACATCAGCAACATTGAAATGCCTGGCGGCAAGATTGTCTACGTACCCATGCATCCGCCCGCCACGGGCGCCACCACCACGTCGTCGGCAGCCGACTGGACTATCGACTTTGACGAGTTGGAGCGGGCCATCACCCCCCGAACGAAGATGATTGTCCTCAACACTCCTCGTAAGTGTCACTTGCCCTCGCCCGTGTGGCGACCACGCAGTATTTTCGCGCAGCGCCTAACCCAAATGTGAAGACAACCCCGTTGGCAAGGTCTATTCCAAGGATGAGCTGCAACGGATCGGTGACCTCTGTGTCAAGAATGAAATCATCATTTTGTCGGACGAGGTCTACGATCGGCTGTACTATGTACCCTTCACGAGAATCTCACGGCTGTCTCCCGAAATCGAGCGACTGACCATCACGGTCGGCTCCGCGGGAAAGAACTTTTACGCCACGGGATGGCGCGTCGGTATGTTGCGAGCTACCAAGGCAAATCCCAGAGCCGTGCCAAGACTGACTCACACCGCCAGGATGGTTGATGGGCCCGGCGGATCTGATCAAGTACGTCTCCGCGGCGCATACTCGCATCTGCTACTCGTCCGTATCCCCCCTGCAAGAAGCATGCGCCGTGGGCTTCGAGCAGGCCGACTCAAAGGGCTTCTGGGATGAGACCATCAAGGACATGAAGGCAAAGATGGATCGCTTCAACGAGGTCTGGGACGAGCTTGGCATGCCCTACTCGGAACCCGAGGGCGGCTACTTTGTCCTGGTCAACATGAAGAAGGTCAAGGTCCCCGAGGACTACCCCTTCCCGCCACACGTGGCGAGCCGGCCGCGCGACTTCAAGCTCGCATGGTTCCTGATCCAAGAGGTGGGCGTGGCGGCGATCCCGCCGACGGAGTTTTACACGGCCAAGAACGCACACATGGCAGAGGACTACATCCGATTCGCGGTCTGCAAGGATGACGATGTGCTGGAGGAGGCCAAGCGCCGGCTGAGGGGTTTGAAGAAGTACATGGAGTACAAGGGGTGAGCGGCGTTCCGTCTCCTTTTCGTCCCATGTGCTTGGTGAGTGGTTTTATTGTCGCGAGAAAGTCAGGAGCTACCTAGACTCGGATAGATTTTGGCCGCTTTCAAGATGACCAAGATTCACCTCGTACGTACCCCAGACTTCCAGGGGTCGGCCCATAGCGGAGGCATCCATCCGTCCCCGTGGGGGAGGGGGCACGCCTGTGTGATTTTCGGCAAGGGATATTGACTAGACTGGTCTAGGCTGAGAGCATGAGACACGCGGAGACCGTGGGAAGCGGTCGTCTTCTAGAATTATACGGAGACGACGAGAAAATGAATCGGATCTGGGCACGGTGCATCGGGGTTGTGGATGGGTCAAGATGCCGGTGGTGGTGGAAGCTGCCGATAGTGGGGACTGTCTGTGGCAGAGGCGTGGCAGAGGCAGGGCGGGAGTCGGAGCCGGCCGATGGAGAGGCAGCCCCTGGAGGGGCATCTGACACCCCGCCGCAGCGCTATTGGAGCGAGTTCCAGCGGGGTAGCACATGGCCCAACAGCTTGGAAACCCCTCTAGGCTGAGCCCCTCCAGTGCCTGCGCCCCGCAAGCATAATTGCAGCGAGGACGCCGCACTGTGCCACGGCCGGACGACCCGCTGCAGATCTGGCGAAGCTGGTGGAGGAGGCAGGTGGGCTCTGCCGTATCTGGCGCGGGATGCGCACCGTGTCGACCTGCCGTGGTTACATATCGACGGCCTGCGGTTGGAGAAGATTGGGGGCACCAGCGCCAAACGCCCTTGATTTGGGGAAACCATCCCCAGCTTGGCCAGCTGCGCCCACATCTAGCCGCATCGTCGCCACCCGGCTAGGACGCCGCCGTCGTCCTTCTCGAGACCCATCCAGGGCCCCTTGGCAGAGATAACAAACCGCAAACCACCATCGACGACCCGAGTACAAAGCCTCGGCCCCGTCCCGCTGCTTCTTCGATTTCGCTTCTTTGCCTTGAACACCTGCTGCCCATTGCTTTCTCTGCTCGCTGCCCCCTTTGCTTCGCTCCTCAACTTTGGCGGTGGCCGCGTGTCTCTCTGTACTCTTGATGCAGACTCGGGCGTAGGCCTTGAGGAGACGAGACAGCCATCCCGCAAAGAAATCATCCGCGGTCGACACATCATGGCTCCAAGCGCCGTGTCTCCCGAGCGGGAGGCCCAGCCGGAGCCGCTGGCGACCCTGACGGCAAAGTTCGACGACACCCTCAGGTTCTACCTGAACGGAACCAAGGTCGTGCTGGACGAGATCGATCCTGAGATCACGGTCCTGGAATACCTCCGCGGCATCGGCCTGACGGGGACAAAGCTGTACGTATTTCCCTCTTCGCGCTCGTCGGGCACTTTCTAATACCCTTGGGCAGCGGTTGCGGTGAAGGCGGCTGCGGCGCGTGCACCATCGTCGTGAGCCAGTACAACCCCACCACCAAGCAGATCTACCATGCCAGCGTGAACGCGTGCCTCGCGCCGCTGGCCAGCCTCGACGGCAAGCACGTCATCACCATCGAGGGCATCGGCAACACTAAGCGGCCGCACCCCACGCAGGAGCGCGTGGCCAAAGGAAACGGCAGCCAGTGCGGCTTCTGCACCCCCGGCATCGTCATGAGCCTGTACGCGCTGCTGCGCAACAACTCTGAGCCCTCGCAGGACGAGATCGAGGAGGCCTTTGATGGCAATCTGTGCCGCTGCACCGGGTACCGGCCCATCTTGGACGCCGCGCAGACTTTCAGTGTGGACAAGTCGCAGCGCGTGCAGAGCAACGGCGGGGGATGCTGCAAGGATGGCAGCAACGGCGCCAACGGAGGTGGTTGCTGCAAGGAGAACGGCACCACCGCCGTGTCCAACGGGACGAACGGGTCGACGGAGGCGAACGGCACCAATGGAAAAGCCGAGTCGAACGGCGTCGACGGCGCCAACGGCGGAGGTTGCTGCATGTCAAACGGCAACGGACCCCCGGCCGGTGGCTGCTGCATGCAGAAGAAGGGTCTCGACGACCAGCCTATCAAACGCTTCACCCCTCCCGGCTTCATCGAGTACAACCCTGACACAGAGCTCATTTTCCCGCCCGCGCTGAAGAAGCACGAGATGCGACCCCTTGCCTTTGGCAACAAGCGCAAGAAGTGGTACCGCCCCGTCACCCTGGACCAGCTCCTCCAGATCAAGAGCGTGTACCCGCAGGCCAAGATCATCGGCGGCAGCACGGAAACTCAGATCGAAATCAAGTTCAAGGCGCTGCAGTATCCGGTGTCTGTCTTTGTCGGCGACATCCCTGAACTCCGGCAGTACGAGTTCAGAGACGATGTCGTTGAGGTTGGTGGCAACGTCATCTTGACCGACCTCGAGGGCATCTGCGAAAAGGCTATCAAGCACTATGGCCACACGCGCGGCCAGGTCTTTGAGGGCATCCTCAAGCAGCTCAAGTACTTTGCGGGACGGCAAATTCGAAACGTCGGCACACCGGCCGGAAACTTGGTTACAGCATCGCCCATTTCTGACTTGAACCCGGCTCTGTGGGGTGCCAACGCGGTTCTGGTTGCCAAGTCAGCAGACAAGGAAACGGAGATTCCGATGAACTCCTTCTTCACAGGCTACCGAAAGACGGCGCTCGCGCAAGACGCCATTATTGCGTCCATCCGGATCCCTGTGACCGCCGCCAAGGGAGAGTTTTACCGATCCTACAAGCAGGCGAAGCGGAAGGATGACGACATCGCCATCGTTACAGGTGCGCTGCGCGTCAAGCTGGACGATGAGGGTGTTGTCTCCGAGTGCAACCTAATCTATGGTGGCATGGCTGCTACCACTGTAGCGGCGAAGACAGCAACAGAGTACCTCATCGGCAGGCGATTCGCAGAATTAGAGACCCTGGAGGGAACAATGAATGCCTTGGGCAAGGACTTCGATATGAAGTTCAGCGTCCCCGGTGGCATGGCCTCCTACCGCAAGGCCTTGGCGTTTGGCTTCTTCTATCGGTTCTACCACGACGTGCTTACCAACCTGGGTGGCCAGAGCGAGCATGTTGACAAGGAGGCCATTGATGAGGTCGAGCGAACACTATCGACGGGCATGGTTGACGAGCAGTCGACCCAAGCCTACGAGCTCGAAGTCACTGGCAAGGCGAACCCCCACCTTGCCGCGCTGAAGCAGACGACTGGTGAGGCGCAATACACCGACGACATCCCTGCCCTGAAGAACGAACTGCACGGCTGCTGGGTCTTGTCGACCAAGCCACACGCCAAGATCTTGTCGATCGACTACTCCAAGGCCCTTGACATGCCTGGGGTGGTCGACTACATCGACAGGAATGACATGCCTTCTGCCGAAGCCAACAAGTTCGGTGCTCCCCACTTTGACGAAGTGTTCTTCGCCGAGGGTGAGGTTCACACTGCGGGCCAGGCCATCGCCATGGTGTTGGCGACGTCAGCACTGAAGGCGCAGGAGGCGGCCAGGGCAGTGAAGATCGAATACGAGGAACTGCCCGCGGTCTTGACCATCGAAGAAGCCGTGGAGCAGGAAAGTTTCCATCCCCTGTACCGCGAAATCAAGAAGGGAGATACCGAGGCTGCCTTCAAGAACTGCGACCACGTCTTCACCGGCACGGTCAGAATGGGCGGCCAAGAGCACTTTTATCTCGAGACCAATGCTTGTCTGGTCGTGCCCAAGACGGAAGATGGCGAGATGGAGATCTTTGCCAGCACACAGAACGCCAATGAGACGTGAGTGCCGACGTTTGCCCTATGTCCAGACGGAAGCTAACAATCAGCAGGCAGGTATTTGCGTCTCGAGTGTGTGAGGTCGCGGCGAACAAGGTCGTCGTGCGTGTCAAGCGACTCGGCGGTGGCTTCGGCGGCAAGGAGACGCGCTCGTGCATCCTCAGCTCCGTGGTCGCGCTGGCAGCCAAGAAGACGGGCAAGCCTGTCCGCTGCATGCTGACGCGAGAGGAGGACATGGTGACGATGGGCCAGCGTCACCCTTTCATGGCGCGCTACAAGGTCGGTGTTAACAAGGACGGCAAGATCCAGGCGCTCGACTGCGACATCTTCAACAACGCCGGCTGGACGTTCGACCTGAGCGCCAGTGTCGTGGAACGTGCCATGACGCATTCCGACGGCTGCTACCACATTCCCAATATCTTTGTCCGCGGCCGATGCTGCCGGACGAACACCATGTCCAACACGGCTTTCCGAGGCTTCGGTGGCCCGCAGGGCATGTTCATCGCTGAGACGTACATGGAAGAGATTGCCGACCGTCTTGCCATCCCCGTCGAGAGGTTGCGAGAGATCAACTTCTACGAGCCGCATGGCATCACGCACTTCAACCAGATGATTGAGGACTGGCACGTGCCCCTCATGTACCAACAGGTGCTGGACGAGTCCATGTACGACGCCCGGAGAACCATGATTACCAAGTTCAACGAGGAGTACAAGTGGCGCAAGAGGGGATTGGCCCTGATCCCGACCAAGTTTGGTATTTCTTTCACGGCGCTGTTCCTCAACCAAGCTGGTGGCCTGGTGCATATCTACCACGACGGGTCGGTCCTGGTGGCCCACGGTGGTACCGAGATGGGCCAGGGCTTGCACACAAAGATGACCATGATTGCTGCCCAGGCGCTCAAAACGCCCCTGGACAACGTCTTCATCTCCGAGACGGCGACCAACACTGTGGCCAACGCGTCCGCGACGGCCGCTTCGGCATCCTCCGACCTGAACGGATATGCCATCTACAACGCCTGCCAGCAGCTCAACGAGCGCCTGGCTCCGTACCGGGAGAAGCTCGGACCCAACGCGACGATGAAGGACCTCGCGCACGCAGCCTACTTTGACCGAGTCAACCTGTCTGCACAAGGCTTCTACAAGACGCCCGAGATCGGGTACACGTGGGGCAAGAACGAGGGCAAGATGTTCTTTTACTTCACGCAGGGCGTGGCGGCCGCCGAGGTCGAGATTGATACCCTGACAGGCACGTGGACGTGCCTTCGGGCAGACGTCAAGATGGACGTGGGGCAGTCAATCAACCCGTCCATCGACTACGGGCAGATCCAAGGCGCCTTCGTGCAGGGCATGGGTCTGTTCACGATGGAGGAGTCGCTCTGGCTCCGAAACGGACCCATGGCGGGCAACCTGTTCACGCGTGGGCCGGGCGCATACAAGATTCCCGGATTCCGGGACATTCCGCAGGAGTTCAACGTGACGCTGCTGAAGGACGTGGAGTGGAAGGAGCTGCGGACGATCCAGCGCAGCCGTGGCGTGGGCGAGCCGCCGCTGTTCCTGGGCAGCGCCGTGTTCTTTGCGATCCGCGACGCGCTCAAGGCCGCGAGAGAGAAGAACGGCGTCAAGGCGGAGGTGGGCGACGACAAGGGGCCCGGCCTGCTGCGGCTGGAGAGTCCCGCCACGCCGGAGAGGATCAGGCTGTCGTGTGAGGATGATATCATGAGGCGGGCGCGGGTGGCGCCGCAGGAAGGCGAGAAGAGCTTCTTTGTGGCCATCTAGGCGACAGTAGCATGAGTAGATGAGCGTTGACTTGACGTACGAAGTACATAGTGTATATATCCCCGGGTTTCTCTTTACTCATGGGTTGCTTTGCATGTGAGGACGTGCTGCCTCTTGAGGCTTAATGCGGCGGTTAGCTTGCCGGATGGAATATCATGCTGCAGGTCAAGTAGAACAAGCCCGGCTTGCCCGTGACAATTCCCCGTGGGCGTGAATTTGCGACGCTTTAGCTGCAAGAACGGTCTCTCGATGTGCGGCGTGGTTGCTGCATCGGGCAAGTGTGATGTTCGGAGCCACGCTCCAACAGTCCGTATGTATGTATTGAAGTCGTTGAGAGGCCGTTGGGTCACTGGTCGTGACAGGGCAGGCAAGCCGTGATTTCCCGAGCCCCCGTCCGTGAGCACCCGCATGGCTTGGCGGATCCCCAGGGGCGGCGGCGGCGGCGGCGGCGCAGGTGCATGGATGCATGTCTCTCGGCCACTGCGCGCGTGCGTGCGCTTGGCGACGGCGGGCGCTCGCGTGTCTGACACGGGGGGAAAGGCACTTCAGGGCAACGCAGCACTTATGACGTCGCATCGCATGCCTAGACATGGGCTCTTGCGCTTGCTTTCCATCCATGCGCCTGCGTTTCTCTTTCACATGGGAGAAGAGGAGGAGGAGAGAAAAAAGCATGTGGAGGTGTAGGGTAACTACCCGCTCCGGGCAACTTTCTGGGGACCGGGGGCGGGAGCGGAGGGGAATTGCAGCGGACTGGGGGGGATACCTGGAGGGGATGGATGGCAACCTCGCTCTCGGTGACAGGGGGGAGGATTGACAATTGGGGGGTTCTTGTTGGCTGCATGCGGATCCTCGGCTTGCGTCCAAAGTTGCTCAGTCAGTGTCGCGCCGCTGGGCCGATGGACGATGCGCCGGATGGACGACCTCTCGCAATTGCTGGCTGTGCCGGTCTGCTGCAGCAGGCACGAGCGCAGGTGCTCGCCCTGTTGCCTGCCTGCCTGCCTGCCTTCCCGGTCTCTTCCAAATTCTCCCCGGGCGCCCGCTCTGGCTCCCCGGTTTCTTCGCCTTCTGTCCATTCGTTCGCGCGCCGTCGTCTGTCTAGCCCCGCAGCCGGCGGGCGCCCGCGCGCTCCACCGGTGGGCGACTGGCTGGCTGGCTGGCAAGCAAGCAAGCAGCAAGGAAGAAGCGAAGCCCTGTGCCTGCGCCAGTGCCAGGCCAGGACGCCGGGTTGGGTACTCGGCACAGAGTACGAAGTACGACGTGCGAGTACTCGTCGTGATGGGGGGCCCTTTCGTACTTTGCACCTCCTGTTTCCCGGAGGCGTAGTCTGTACTGCATGTACTCCGTACTTGGTGCCATGTCCCGGGTCGTGCCTTCCGAGTCGACCCCCTCCCCCGCAACTGCGCGCGTGAGCTACAGCCAAAGCAGGACGAAGCCTTATTTGTGTGAGTTGGGGAGGGGGCAGGAGCGATCCCGCCGTGCGGCGCATTTATAAGTGGGTTAAGCCTATGTATTGCGGAGCGGTACAGCGCATTGCAGGCGCGACCCAGGCCTGAGGTGGCCGCCCCGGCCGACTAACCTGGAAGGCAAGGCAGGTACTGTACATGGTCTTGCCTCAGCACGCTATAACGTACCAAGCCCAAGTAGCCGCCGAATACGCCTAGCACGCAGCCAAGTACGTACTCGCGCGTCCAAGCCAAATCCAAACGTAAAACTCCAAGAGCCAGCTCCTCCCCGTCCCAGCCTCACACTCACGCCGAGTCAGCCTCTGTCTCCTCTTCCACCGACAGGCCGCCGGACGTTTGTTTGCGCTCTCGCCCCTCCCAACTCGCTGCGGGCGGCGCCTTCACGCTGTCCGACGACTTCTGCAACCACCCGGCCCCGTCGCAAGCGCACGCACGAGCTGTGCGCCGGCAGCGATCCCCACAGTCCGGCAACCGGAATTGACGACAACGACGCCGCCGAGGAGCGCCCCCCTCGCTAGACCTAGAGCACGCACACACACACGCGCGCGCGCGCACGCACGCATTGGCCCGGAAGACGCAGACCTTCGCCATGCGCCATTGCCCGTAGCCACGCATCGAAGCGCCCCCTAGGAACGAAACACCGAAGCGAGGCAGGCTTGGCGCGAGGTCGCCGGCAGAGTGGACGGACGGACGACGAAAACGCCGCGGGCCCGGCAGACGACCAACTACCCGCGCGACACCGAGCGCCGCTTCCCCCCCCTCTGCGTAACATCGCCGAGATACCGAACTGGCACTGGACGGGCCAGGCCCAATGGGAGCACGGCGCTGGACGTGAGCGAGTGAGCGAGTGAGCACCGGAATCATCGGCCGCGCCGCGTTGCGCTGCGTGACGCTGCTGCCATGGACAAGGACGGCGCCGGCGCCGGAGGCAAGGTCGTCGCCGACCGTGTAAGGCTGGACAAGACGGCTGCGATGGAGGGCAACCACGTCCACGACGACAAGGACGCCACGAGGACAAGCGCCGAGGGCGCAACCGGCCAAGCGCACTCCGGCAAGAGCCCCAAGAAGAGGCGCAAGGTCAATCATGGTATGCAGAGCTTGCACATCCCCCTCAAAGTCGCTGCCGTGATGTGCTTGGGGTGCGAGGGGGCCCGTGGCCACAGCATCTGTCCCCAGGCCCGCGGGAGCCCGCAGAATGCCATCGGCAACCTGCTCTCCTCGCCTCCAGGCACTCACCGGCGCGGCGAATCTTACTGGAATGGTGGGCTGACACTCACGGCTGCTTGCCGGAATAGCTTGCGTTTATTGCAGACGATCTGTAAGTCTTGTCCGACGTCTCCAGCACGATGGCGCATTGCAGGCGCAAACGAGGATCATGGATCCATAGAGGACCGCCCCAAATCCCCAAGCGCCATCTCGTTGGTGTGCACATGGCTAATCAGGCTGCTTCTCTTCATCGCTCTACAGCATATGACTTGCGATCTTGTACGTACATATGAAACCATCGCTGGGGAGGACCGGCCGACCTCGTGCGCGTGGCAGCATGCACCGGCCGGGGCGGCCGTGTCCCACCAGCCGTCCGCCATTCTTTGCACTGTACACAACCTAACGCCGTGGATAGGAGAGACCATGCACGCGATGCATTAAACGGAACATTGGCCATCTCTGCCATGACGAGCCCCGTGAAGGCGACACCAAGAAGCTCAAGAACGGCAAGCCTGTGACCAGCGCCGCGTCCGTCGACGATTCGGACGCTCAGACGCCTTCAGACGTTGCCCGGGCCTCCGTCTCTAGCACCATGGGTCCGCCTCCCGCGTTTGACGGCACGAGGCAGCGTTCCTCGAGCGGGTTCAGCGGCGGTGGTGTGATCGGCCAGGCAGACCCGTTGTCACTTGTGCAACAAGGCGGCGGGACGGGTATGCAAGGAAACGGGCTGAACAGCAGCGCGACCGGTAACGCGAATCAATGTACGTGCGCTCCATGTTGAGCGTCAGACCGCCGTTTGCTGGCGTGTCTGTCTGCTAATCCGCTTTACCCGGCTCCTCCCCTACCCCGTTGGCCAAGTTCGGTCAGATATCACAAGCGTACGAGCTGACTTTTGTCCAGTTGCTGGCTTCTCGGACGCGTGGTTGACGGCTCAAAACTTCAATGAGATGAACAGCTACAACCCCAACTACATGATCGGGCCTCACGTCACGCACGAATTCAACCTGTTGAACGACTTCCTCCATAGCGGGCTTTTGGATGACAGCGGAGCTTTGGCAGCAGACGAGACGCCGCAAAACAGTGCCTTCACCAGAACAGCAAACCAGGCGGACATGTTGCCCGGGTACGGCAACAGAACCGGCGCTCCGGCCGGCAGTGCCGGGTCCAATGCTGGCTCTATGCCGCCGCCGCCGAACGTTGACGGGAAGAGTGGAGCCAGAACGGCGACGGACAAGACGCGCGAGTACTACCTTCAAGCTGCTGATCCGTCTGGCAACGACAATGCCGAGGAGCGAATGGCCCGTGTGCTTAGGGCCAAGTACGATGCCGGGCTGCTGAGGCCGTTCAATTACATCAACGGCTACGCTCGCCTCGGAAAGTACCTCGACGGCCATATCGCACCGTCGTCCAAGCAGAAGATTCTGAGGACGATTAATCAATTCAGGCCCAAGTTCCGGGAGAAGGCGCAGGGCCTCACGGACATGCAGCTTATATACGTTGAAATGTGGTTTGAGAAGCAGCTGATGGATTACGACCGCGTCTTCGCCAGCATGGCGGTGCCGGCATGCTGCTGGCGGAGGACGGGGGAGATATTCAGGGGTAACAAGGAGATGGCGGAGCTCATCAACGTTCCAGTGGACCAGCTACGAGACGTGAGTATCCCCGGGTGTCGTGGCCTTGCGCTCTCGGCTTGTGCTGATTGGCGACTAGGGCAAAATCGCTCTGCACGAGATTCTGACCGAAGAGTCCATGGTCCGTTACTGGGAGGAGTTTGGGACGATTGCGTTCGACCCGGCCCACGAGACGCTTTTGACAGCCTGCTCCCTCAAGAACCCTAGCGACACGTCGGACCATCCGATTGTGAAGTGCTGCTTCTCTTTTACGATTCGCCGAGACGAACATAAACTGTGAGTGGCCGGTCCTCTCTTGATGAGTCTTGGCGATAAGACACGGAGAGAGCACCCCCGCTGACAAGAACGAAACGCAGGCCGGCGCTGATTGTGGGAAACTTCTTGCCTCACGACCCACCCCCGAACTAGGTTTCCCGATCTTTTGCATTTGGTGACGGAAAAAGGCATGTCTGGTGACTTGGACTGGGCATGAAGGCGTATGTATGGTCTGGGGGAGTCGGGGTCGGTCGAATCTATTCTGTATCCGTCGTATATGAATGCCCATGCACATGTGTGATTGAGCCACTGTTTTCTTAAGTCGTTGTGCTCGTATCTGTGTCTGTGTCTGCCACTGTCTCTGTCAAATGGTGCGTATTTTCATGGCCTGGGAGGGAAGGCACGCCGCTGAGCCCACAAGGTGAAGTCGAGGCAGGTGCGGACGACGACGCGCGTGGCACCGCTTTGCTTGCTTCGCCTTTCTCGCTGCTCGGCCACCCACCCGAATGCCACGACCTGCTTCGAGGAAACCCTGCTAGGCTGGCGAGACACTCAACATGACGCCCGTTGACCCTGTTGCTGCTGGTCGCGAGCGCAAGATTCGTTCAGTCATCGGTACGCTGACAGAGTCCTGCCCCTTCAGGGACCCATACTCACCTGCTCCCTGGGGCGACAGATTTTGCCAGAAGTCTCCAGTCGAAGCTTCCAGAGACGCGCGATGCCGCCGCCGTCGAAGCGCTCATCGCAGATCTGAGCCGCTACATCCAGACCATCGAGGGCCTCTCCCGACAGGGCAGCCCCGCGGTCCCGAGACGCATCGCCAAGGACCTGGAGCACCAGGGCAGAGACCTGTGGAACCTCTGCATCCGGACCAGGCGTGACATACCGAGCGCATCACCGCCTACAAGCCCGCAGATCAAGTTACTAGTGCGGGCGAGGTTGTTCAGCTTTCTCGTCTTGGAGACAGGGCGCCGAGCGGCCGGCAGGGGGAAGAAGCAGCATGGCGCCGGCTCGGAGGCGGCGTACCTGCTGAAGCTGGCTTTGGCCCTGGGAAGAATATGCATTGGAGACGAGGATTTGGACTCGGCGCGCCTGGCGTTGCAAAAGGCAGCCGAGTACGTGGGCCAGACGAAGGCAGATACCAAGGCGGGTGACGCCAGTGGCACCGAGGCCCTCGCAACGAAACTCGAGGCGGAATACCTCAGCATGCGGATGGCATTGGTGCGCATTTCACCCCCCAAAAACGGGTAGCTGCTATTAACCACTGGTCAGTCGTGGAAAGAGGACTGCCTCGATGTCGCCGAGCACATGTACTCCAAAACGGAATCTCTTTTGCAAAGCCTCGACGTCTCATCCGCCGAAACCATGTCCGATACGATTTATCGCATTGCCAACGACTTGTGCGAGAGAAGGAATTTCGACTTGGCACTGAAGTGGTTCAAGCGAACGCATGCCATTGTCCATACCCAGGACCTAGAGAAGCTGTCAATGCATGGCTTGGAGCTGCGCCTCGCCGCCTTCCACGGCAGAGTTCAGAGCCTGCTGGGGATTGGGTCAGCCGACTCTCTTCAAGAGGCCAGCGATCTCGTCGCCTACGTCGAGTCCGAGATTGGGGACAAGCCCGTGGTTCTTCGCTGGCGGCTGGAAATCCTTCAGCACACTCCGGGTGAGGTCTTCGACGCTGAGGCCTACGCTAGCGCACTGCGTCGGATGATTCAGTGCTTTGACTTTGCGGATGAGACCTTGGAATATTTACTTCATCACATCAGGCAGCTTCGTGAGAAGAACTCGCGGTTGGCCGTGAGACTATTGGATGAACTGGCGGAGCAGCATATCGTGAAGAGCGGGAACACAGAATGGATCAGCAAAGTTGTCGTGAGGCGAATACTGATGGCAACGATGGCACCAACTTCCACAGAGTCTCTTGATGCACTCGGCAATTTCTTGGACCAGGTACACGATGCCCTTTCGGGCCCCGTCGGCTCCGCACCAGCTGGCGCGGCGCAGTCTGTAAGATGACGGAGCCCGCGACTTTATCCAGCTAACATTCAGAGCAGATTCTATGGAAGAAAATGGAGTCGTCTGTTTCCAAGGAGAGATTTACGGCGGCGGACGCGTGGGGTGCAGTCGCCCTGCATCCAGTCTTCAACAGCTGTGACGAGTCCAACAAGGCCAAGTTCAGTCGGAGACGGATCCAGTATGCCATTCGGTTGAACGACCCAGAGAGAGCTAGAGCAGCGTTTCAAGGTATGAAGGACGGACAGAGGGATGAGCCGCTAACGAGGTACCTCATGTTCAAGGTTGCGCTTCTCAGCTGGGATCATGAGCTGGGATGCGAGTGCATTGAACGCCTTAGTCGAAACTCAGACAAGGACAGAACCCGAGACATATTGTATGCCTGCGTCCGGGAGGCACAACAAGTTGGAGACAAAATCTGCACCTTGGCAGCGCTCAAATCAGTCGCGCAAAGCTGGGCCTGCGGCACGAAATTGTCGAGCAGCTTTCCCTCCATCTTGCGTTGCACTATTCGACTTATACGGATGATCCAGGAGGACAGCGCCGCTACCGATGATGAGGGCCGCGAGGACGACTTTGCGGGAGACCTTTGTGATGTCTTTGAAAAAGGTACGCCAGCCTGTGGCACGATTTACCAGTCTACTCACATCATTAGCTGCTGAGTATGCGAGACAGCACCCGAAAGACGACCAAGGAAAGAAGATCTTCACGATCCCTGAGCTCCACTGGTTTCGGAAGAACTCGTACAACATTGGTGCGACCGAGTGCGACAAGTGGGAGCCGCAGTGCATAGTCCGCATCTTTGCCGCCTGTGTGACGTATATCGGCTGCTATCCGGAAGATATTCCCTTGGGGGATATTGCGGAGCTGACGCTGATGGGCATGCGCTGCCATTTTGTCATCGCCGCGGCTTCGGTTGCGCTTGCGCGGGCGGAAAACAGAGTCGACGAGCAGCTCCAGCGATATCTCGAGACGAGACATCACGTTGCCGCGTTCGATGCCTTGTCTCAAAGGGATATCGGCCCTCAAGGTGAGGATATCGTAGCGGACTTGCTGGCCAAGATGGCCACGCTGTCCGTATTTGACTTTGAGAGTGCCGTGGCACTGAAGGCATGGGACGACCTAAACACCATCGTCAGGAAGGCCGAGGCGTGCAGAGACGAAGTAGCGTACAAGGCCATGGGGGATTGCCTGCTGCGGAGCCACGCCCCGGGCAGAGGTATGTATTGTATCCTGGCGGAGAGCCCGTCCGTCCGTCACACGAGGTGGCTTGGCGCGTGATACTCACACGCGCGTTGTACACGCCTAGTCCTATACGCGGCCATGCGGCTCATCGTCAACGAAATCTTCGAGCTCGAGAACTTTGACAGCGCCAGGCTGGCCAAGTACATGCGCTGCATCTTCCAGGCCGTCTTGCCGACCGACGACGGCCTTGCTTTGCAGTTGCTGGACCAGGCGCTGCAGCTCGCCCGCGAGGGCGCCCAGGTATGTTCGCGCGCGCGTGTGCTTGCACGGCCTCGTGCCGGGCCTCGTCATCCGTGTAAACGACGTGCCTGCTTACGCTGAGGTTAGATGCGCACGCCTTTCCCCGCGCTGGAGCTGGAATGGCTTGTGGCCTCGACGTTCAACCACGCCGTCGACCACTACGCACGCGGCGAGGAGGCCAGTTGCCACAAGTGGGCGCTCAAGGCCATGGACCTGGCGGAGTACGTCGACGACAAGGGCGCGCTGGCGGCTACTCTGCAGGACAGGTTTGCCCGGCTGCGGTTCGAAGACCACCGCCCGAATCCAATGTGACGCTGCTCGAGGAGGCACAGAAGCTACTTTGGGTCTTTTCATCACTTTGACCAGGCTCCTCCGGACAAGGCAAGCCAGATAGAGGGCGACACGTTTTCAGCGACTTATAGCTGTGCGGCGATAATGGGCGTTACTCATTGAAATTTGGGATGCGGCTCTATGCTTCAAGACGTGACTCGATACATCATAAAATATGAAAGCGGCAGCAAAATTCAAAGCAAGATGCCCGTTCCGTGGCGTCCCGGGCCATGCATGCGAGGAGGCTGGTGATTGCGAGTCGCACAAGAAGAAACATCCCCCCGCCCTGAACACGAACCCCCTTGCACACACATACACCACGACCATCCCCCGGCGCCCGAGTTTGAGTGTGTGAGGCGGGAGCAAGGCCACAGGATATAGTAGCAAGGGGCGCGGGGGAGGGAAAATGAGAGAGAAGAGAGAGAGAAAGCAAAAACGGCCACTCCGATCCTGACCCGTGGTATCTCCAAGCTCTGGTATGCCCCATCCAGAATGACAAAACTTAAAGTAAAAAGGAAAGAGGACGGATGAAAAGTAGAATATGTGAGAAAGCTCTCTAACCCAGGGTAGACAGCAGCAGGGCCGGGGAGGCGGGCGAGACCGAGGTCCGCAAAAGGAGGCCAGGGGTTTCGCCCGGTACAGAAACCCACCCCGCTCAAATGATGTTGGCGATGCTGATGCGCTCGGCACCCCTCTTGACAACTGGATTCGACGTTGGGCTGCCCGAAGGCGGGGCCCTGGCCTCGGTCGCGAATCTAGGTGCGTCTGACAGGCGCTGGATCTCGACGGCTGCCACGGGAGACTCGCTCTTGACCTGCGGTGGAGGCAGAGGTGTCCACGTGGTGGTGGCCGTGGTAGCGCTGCCAGCCAGCCCTCGGGCGGCCGCCTCGAGACGTGCCCAGCCGCCCCATTCCCTGCGCTCCTCCTCCGTCAAGCCGGTCCGGAGCTCTGAACTGAAGAGCCCGTTCTCACTTGCGCCGCCGGACGCGGTGCTCGACTTCGGCGGAGGCGGCTCGTTGTCCTGCACCACCCAAAGCCACGACCGCTGTGGTGACGCCTGTTGATCAGCCGAAACGTATGCGAGGAGCTCTTCGTCGCGGGTCAAGGAGGTGAGGAGTGCCGCGTGGTCGACCGAGGACCGTCGTGAGAGGTAGTTGGCGTGCTCCGCCCGCTTCGCGACCAACGTGGATATGAAAAAGGACAGATAGCGTCCGCACGACAGGGTGATGTCTCGTCGAGCGTCAATAGCCGCGAGGGCTCTGATGAGCGTGGTCGCATGGTCGAGGTAGCCGGCCAGAAGCAGGAACAGCGTCGAACGGAAAATATGCGTCGTAAGCAGAGCCGTTGCACCGTCAGCTGGGGATTTAGTTCGACTGATGAGCGACGCCGTCTCGAGGGCAACGTGAGTGCAGTTCTCAATGGCGGCGAAACGAACTTCGGGCGAACAGCTCGGTGACAAGTTGTGTCGATGGACAAGGAGCCTCGCATGGAAAAGGTAGGCCAGCGGAGCTAGAAAGTGCGGTGCCAGCGCCACGGTGTTACTGGGATCACAGGCCGGCGGGAAGGTGCTCAGGCACTTCTTGAAATGCCCGTCAAACATGGCCAATTGGCCGGCGGAGAGCCCCGGCGCATCCATCGATCTGATCAAGGACGTGTACGACCGCACGACGTGGATAATGGCAAGGAGGGAATGGGTCAGCGGCTCGGCCCCGTTCGGGACTCGCATTCCATCCTCTCGAAGGTACTGGTCGTCCACAGCGGCCGGAAGAGACACGTCGCAGTCCGCATCGTCGATGAGAAAAGGGTGCCCCATCTCTGTAGCCATGGTTCTGTCGAGGATGTAAATGGACCACCATGTCCGTCGCCGCATTTCGCCCTCGATGACGGGCCAGGAGCCCGACTCAGAGTAGAGGCCAAGATCCTGCCCAACGCGGACGGCATTGCCAAGCCAATTCCAAGCAGCGGACTTCAAGTTCATCTCGCTGAGACACAGAGCGATGAGCACGAGGGCACGCGCGTTGTCGAGCGTTTGGTGATTGTTCCAGGGATCCATGACTTTTCGGGCAGACTCTAAAAGCTCGGCTGGCCGGTAGAAGGTGGTGGTGGTGGGCGGTTCGGGGCTGAACAGACTGCCTGCCGCAAGAACCGCGAAGAAGAGTGATATCCAGGCTGAGGATACCCGCTGAGGATTCGACCTGTACAAGTCGTCGACCATGGCCTGGAATGTCGGCATATGGACGATCGGGAACATTGTGTGTGCAGAGTTGCAATACGAATGCAAAAGCCGATCCACAACGGACTGGGGCGGAAGCTCTGGCGTTGGGCAGTCGAGGATTGTCGGCGGAGGCTGGCGATGCTGTGCTGGTGGTTTCCAGATCCCTTTGGAGAGGCTGCGAACGCTTGCCCGCGCCCGCGCCAGCTCTGGGTTGGGAGGGTGTCGTCTGCGTTGCTTCGGCTCGGACCCTATCGGGGGTAATTGGGCGAGTTGTCGATCTGCGGGTTCCATTTCCATGTCCATGGGACCCTCCCTTTCCCCGAGGATCCTGCGCAAGTTGGAGTTGTCGCGCTTCACCCTCTCGATTTGCTTCTCCAGGTCCTGGACCTGCTTGATCGACGACATCCTCCGGTTCGTCTCCTTGGTAAACTGGCACTTGACGTTTCTGCTAGAGCATTCCGAGCAACTGGTGGTCTCGGTGGCGTCACACTTGACCTTTCTCTCCCGGCACGCGTCGCAGCTGGGGTCCTTGCGACGTTGGCGATATGCCCTCTTCTGTCCCTGGCTGCCGGGCGTCCCGGGCAAGTGACCGTGGCCGACCCCCTGGCCGCTCATGACTGAGTCGGTCGAGGCGAGAGACTCGCGCCCGAGTACCGAGCTAGACATGGACGCGTACGGGGGGAAGCCTTGGTTGACAGGAGGCAGTGACGGCATGCCAATGGGTTGGGGACTCGGCGCCGCGTTGGGCCGCGCGCTCGTGCCCAGAAGCCCGCCCAGATACCGAGATGGTGGCCGCGGCGACGTAGCAGAAGAGACTGACGAGGAGTCGTATGACCTTGTGGATGGGTTGGGAGATCGGGCGTATGGGTTGTGCGACGATTCGGCCGCCATGGCTAGGGCAACCTGTCTCGAGGGGCCAGCCTCCTTTGCGCCGCGGAGAGGTTAGCCTATCCGGCGAGCGAGGACACCGCAAGCCACGAATCTGGCGGCGGATGCCGTACGGTGCCGAGACGCTCGCGCGGAGTGCAACCGTCGCCGGCTGTTGCGATGACGGTGACCGAGGGGCAGAACGTCGAGCGGAAGGAGAGTTGTGAGTATTCGAATCCACACAAGGCGGATGCTCAAACACCGCGACGTGTAACGAATCTCGCTTCTTCCGCCAGACTCGTGTCGAAAACCAATCCAAAAGCTCGATCTGGTGGCTCTTGAAGTCGGGTAGGGGCCAGTCAAAATCGGATCACGTCGATGAGCGTCGTATCTGGTCGTGCCGCAGCCCCCGTGCTACTCGACCCTGCTAAGATTCCAGAGACGCGGTTGCCGTAGCCAGATTAGAATGCGCCGCAGAGCCCTGGTGGCGATGTTCCAGAGGGCGTTGGTGGCTCGTCGGCGTGGGCGTGCTGGCCACCACGCGAGCGATGGCAAGAAGTCGCGGCACAAAGACTCGTCTCGCCTCCTCACAGTCCAAACGACATGAACCCCGTAAGATGCTGCAGCAAGGCAGACGGCGGTAGCGTCCGCGGGAAATGGGAGCCTGCCGCAACGCTGGCCTGGAAGCTGCGGTGCGGTGCAGTGCGGTGCGGTGCGGAGCGGACCCTCGTTGAGATGCCGGGTCAAACGCGCGGCCAGTCAACGACAGCTTCAAGTCGGTCGGTTATAGCCGCAGAGAGCGAGCGGGAGCAGCTCCGCGAGGAACGATAAAGATTGGGTTCAACTTGTGCGTAAGGAGCTGCCCCCCGGACATGTCCAAAGCATAAGGAATGGTATGGTTTGTCCTGGTCTCGGGTCGCGGCAGCAAAGGTCAGCAGCAGCAGCGCTCGCCCGTGATCAGCTGGGGCTCTCCGCGCATTAAAGCAAATTCGGGGAATATTGTTTGGATAGTATGGACATGGGGCTATGGGGTGGGAAACGTCGACGGAACCCTGGGACAATTTTGGGTGGACTGGGGCGGTTGAGATCAGCCAAAGCCACTAACGTGTTTCGTCGACGGCTGGGATCTTCGGGGCATGTCATTCATTCATCGCTTTGCCATCAGCCAGCAAGGCAGGCTGCTGCCGAAGCCATGCTGCTGTGCTGGAGGCCGGCGAGCCGGGTACTGCATCGCAGGTACCTCCCTCTCCTTGTCCAGTACCGTATCCCTGCCACGACTCAATCGGGGGGTGGAGGGGGGGCGTGTTTTGGGTGTGCCGCCCTCGCTCGTCCTTGGACCCGTCGTGGGGCGCCGTCGTCGTTGTGGTGGATGGTCGAGGCACGATCGATTTGACCTGCTGCTGCTCCGACTGCCGCCACCACCACCGCCGCCGCCGCCGTGAGCCACCTTGGATCTCGCACGTACTTGGCTGTACACCCTCTAGCGGCCGACGCGGTTGGCTTGCTCTGCTCCGGGTCACTGGCGCTGTTGGGCGCGGCGCCGTCCCTTGTATCGCGGACGGTGCCGGAGCCGGCGCCTGCGCCTGTGTCGACGGCGCAACAGAGGCAGCAGACGGACCAGCCTGGCCGTCCAACTGGGGGGGCAGCCCCTACGAGCCCGCTGCCCCTTCCATGCTCCACCTGCTGCTAAAAGATGATGAGCGACACACAGCCCGCAAGTGGTAGCCTGCCCGTCTCGTAGCATATGTGCACGTATGTGTGGCGGCCGGCAGCATCCCCTCGGGGGCCCTCACAAGCCTCACCAGGCGCGCGTGCCATGCCGGCCAGCTAACGTTAGTGGGCGCCCTGGCCGCCCCTGGACGAGTGGGAGTTGAGCGCCGGCGACGGCGCCGTGGGCCCAGGGCTCATGTGCAGCGTTCAGAATGCTCGGTCTGCCGTCGACTGCGGTCGGCATCCGGCTCCCGGATGGCTCGCCCAGTCTCTTCGTGTATCGCAAGCAGGGCCGGCCATGCAGCGCCAGTCAGCGGGGAGCACAAACTATCCCCTCGACCGATCATGCCAAGCTTTGCTCGGCATGTGGCTACCGCTGGGTCCAAGGCGCCTATTTCTGGATATGATGTGCACGCAAGAAGCAGGGTGCAGCAACTGCCCGTTCGAGTCGAGGAGGTCCAGCGACTTCGTGGCAAGACCTGTTACGGCGGTGCGCGCCAAGAAGCGTCCTGCTCGACCCGTCCGTGGCGATGTCCATCCGTTAGTTGCTCTGCAGAATGAAGACCACGTACTTTGCACGGCTGAGAATGCATCCTCCCCGCGGACCAGCAGCACCAGAACGCTTGGTGATCGGCCGCCTGGACTGTGTAGCACATGTCTGATGGGCATCGTCCGCCATTATCGACCGTCGAGAGCAAGATACCAGTAGCAGCATCCGACCGAGGTGCTCACGGCGCCAGCAGCTGACCAGGACTGCTTGTGCAGCAAGCATGCGCAGTACTCTCGACTAGCGAATGGGTCGCTGAAGCGCCGCCGGCCCACTCTACGCAGAACGGACGCCATGAAAAGGACGCACGTTGGGTGGCCGTGCTGGAGCGGCAGCAGCTTTGCCTGGGTCCCAGAACAGACTCGGCGGGCAAAGGTGAGGCTCAACTGACCTGAGGAGGGCTGCACAGCCTCCGGGGACGGGATATTGCAGTCATGGCGCCTTGGGCGCAATGGCTCTGGTCAGAAAGACATTGCCGCCTGCCGCCGACTTGGCGACTCGTCGACACTTGAGAGCCAAGGCTGTTCTGCGTCGCTATAACTTAGATCCACAATGGGACCCAGGACCGGTAGGCAAGCAAACGGACTGTGTGTCCTCGTGCATGGCAGCTGCACGTCGACATTGTCTCCAACGGGCTCGACTCGACTGGTGCTGCTTGTTCGAACGACGAGGCACCCCGACATCAGCCTGGAAGCATGGCACTCGTTGAGCATGACTACACTTGACCCTTTTCAGAGCGTTCTCCGGGATCCCACCAGGCGTCGCCGAGGGCGTCTGGTGCCGCCCTGCGAGATGGCATTGCCAGAATCAGGATGGACGGCGAGGGCTCGCTCACTGCATGTACCTCGAGGCTTGCCAAGGGCTCGAGTTAGCTTGTGCCCGCCGAATGTGTGGACCAGGATGCCACCCCTCCGCGTGCGCGCCAATGGCACGGCAGTATCCGTGACAGAAGGAGGAGGAGGTGACGAGTCCCCTCAGGGTCATTTAGGGTGGGGAATTCGGTTTGGAGCCGAGTGAACCGCCGGAACAAGGCCCTTGTCTGGACGGATGGAACTGATCTCGATGGTGCTTCCTCCCCTTCTGGCGCCACAAAACGCACGGCGAGCCCAGGGCTGCCAGGCTGGCAAACGGGCAAAACCCACGATGCGCCTCCGGGCGTGCATGTCGTACATGCACGCACAGGCGGTAGGTGCGCCTCTGCGCCATGTCGCCCGTCCATATCCTTTGGTGCAGACAGGGCTGGCCGCTTCGCAGGCGTCGGGAACGGGCAACCGACAGGTGTCGTCCACTTGTCCTTGCATGGGTTGATGGGCTGTGGCGCTTGCCCTGCTGGCGTCCCGTTAACCTGATGCTTGTCTCGTGGAGCGACTGTTTAGCCCGGGCGCCATCCAGTCACGACGCTCAGCGAAGGGCCGCAATGGGAGCGGAGGTCGCTGATCTGAGATGCGCTGTCGCTGGTAGCCAAAGACCTCGGCTGAAAATGGCGCCGGGTGACGGGACGACGTTGCTTGGCTCAGCGAGACCCTGGACGGGACCGACAGATGACAGGGTTGCAACGGCTGGGAACGGACGGGCCGTTGACTTGGGCTGGCTAACATTGCGTCGTTCCATGGGCTGGCTTGCTGCCCTCGTGTCGTCGTTGGAGGCGGCATGCACAGCCGTCTCGTCGAGGACCGAGAGCAACGACGGCGTGATGGCACGCGCGATGCGGATGCGACATTGTGTGCGTGCTCGTGGGGTACAGTAGCATGACTTGCGGCGAGTACGAGACGCGCCGTGCCTGTAACTTGTAAGGCATGGGATGCGCCGTGCTCTTCATTTCTGTGCTCGTGGGGCCGGGGACAGGGGCCCATGGATGCCCGTCTTGTGCGGCTTTTGGCCCGGCTCGCTGGTTGTCGAGCGAGTCAACTCACTTCACTCGTCCGCTCTGCCAGTGCAATGCAGTGGCAACGGGCCGGGTACTGACTGTTACTGCGCCGTACTGCGTCCACTGACGGGCATCCCTGAAGATGGGCGGCTGTTGGACCCCACGATCGTGGAGACGGAGACGGAGACGGAGACGGCGACGCAAAACGAGACGGGGACCCCCCATCGGCAGGCAGCGAACGATGCGTCGGAAACGAATACAGCACATCGGTACGGGCGAGGTACAGTACATCCATGCAGACGACCATGCATGAAGACGTGCAGTCGAGATACAGTGCAGCGCGGTGCAGTGCGGCACAGGATGCGCGCGCCACCGGACGGAGCTAGCCGTGAGGGTCGGTTTGTGGAGGTTGTCGACGACGTGGAGGGCTGCTGTATGTGTGTGTCGAGTCTGGACGACGGCGCGGCGCAACCACGTCGGTGCAACGTGTGCCTCAGAGGCTCCGGACGACCTGACTGGTACGGTATGGCGCTGTGCCAAATCTTACCTTGCATTTGCTGCCCGCAAGGACAACGGGCGTGTTGTAGAAGTGTAGATGCGAGCGCTCACAGAGCACGACGGGGAGGCGTTCAATTCCAGTTCAATCTGGAAGGCAGGTACGGGTAGCGGCGCGGGACGCCGTGTATCGCACCTGCCCGCGTCGGGGGCTGTACAAGCACGTAAATTACGTGCACAAGCAAGACAGCTTCCAAGCTCTCAAGCCTCCAGCCAAGCGGGCGCCACGCCACTCCAGAGGTGTTGCGAGTACCCTGGTGCCTAGGTGGGTACTAAGAGAGGTCATGAATATGATACTCGCTGCGCAACGACGGGCTGTCATCTAGCAACTAAACGTTAAGTTAA